TCAACTTTCAAACCAAACACAAAAGTTAAATATATAATATCCAATTCTGTTAGTCTACTTCATTATAGAACAAAGTTAAACAACTGGTTGGAACAAACATCGACTTGTTTAATGAGTATAATTTTCATAACTATCACGTTCATTGTATTTAACAACTATTCTTTGTAACTGTATATTAATAAACTAGAATTATTATAACATTTTAAAAGTGTGCAGCTAAAATATAAAGGTAATTTTTCCGAACAAAGAATTTACTGTTAAATAAGCCTCCAAAAACTTCTTATATATATAAAAACATTACTGTCACCTATTTACGAGATGTATTCTGTCAGTTGAAGTTTAAATTTTTGACATTTAAGCATAGATAAAAACAAACAAAGGAATACGAACAAAGCGGTAATAAAAACAAAGTTTTGGTATAAACGAATACATACATATATATGTCATAACTTACACCTAGTATACTAATGAAATCCGCCACAAATGAATCATTTAATTATGTAACTAACAAGGCAATGCAATTTGTCGTTTCGTCTCTGATATTGAACCAGAGTCTGCTCGTAATTGGCATAGCAGCGAATCAAAGTTTCTTACTAAAACGGATATAACTGAACCGGTCTAGCTTATTTGATTTACGCTAATTGTTTTGTGCGACTTGCATTGTGGAGACGACAAATACCGGTTTTCCATTTAACTATTAAACCGTGAATCGCATTAAAACCGGCAAACGGATTACATATATGACAGTCCCTTTCATACTTCAACGTTGATATTCCGTTTGCTTGGAATATTTAAGTTTTAATATTTATATTTAGCTGAATATTAATTTGCTTCTGAAGTCTATTCTGTGTTTTGCAATGCAATATCAATCGGAATAATTGGCCTCGGGGGCGAGAGTTGGTTTGCAGACTGCGGGATTTTATTTTAATTAAGTTTTAAGTTTATTTGATATGCCTGATAGGTTCTACCTTCATCTAGATAGCTCATGACAGTATCAGATAGGATACAAAAGAGCTAAGTTCAAACTTATTTAAATATTTTTGTCTTTTAAATATTTTTATTTATGAATCATAGAAACTGTTCTTTTAAATTTTAATCTCAGTACATTTAAGTAGATTAAATAGTATAGAAATCGTTTGTTAAAAACACCAAAAAAAAAAGTCGGCACAAGGCCAAATATAAAATCAGGTTTAAATAATAGGATGAATAGAATTTTCTGCTAATATGATTAATATATAATTATAAACACAGTACACACTAGAACCTATATGAAAGTCATCATACAATTAAAAAAATATATTTAAAAAGCGTCTATAGTAATTATTTAGCATTCATGTAAAGCGAAGCTCCAGATAATCAAGGAATCTTTGACTATAGATAAATAACGAAACCAAATGACAGACATCTTCATCTCATCTACACGTGATCACGGACACTGAAAAGTAACCGATACTTCCAAAGTCCTTTTTTTAAAACAATAAAATAACGCATAATAATACTAAAATATTAGTTTAATTTACAAAGCATCTATAGTACATCAAATCACACTAAGTATTAAGCCATTCAAGTTGTTCAAAGAGCTTCGATTCCTCCATTATATATAGATTGCTGTAAATTGCAGATCTATTAACTGACTAACGGGTCGGTGGAAGACTTAGTAATTGTTATAGATCACTTCAGACTAACAAGACTCTTATTAAACTACTAAGAGTATTATCTTACAATCAACTTGTTTCAACATCTCATGATGTAAGATTTTCGCGATTATTCATTTAAATGAAACTAATATTTTTCGGTATCAAAATTTACAAACTCCCAAGTGAGTATGTAGTTTTTGGAAAAAAATAAAAATCGAGTACTACATACATCCGAAAAATATTAGTTTCATTTAAATGTCCACATATAAAATCAACATGTGAAAATGATTGTTTTAATATGTAGAATAAAATAAAATCTATTTAAATGTAGAAACTTTTGTATTATTCCATTTCAAAGTACGAATTTTCAAGTGTTCAATAATCCATCTTTAATGAAGCGCGTTTTGCATGAATTTCGTATAACAGACGAGTGGGGAATTATGAAACAATGGCGACCTCAACATGTTTAATATCCCGGAATAGTGTGCTAATGAGGAAGCAATTATAACCTTTAACATCTGATATTGTTTGAAGCACTGCAAATATTAATTATTGCATACACTACTAACGACAGGTAAGTCGATTCTGAACTGTACATTTCATCGGAATCACTTATTGTACACAATGTAACCAAACAATACGTACATCAAACGGACCGCAAACACAATATTAATATAATACGTACGATAATATTAATATGATAGATACGTGTCAGTTATATCACAAATGAATCCGATTAGAGCAGCCAGACAATCAAAGGCCAAACTATTAATTACTTTGTATAATTACTGTGCGACATTCATATTGTTAGCACACGTGTTAAATTGAAAACCATTCAATCCGGTCCGATATAATCACGGATGCAACACGAATCAATACGCTACATGTAGATAACCGTCCGGCCAACACGTTACGCCAAGCTGTAAGGAGCACACAATGCTAAACAGATTGTATCAACTGATAGAACCGGCTTTGGGGCTACAGAAATTCACATAAGCTCCAGTATAGCTTAGGCGATTAGAATTAATATAATATCATTTCAAATAGTAAAACCTCTTTGAAGGATATATGAAATTATATTCGTCCAAACAGTCCTTTTCATAGACTCGCTCGAGGTCGGTGCAGCGATTTTCAATTAAGTTTAAGATATAATCTGATTCGATTACAGTATATTACTTGAGACAAATTAGATTTCTGTTAATACGATATTAGACTGAAAACTATCATATATACATTTAGTTCAGGACAATTTACGAAACAAAATTATCATGTTATTTAAATAGTAATTCGAGGAATGCGTACGGTATTATAAAAAAACGGGAGAGTAAAATTGAAGTTTTCATATGGTAGGGTCATGTTTTTTAATAGCATCAAAGGACAAATAAATTTTTATCAAAACATTGTTTTCGGTCGCTCGAATTCGTTGTTCGTGGGACACACCATGAATTCGGAATGCTTTGTAGTGTACACTATTGTCAAAGACAAACCTCACTACCATTGTTTCAGACCGATGAAATTTAAATAAAACAAACAATCACTAAGCTTGTGTATACGTAATTGAATTGTGCCTTTGCACTAAACTGAATGAACTGTTTGATTTCAAACTGTATTTTGTAAATGAAAGGTTCATTTACAAAATTCTAAATGAAACAGAATAACATTATTCATTAAGCGTTGACGTAAACTTAATAAAGATGAAATAATATATGAACAATATGTGAAATTTTCATTATATACTGTACGACGTTTTGTTATTTAAATGTATTGCAGTTCATTTGGATTTAGTGTTTTAATTTATTTATACAAAATAATATTAGAACTATGTACATACGTCATACGTAATAATTTTGTATACTATTTCTATATAGATAATTAAAATTTGTTTCCATTTATAATAAAGACAATCTTATACTGATCAATCTGTACCTTACTTAACTTTACAAAGAAGTTGAAATATTTATAAGAAAATAATAAGCATTTAAAATATCAGTAACATGTTGAAAAATATGTACTATAAAAAATATACATATAAAACAATTAATAAGTTTAAAGCTTTCTTAAAAAATATAATATACGATATTTAATAGTATCAAATAGTACTTTCATTGAAATAAAAAAAGATAAACCAAGATAAACTCGTCTGCAGGTGTTGAGAGATTGCTTTCCGACGCATCGATCCTTGAGATCAAATAATGGAAAAGTTAAATCTCTCAACTGTTACAAACGAGCTCAGTGTATTTAACGAATAATTAATTAATTAGTTTAGAATAATTAGTTTTTAATTTAATAAGAAAAATATAGATAAATATCGAAATGAATTTTGGATAGATATCTTTGTGCTTCGTTAATATTTTTTAAGTTTTTATTATTAATTTTTTATATAATAATTTTCTTTTTTATAAGTCAACAGTACCGTCTATACTACTGACTGTGAATAGATTCGTTCTAAATATTCCAAAACTATCTATTTACTTTACTATCTTTATGGGAACAAACTACTGAAATCATTTTACAAGACAGTTATACATATACATAGAAAGACTGAACAATATCTCTATTCATTTATAACACAAGTAATCAAGTTAATTTTTACGCAAGTACTTCGCGTTTTAATAACGAATTTTTAAATTTAATCTGTCAATATCATCATCAAGTTTGAAATGAATCGTATGAATGTACATTTCTCTACTTTGTTACACGATAGTTACAAAGAATTGAACAGTGGAAAATTTTAATGGAATTGCCATACGTAAACCTCAGTGTAGGCACTGTATCGTCGTAAAATTGAACAATTCAACTGTCATGTGTCAAAAAAAAAACGTTCTTTGGTGCGTCGGTTCAGCTGTCGTCTGTTTTTTTTTTAAACAAAAAACTATTCCGCCCTAAATATATTCAGGCACGTTGAAAATAAAATAAAAAAACTCACGAAGTTTTGTTTTGTAGGTTACATCGAATTTGAGGTTTGTATAAAATGTATGAAAATAGTTTCGTCCACTTTAAATTAACACTGAGGTTATTGTCTTAATGCATTATAATATCACAAGACTAGTTGTATGATTAGGTGTCAAAATTATGTTGGTAGTCTAAAGTTAATTATCAAAGACGACAAAAACTTACTAGAAATATAGGTAACAAGAATTAGACTACAGAATTAAGGGCCACGTCTTGGTTAGAACATTGCATAAACGTTTTTGTTTGAAAATATTTGTCTAACCAAGTCGAAACAGTTGTTCGTAAAAATGTTTCCTCATACAAAGCTTTTCGAGCCGTTATATATAGATTGCAAGGTACAAAATTTAAGGCATATATTCATATACGTACACATATATAAATAAGCATATAGTTACTTTATGGTATACATACATGGCAGTATTCTCTTGTCCAACATTCTTGAGTGAGTCGAGCATCAGTATCGCGTGCTTGCGATTCTCTAAAAGGGCGTCCCTCTTCAAACTATTCACAGTGAGCTGGTTTGTGAGGCGTTCCGTTTGATAACGCTGCTCTTGAAGCCTAGTTTAATATATTATGTATTATATATAACTCCTTACCTTAATTCTACATACAAGATAATAAGATGTCAGTAAACCTTAATAAGATTTTATCGAATGAAGATACAAGTGTCGCCCTCTGGAGACGCTTACAGATAGCCATAACTTCTTCTAGCTCCCAATGAACGGAATGGTGACTGACGGCATCCTCATCTTCATAGAGATCGTCAAGATTCGTAGCTTCCTATATATGTTAAAATATAGTTTAATACTAGCAATATGTGCATTTAAATATAAGTCACATACTAAATTTAATAATGTCATAAAGTCTCTACGCCTTACAAATGTAAAATTTAAAATATTATACAGTACTTTTTTCACGTTTTACAAAATACAGCACGAGATTTTTATTAATATAAAAATGTTGCGACTCCCACGTGAAGCATAACGCTCGTAGCAAGGTGTAAATTGATATTAAAAATTGGAAAACGTTATTAAGAGTTGTTTGAAAAGTTACGAACAATAATTGGTTTCAGGTGAATAGTTGAAAGTTTATAGAGCAGACCTTACTAGTCTGTCATCGGATAGCTTAAAACTAAATTAGTGTTCCCCGACCCGACCCCTTCAACTTTTACGAGTGAAAAATTTTTATTGACTAAAAATTTGCTTCATAATATGAGTAATAGAGGTTTTGTTTAGTTTTCTAACTCAACTAAATCAATAAAGAACTTCAGATAAGTACATATGTAATTAGTCAAAATAAAATAATTTAGGAGGGCGAATGTTTTAATGAAACAACGAACAGATTTCAATATAAACTTATCACATAAATATATTGTTATATTTAAATCCCTCTTTTTAAATGAGATCAAACAGCCGCCGGCAAAATCTTTATTCGATACTCCATTAAAGATTAAAAACCAAGCGTATGCACTCACGTACATCAGATAACCACTTTATTAATTAATAAATACCTCGTACCTTTGTTTAAATTAACCTTTTAAAATTATATCTCCATTCAATATGGCTACATTAAGACTAATTGGCCACATTTTTCGAACAGCAATATCCGATGCATTTTCGAGTTCGTTACTTTTTGACGTTGCGTACAAAAAATATTAAATTATTCGCATATTCAGATACGTATTGTAACACAAAGGGCTTTAATATAATTAAAATCTCGCAACTACGCGTTTGATGTAAGGGAAACTAAATGGCTATGTTGGAATAGTTTTATATTTTTTATTCATATACCTATAAGCCTACATAATTCGATGTGAAAATAATTTTCATTTTCATGAAATCTTTTTCTGTATAACTAACCTCTTTGCGAATCAAACTAGGAAACGAGTCTGTCAAATAGGCGACTTCCCTCCGTACGAGTTTCAGCGTCCTCTCCCTCTCTTTCATGTTTGCTTTGATTTCTTTCTCGAGTTTACTGAACTCGAACTTCCTATCGTCTAGATACTCCATAGCCAACTGCCCCATTTCCGTAGCTCCCATCAAACACTTCCCTTGAGCTCGACAATCTAGCTTAAGGGCTTCTAAAACCACAGTAAAGTACGAGGAATCCTAAAAAAATTAAAACCTTATCATTACTTACGTATTCAAACAAAAAAAATCATAAATAAATAACTATGTTGGTAGTTTGTATAATATTTTGCTTACCTTTTTTAATATATCCAGAATTTTCTTGTACATTACTTTTATGGCCAGAGCTGCATTTTTTTTAATATTAGCACGCTGGACGTAGTTAGCAACAGCTTGCTCTTTTTTCTCAGCTGGAAGTTTCCCGCCCACTTCATAAAGAAGACGATCTCGTAATTCCGCAGATTGAAGCTACATTTTTGAGACAAAATTACCAAATATTTTTCCACTACTTATCAAACTTATATTATTCTTTGTTTCTGATATTTACCTGAATCTGGCGGAACTGTTCCATTTTCTTCTTTTTCGTGTATCTAATTCTGTCAAGCTGCTTCCGTTTATTGAAATTTTCTTGGTGTATGCTTTCCAAGACTTTCTGCAATCATAATCAAGACATATTGAAACTGTATGCGAGTTCCTGAAAGCCTTAATTTTCAATAAAACACGAAAATAAGGAATCATGTTTAATATTAAAATTGAACTTGTTGAACCAAAGTTCGCTATGCACGGAAAGTTTAACAGCTTTTTAATACTTCTACGTCAAGTTTACAAGAAATCTCGTGCAACTCATAAAAAATGTACTCTCTTAAGACTAATTACCTGTTCTTTCTAATAATTTAGTGATCATAATGATGCAGTATCATGATTGTAATAATCTTACTGTTGTACATACGTTAAGTGGGGCAAAAAAAATAGTAATAAAAAAATATCAAACGAAATCCAAGCTTTAATTTCTAAAGGAGGTTAACTTAAAAAAGTTTTATATAAATCTAGAGTGTCATATTTAAAAAATCTTTCGTTTCCCTGAGTTTTTGTTACAAATATTTTAATGTAAATTAAGTTATTTAGATATTTATTATTTAGGTTATTAATATATCTTTTACTCATTTTTAAATATAAAATGAGTTAAAAATATTTTAATTTTAACGTAATTTGAAATGAGAGTAATTGTTTTCACCGACATATGTAATACTTTATACGCCACACGAAAGTCGCCGACGCGCCGAAAGTACGTCGGCGTCGGTTGTATGAAAATAATTGTGACGGTGATAAGCACTCAGGCATATAATTCGCCGACAAATAGATTTAATGTCGGCAAGTTGTGTGAACGAAAATCTTCCAACGAGATGTGCAGAATAATTTACTCATATAGTTACACCCACTATAATACACTATAATTTATGTTCTTCGACTATTAGATAATATGAAGAGAAAATAAAATACCCGAAACTAATATTTGAACCCCCACTATACTTATATCATGTTTCTATAGTTTTTAAATAAGTTTTTATTTAAAGAAATAATTGAAAAATCAATTTAATGACTAATTTTGATACAAAAATTACAGTTTGCTTAAAAAAACCATTCGAAACGTTTGTCGAATGATTGTAAAAACATTTCAAAGTGCAAAAGTTTTTAATAAACAGCGCTGGAGTCCGCTGTACGTAAATAAACAACATTTTTCTGCCTCGCGAAATGAAGTCTTCTGTTGAGCAATCAATGCTTAGTTTATTGAATTGAAAATTCCTAGAGCAAATATTGTGTGATTAGTTTCGTCACTCCGGTGCTTTGGGGTATTCCGACTATAATATATATCGGATTTATTATACATACGTTGTTTTTAGAGAGACAGATTTCCATGATATTTTAAAATGAAACTTCAATTGGTCTTAATGCTCCTGTATTTCTCGAAGGTTCTTCATAATCACGTGATTCAATGGTCCGCACTCACTGAACTCTGCCGTCGTGCGTCCAGACGTCATATTTCTACCAAGCTTAAATCATAGCTAAATCATGAATACTAATGAGTTTTAATAATAATTGATGACAGGTCCAAGTTATTTTACATAATAAGATATACATTATATCTACATATATATATTCTTCAACCTTCTAGTAAATAATTTGTACTACAACTTTTTTTACCGCTCACAGTTACTGAAATATATTAATTGACAACTTTAGAAGAATCCTATTGCGTTTGAAAATATATTTGGACATATCATCAATGGATTTTAACGAACTGAAATTTTAACTACATCTAAATGCTCAAACAGAATTCTAAATATTATTTCGTCTACATAGTATTTAAACCGCAAAAGGTATTAACGTGTTTGTGAATATGATATTTGTATTACAAAATATAATCCTAGTATGTTTTGCTGATCAAATAAACGGAGAATTCAATAATATTTTAAACTGATTCAAGCCGGCTCTAAGCCCGGACAAAGTTTCTTAAAGTTGAACAAGAGAATGTAGCGGGCTCAGACTGCTTCAGGGTTTCTCTCACGATTTCCAATACAATTTCGTTCAGGTTATTTGCAAAGATTGCAATTATTATGCAATATTTCACAATATACCTTTTATTACGTTCAGTACTTCCTTATACTATGAAAGGAGATTTTATGTATTTAAAATAAGTGATATTGCCGTTTTGTAGACAAATATAGTTGATAAATAAAAGAATTAGTTTCCCATATAATATTATTATAATAACATACTTTATACAAGTCTAATTGGCTCACTAAAAACTAATTTTGATGAATCAATATAAAACTAGAAAACGCATATATTAACTGAGCTTACTTCAAATAAGCAAAAATAATTGAATAATGAGTCTAGCTAACTTATTACTTAAAAGCTGCAACTGCACTTTCAAGCAAGATAATAAACTATCAAAATCAACCATACAAATGTATCATACACAGTCTCATTCTATATTAATATATGTTCTATTTTTTCTAAGAACAACATAATAATAATATTATTAGTTGTAATAAGAATGATAAATAAGTTTCAAATTACACTTACACACTCCCGAACATGAACTGATATTACAAAAAATATATAGCGGATAAAACATTTCGCTAATCCCCAAAACTGATTTCGGGTTACACGCGTTTTCAATTATACATATTAAAATATCACGGTTACCAATTCCCAGTGAAAACTTTATGGTGCAGCAAAAAATATATTTTTTTAAAAAACGCGATGAAACACGTGTAGGATATTTACTCACGTGCGAGGATTTATTTTAAGTTATAAATACCTACAGTGTATGTAAAAATAATTGATTGGAAACTGATATATCCGAGAACTGTTTGTTTTTTAAAAACTATTTAAATGAATGTTGCGATATTTCAATAAAATTTGATATCGAAAACGAAATAGGTTTGTGAGAATTCCCGATTTATTTTTATAGATTATTTGCCACACATGGAATTGGATTTAAGAATATAAGTCGTTATGAGGTTAATTATAATTGAAGTCCAAAGGAATTCAAAATCTTAATATTTCCAGAAAAAATCATGAGCAGTTTTATTATATAAATGTTTAATTCATGCTAAATAAAGAATGTATTTAGTAATACGAAACAATGTAGTCTTTTTATCTTACTTAAAGGTATGTTCTCGTTTTAAGACTGTTATTTTGCAATCTCGAAGTTGTGCTTGAAGAATCCTTATAAATAATAATAATAGTAAACTCATCTCCTATTCCACTGTATCGGTTCTAAAAATACTTATTGGTTAAAGAGAAATAATTATTTCTTGCAAGAAGTAATTATTTCTTGAAATTTCTTGTGAGAATGCAAATATTTTTTTTTCAATATGTGAGTATAAGCTAAACTACCATTAGATAAAAACTGTAAAATTTTCAAAATTCCATCGTTTCTCCGAAGATTCAAAACCAAAGTTGAAAAAAAAAACAAAGTATTTACATTTTACACATGAATTAACATTTTGTCGATTTCGTAAACGTCAAGTGATGTTAATGGAAAGCTTAAGAGTATTAATTAATCTACTTTTTTAAAGTGTTTATCATACTTTATTACTGCTTAAAAACGATGTTATGTAAGCCTTAAACTACATTTATTTGTTAAGTATTTGAAACAACAAAAAATTAGCTTCCAAAACTTTACACCGATTCTTAATCAGAACGAAATTCTGTTAAAAATTATTAATGACATTATTTTATCAACTGATTTTTTCCTTGAGGAAACAAATATTAATACATACTTATAAATAAATAATAGATCACTATGAAGCGAGTAATATATTTTAGATTATCATTGTTTTAATATTATGGTAACATTTCTATCAAAGACTGTTAAAGTACAGTCTTAAAAAAAGTCAAATTAATATAAAATTAATGACCTCTGTCTTTATTTTTTTGAACTACAAGCTACGTATAGTTGTATAAGAATTTATTATTTATTAATTTGGTGTGACTTACATCGGCTTGACTGTTCATGTACGTCAGCTGTAACCGTCTATGTTCCTGGAAAGCATTCCGCAGGAACTGTTTGTCACCATACACAGCTACCTCCAGCTCCTGCCTCTTATTCGAGATGTCTTTACGCAACTGGCGGATGTCGCGAGAGTATCTCTTCTTCTGTTTAGCCAAATCCCCCTCATGGATTTTACGATCTCTCTCTAGAAAAATATGAATCATTAAATAAAGAAATTATAACTGAAGCTTGCATTAATTGAAATGAAACTAATATTTTTCGAATACACTACGCATACTTTACTATTGTAAAACACTACATACTCCCGACGTTTCGGTTACTTTTCAGCAACCGTGATCACGGGCAGACGAGACGTGATTTAAATCGCCTGCCGCAATCATATCTTCTACAATAATAAAATACGCGTAGTATAATCCGAAAAACATTAGTTTCATTGAAATGAATACTCGCGAAAGGCTTAAATGTCATCATTATATTAATTCTCAATAATTGATAATTACCATACAGTTTTATAAGTCCCCTATACTGATTTATTTTATCCTTTATCACCCAATTCTCATCTTGCATCCCATGGATACGAACCTTCGCTGCGGACAACATGATTTCTGATACTCTTTGATACTGATTATTTATTTATTGTTAGAAATGAAAATGACAGCTATATAATAAACACATACAATATTTCAATTCGTATTTTTAATTGACTCGACGTCAAATAAGTACAATAAGTTTTTATTCGGGCAAAGATTATATCAGGTTTCATCACCAGATGTATAATTCCAGTGTTTAGATTATAATATATTGATATTGTGATGTAATTTAAAAATAATAATATTTTTTACTAAAGCAGTATGAAATCGAATTACATTATAGTATGCATTTTTTGAACTTGCAATATATAATATGAGACAGTGCTGAAGTTTTAAAGTTAATCAATTAGGATGATATTTAATGATAAATTATATGACCCTAAGGTCTTCGGAGATCTACCCCGGCTGCTGTGAAAGCCCGGAGTCATCGGGGTGGACCGCGGGAGTAAGTCCGGTCTTTGCCAGGACCGGCCAGTCGCTGGTGTGCCCTGTCGCTAACTGATCCGGGGACACCGATATAGCGGCCGATGGCTTTTGCAGTGCTTTCAGTGAGTAGGGGCCTGCCCAGGTCGAGTCTTACACATCCCTTCCGGCCCCAACAAGGCCGGTTGGACGGCTCGTAAAGAGTTTCCCTGTGACGTCAAAAAAAAAAGGTCTTCGGAGATCTAACATGATGGAACAAACAACAAAACAAAATAGATATTATTATAATAGATAATATTTAATATAAAAGATTTCTATCAAGTGAATCCGTTATAAGTTTTCATAAAATTAATATACATATTTAGTAATTACGTTTTACATTGTACAGAATAACATGTTGTAAAACAGTTCGACAGTAGAGTAGCAGACGTCAAAACGTCAATGTACCATGATATTCGCCTGAAGTAATAATCGTTGTTAAAAATTGAATGAATTTAAATCCGCTTAAAGTTACATTTTGATATAACTCTAACATAAAATCAACATTTTGTTAAACTTATAATAATTGCTCACAGATATTATGCTATACATTTATTTTGATTTAATAAAAGTAGTAGTTGTAGAAACAAAACGAAGAAACGTCCCAACTAAATCATTAGCTACACATTCTATAAGAACATGGTCGCAAGTCCCAAGTACTGTTGAAGCTCCTCTCCCTGCAACGCGATGGACCCGGCACCCGCACGGTGAATACATTGTATGCTAAGAGGTTTCATTTCTTACTACTTATGAAATCCGTCTTAAAAATTTAAAAGAATCTAGAGAAAGTCTCGAACAACTCGGATGTAGTTTAAATAGTTTATCATGAAAGTTTTACGGGAACCCGATCCAAGTTAAATTTTTAATGAATCTCAATTTTGTCGAGTTCTGTTTTTGTATGCAATCCCGAATTTTCAAATCTTCTACATTCCAAGTCGATTTAATACAAAAGATTTTCTCACCAACTAAAACGAATTGTACAAAATGTCTATTTGTAATATCGTAATCTGTGTATAAAGATAAATAATATCTACATGGTTACTCATTATTTAACATGAAACAGAAAAATAAAATTAAAATAACAAGAATCCTTTGTGTCACTCGTTTTAAGATAATTAATGTTCATAACAATATTAATTAATCTTTATTTCTCATTTATCTTATTTTATTTTCATTATAATAGCTTTTTAGTTTGTAAATTTAAAATACCGGTGAAACGTCACTAAACTACAAGTCCGTCTGATTTTTAAATATCCAACAACATATCTTTCGTAATATATTTTATCATTCGAGTAAGGAAAAAGAAGTATTTAGAATAAAAGCTCTGAATGCTGTTCGTGCTATCTTTAATCCTAAGATGCGGATTGCATTGATCTTCCATTAGACGGTAAGAATCTCTTTTAAGCCTCTCAAATGTTGTTAAAATATAAATTTAGAACGTAGAATTATAAAATTTTATTAATATATTTTCAGCTAACAATAATAATTATAAAATATGTTAGTACTCTTTATGTGTAATTAATGTTTGATTCAAACAGCTTAAACATATAAAATGATTTCAAATATTCAAATAAATCTGAATAATACATTTTGTATCGCTTATCAGATATAACGCACACAAATGCAGCAACAATAGGAACGCTGTGTTATGATAATAATTCAAAACCTTTTGTACTTTCCACATTAAATTCTTCGATGAAAGCGCACTGTTTTTTAAAATATAGAAGTAAGTAGCTAGAATGTTCTATAGATTCTTAACTGAGAGAAATTCTGAACGAAGCCACATCATATTTACTTTTGTTGGCGTTGTATGCCAGTTGCTTTAAAAGGAAATTTCCTTTCATGCTTTTTTATCGTACCGCGTAAAGAAAAACTAATGCAAATATCATTCGTATTAAAAAAGAAATAACTACTAGGAATCATAGCTATGAAAGTAAATATGTATCCAAGAATATATAGTAAGTGGACATTCCTTGGTTTATTAGTGAGTTGTGTACTCATATCAACGGACTTCCTATATACAGAGGTATATAATCTAGGGCTAATCGATGTAATCCATCGGAACTGGTATGATCACGTATTGTTCGGGTGTACTGGATAATTGTTTGAATATGGTTTTGTTGGGCACAACATTGTACAGTTACAGCCTAAAACCCCTACTACAAGGCTCTTTTTCGATCGAAAACCCATCATGAAATATTATTTCAGCCGCAACTTAGTCACTGAATTTTTTTCATAGCTACATAATTACAAGATTGTCATTTCATTTTTGATTCGATCTATGAGTGACTAAGTATGAATTACCGAAGTAAGTTGCCAGAATAAAGAGCATGTTGCTATGATTGACACACTTTGATAATACTCTCTAAGATCTTTCGTATTTTGTAAGTAATTTTATTGATTAAAATTTAAACATATAAAACAAAAAAAAACTGGAAGAAAAAGCTCCAAACTCATATTTGTCATCACGATGTATTAGTGTTGCAATGTTGTCATATTTTAAATAATAAATAGGTTTGAACGAACTGCGGGCAACATTGGTCACAGAAAATGATACGCTTTTAGTGGTCCAATATAGAAATTGTAAGCCATTAGCCAGATTAGCATCATATCCTAATTTGTCACAATACATATATGTTATTTTGCAAAATGAGAACAAAATTAAATTTATTAGTTGATATCAGTATGAAATAAATTAAATAATAATTTTTCACGAAGTATATTGTGACTTACTATTTAAAAGTCACTAAGTATTTCGTTCTGGGAACTGAAAAATTCTTATATTCTCTCAATTATATGTCTGATCTTATTTACATCCCTACTAATATTATAAATGCGAAAGTAACTCTGTCGATCTGTCTGTCTGTTAGTCTTTCACGCCTAAACCACTGAACTAATTTTAATGAAATTTGGTACAAAGATAGAGTTGACTTTAAAAAGAACATAGGATAGTTTTTATCCCAAATTTTTGAAAGGTTCTCTTGGAAACGCGATATAACCGAACTCCACGCGGGCGAAGCTGTGGGCGGAAAGCTAGTTATTTATAAACAACTTCACTGGTATCACAGGTCTGTATCTTCAGAGAACGTGAGAGTTTTTTTTCAGTCAGTACACGGTACAGTAATAAATGTACACAGTACAGTAATAAATGTACACAGCACAGTAATAAATGCCACATAATAGTATCAACTTAGGTTTATGGATGAATAATTGAAAACGCTTCTTTTGTAGTCACGCTCTCATATCAATGGAAATTGAACTATGACTTAGTGATAATAAAGTAGGAATTGACTTACCCATAAACTGGAACCTGAGAATTAATAGACTATATCCTAAGTACTTTGATGCATCTTATAAAGAAAATTAAATATTAATATAAATAACAGCAATACCAATTACTGTTTGTGAAACATTAAATTGTTTATTCGCTTCAGTAAACAAAACGGTAAGTAATTGCAGAATGAGATTAAATTACTCAAACGTGGAAATACTGTTTGTTGAATAACTCAAAATATTAATACAATAATGTTGATAATTACAAACGCATTTACATTAAATATTGTTGGAAGTATTTTAATATTTAAAATGTTTTTATACATACATTACTCAATTATATTTATATAGAATGGTGGTGGCTCAGTGGTTAAAAGGGCCCGCCTCTCGGCCTCTCGTCGCCGAGGGCGCGGGTTCGATCCTGGCCCGGGCAAGTACCAATGTGATTTTTCCGAATCATATGTACTTTCTAAGAGTATTTAGACATCACTGATTAATGTTCATTCCCAAAAGAGGGTTGATGTCAGGCAGGCAGCCGGTCGTAAAAAAATAGCCAAAACTATTCACAACATGTAAGACAGACCCTGGCTATAACTGGGAAATTGCCAGGTAGAAGCAGGAGGAGAATATAAATATTCAAAATCCTTTGGATTCTTTAGAGGTTTTTAAAGTCTTTTCATGTTGTAATGACAAATTATTATATGTAGATTATAATGTTTGAATTTCATTTGTTCTTTAATAAATAGTTTATTATATAATACAAATGATTTATATTGAAGAAACACAGTTTTATATCTACTGATCAGACTTCATCGTCTTCGTTATTTGTTACTTTTTATTTGTATGCTCCACCCACGGCTCGTGTTTATTGCAAAACAAGATGCAAAAGTACAGATTAATTAATTCTAAGAATATTTTTCTCGTTATCAGTCTTAAAGGAGGGCAACTCGGATAGGTTGAAATGAAAACTTTTATTCATTTATTTTTGTTCTATATAAAATCTTTTATAACTGAGACTAGAAGTTTTATTTTTCTTGAATTAACATGTCCATATTTATTCCTCGTTTTATCAATATGTTGTAATCAGTCTTCGATATAATTCGATATTGAAACAACTACAAATCCCAGGATAAAGAGATTTTGATTTTTCTGGGACATAAATTCACCGAAATTTAAGAGTAAAATAATAATATATCTACGCCTATAAAAATGTAACATGTTTGATGCTTTTGGGTGCTAGAAAATGTAAAAGTATTTTTTTTTCCTATATTTTTTTCTTTTTTATTATAATATTTTTTTAAGTTGTGGCTTGTTAATAAATTATAAAACAATATATTTGAGTCTGTCACAATCGTGACAACACAATACAGTGTAGAATAAGTTGAATGCATTACCACGTTTTACTTTTATGACTTTAAAACTCTAGATGGTCATTTATATGAATATAAAATGATAATATTATGAAATATAGCACCTTTTGTCTCCATCTATGTATTTCCTCCTGACAAGAATAGAATTTCGAAACGGTCGCTTCGGGTAGCGGAGACAAGTAAAGTTAGCTGACACGAACGTAACCACAACTCCGACTATTCTAGAAGCTCCTAATTCACTAACTTACTAAGAACTCTATAACAGTATAGATTCAGATCTAATAATTAACAAGGGAACTAACTGCAACGATTCCAACACTTTTGTTGACTTTTGTCGAGTTACAAATTCTATTGGTTTTGTCTTATGAACAAAATTAAAATAAACAAACGAATTATTATATAAATTATTATCTGATTTATTCAAAAGAAACTATTATAATATTTTATTTTCTGGATCACCTAGCAATGAACATAAACCTCTATGAGTTCCTATATCACATTGTGTTCCAGATGGGCAGTTGCTGCAAGTAGGGCCAGGTTCGTATATGGGAAATCCGTCGATATTACCAGCGGGTCCGTAGTTACAGAATGTGTAAGCTATAATTCTGGGCTCTCTACGTTTATTGTCTGTTTCTTCCGCCATACCACGATGTATTGGGGAGCCCCGACTACTTTTTGGCGTCATATCGAAATTTTCAAACGGTTTCTGCTTCGCCGTGGACATGTAATTAGTTCGGAGAAGTAAATTTTCACTGGTCGTAGATCGTGTTACATTTCCCGATGCCTGACTGCTGACAGCTTTCGGGGTTCGCCTCTTACGGAAGAGTATACAGGAGCGTTGTTTCGCTGTACACAATGCTTGCGAGCAGCCTATCCTCCAAGTCGAAGCCCAAGCGGCGGCTGAATACCAGTGTGCGTTACATCCTCCCGAGCCACTACAGTTACTGGGTCTGAACGACCAAACATATTCCGGTGATAGAATTCTCGACCCAGAAAACCAAGCTCCAACAGCATCAGCCAGGATCTGTGCTTCAGTCACTCTCGGTGATACTGGTCGGACATCCATATTTTGTAGCACATTAAAACGTAATGTGTTTCTGCATTCATCATGTCTTTTCTGGCATTGCCGAGCCCAAACTTCGGCCATTTCTTCCAGCTCGTAATCCCAATACAATTTTCGCATGTTAGCGGCCGGTGGCTGCCCTGCTTCCATTCCTGTTGCAATATTATCACGATGTCGGTTATGCAGAAGTAAAATTTGATATTTCATCCAGGTCGTCATTCCCGAAGCAAATAAACGTGGACTCTGCTTGTTTTTCGCAGCACACATTGTATGCTGATTTTTTAAGGAACAGTCCGGATGTTTGCAATAGTCGAATATATCTTCACTCTTATTTTTAATAGCTGAGGCATGCGTGAACAAATATAATGTGTAAACGTAATATATAAATAACATCGTTAAATAAAATATAAAGCTCTAGATACCTTTCAACAAAATGAAACGTTACACAAACGTCAAATATATAGAGATATATACAGAGAATAAACTGAATAGGAATATATACTGTTTGACATAAAACCGCAGCGTGCATGTCCTACAAAAGGCAGGAAACCTCTACTCACATTTGACCAAAAAGGTTAGCTTATAGCTTATCTAGAATATAATGTTAAATTACAATATATTATAAAACAACTAAACAACCATATTTTTAAAACTTTAATATATAAACAAAATAAGTTTCTACAAATCTCAGTTATAATTTTTTTACCTAAACCAACTAAAAACAAGCATGAAGCACGAAAATTCCGTGTATAAAATAAAGTCACGTTTAATAAAAAAGCACACGTCGCGTAAACAGCATTAACATTTTGATTGCATAAATTTAAAAATGTTCGCAAAATATTTGTACTTTATAATAACTAAATAACAAAGTAAACATTTATACTTCATTTATTAATATTATAAAAGTCTCTTGAAAAATTAACTTTCATATTGAAAAATATTTACATTCACCGAGGACATTCTGCTTTAAAATAAATAAACTTTTTAAATGAGCCACATATTCAAAGAGACTGTCAATACATTTAGAAAATTGTGTGTGTCCTATGGTAATGGAGTAGTCAATAATTTATATCATCTTAAAAATAAGTATCAGTCTACAGTTAGTAATTCTAGTAATAAATTGTTATAGACATGTTTTGAACAATGTAATAGTTTCCATCCATAATAATATAAAAATTTAGATACAAGAAAGAACCTAAGTACTTTTAATAGACTCCTCTATCCATTATTCCTTAAATAATATTAACATTAATTTAATATAAAAAAAATCCCTACAGTTAAAACCGAATTACGTACTGGTCCAATTTATCTTACGTCGCTCGAATTATGTTTAACTTGTGACGTAATTCTCAATTTAATATGACAGTACCCAAAACATAATGGACTACTAAGTATTCTTATAATTTATAAAACTTTAAAGATTTATTACCCGTAATTGTATATATATAATCTAGGATTTTATTCAGTCTTTCTATGTTGTGTTTCCTTTTTTTTTCCTTGCCTCGCCTCGCCTCGCCTCGCCTCGCTGGTAAATTTTGTACATATGTCGCATTAAAGTCAAACTTCTTATAGCGGTGTCTCTGGCTCTCATTAACCGAAACTGTAGTACTTATTTTCACACTAATTATATTTTCAATGTATACTACGATTGTTCTACAATATTTGTGGTTTTTTTATCAGGGACTTAAATAACTATTGTTCTGTTTCCATTTCAATAGCTCGGCAGCGACCAAAAATCCATATCGTTCATTTGATTATTCCACATAACATGAAGCGTCAATTGAATTTGCACCTGTCCAATGTTTTCTGTAAAAAAATATAGTATATGTCTTTGAATTTTATACGTCAACGATATGACATTCCCTGTATATGTATATTCTTAGAATAAAAGATTTTATAACAATTATTACATTATATATGTAATTATTTTTAAAGTTTTGTTTAAGTTTTATATGTCCTTATTATAATATAGCAACGAAAAGTATACAAAATGTCGTACAAATTAGCGCAAATGGCCCTACGTAGTTTGACAATGGCCATGATGATACTAGCATTCTTTTTTAATTCTGAAGATATGGATGAGTTGACAATAGATCTTTTTACGAGGCTGGGTGTATCTGGAAGCTATTCAATAATAACCCTCGGTCTGCTTATTGAATCTGGGCTGCAGTTGAAATCAGACAAGTTAGTGGAAGCAATATTTCTGATATCAGGTATCGCCCTGAGTTTACTAAGTGCAACATTTTCCTTCATCAACTTCTACGCAGACGAAGGTTTCAAACAAGGCAAGTCTGTAAACAGTGGCATAGTAACAATACTGGCAACAATAATACTAATTGTTGATTTCATACTATTGTTATTACATTGATTTTTACATATGAAATACTTTTTTTTTGTAGTTTTAAATAAATCGTGTTAAAAGACATATGAACGGCAGAGGTGCGTGGATTATAAATTTATATAAATATGTGAAAAGTGAATGTATAGGGAGAGTGTATATTGTGGCAAAACAAAAGAGATACAAATTTGTCAAAAAATATTAGATACGAATATAACAGTTTTTTAAAGCTAAATATTTATATTCAAATCAAATATTTCTTAAAAGTAATGCATAAAAACATATAATAACATTATAATGCCTCTCAATCAATATAATATTTTAAGGTGAATTACCAAAACGTGTGTAGGAGACGCAGCTACTAAAGACTACTTCACGCCGTTCTTCTGTGAGACGGTGGTACTACTCCTAGCCAGCTTATGTTCAAATTGTTTCTTACCCACAGGCCTTACTATATAATATTTTTTTACCTATTTAAAACATAAGTATAGTTTTCAACCTAGTGACACTAGCCTTTCTTATAATAACAATCATTTTTAACTTTCTTTATTAAAAAGCCTACTTTGTTGGAAGTTGTATTTTACATTCAAGATTACCCAAAACAGTGAACAAGTTTCAAAAAATAAATACTCAAATAAAAACATACTGTGGTCTTCAACTGCTTTTCGTTTAATCTTTTTTTTTCATTCCGCGTCATCCTTACAAAGAATTGCACTTCTGAAATCTCTTTTTTGCAACGGGGCAGGTGTTTAATAAAAAAACCGTGATTTTACTGAAATAGTAACTTTTATAAAGGATAGGAAGAATTTTAGTGATTGCAACTAAAAACGATAAAGTCTAATACAGATGGAATATATAACCTATTTCTTTTTAAAACTCCTTAGATAATATCTTTTTATATAAGAAGTTAGCAATAGCCCTAAGGTGTAAGCTTTACTATTCAGTATCATCATCCGATTATAAAAAAATAAACATTAATTATATATTTTAACTCATTACGTATTAAATAAATGTATTTATGGACTTGTTTTAATTAAACAAAAGTTCAGTGCAAAATAAGAGGATTGAAAATAATATCCTTTGAATATCAGTCCTATAATAATATGTATTGTTAAAGGAAAAAGGAATTATTTAATATTATTTTATTATAAACTTGCATAATATGAAAATCGAGAGAGAAATAATTACTTAATGACGTCGTTGATTGGACTAAGGATCATCAATCGTCAAAAATGTTTCTAGTCATACATATATTTTGTTTTTTGACTAGTTTTGCATTTTTATTATGAATTCTCAATCAGCGATACCATCCACGGGCTGGCGGGCGAGTAATTTAGTTATCGGCAAACTGAAATTGTTTCAGGGATTAAAAAACATGAATAACTAAATGTCATGCAAAACAATTCATAAACAGAATTGAGAATGGATTAAAAACGTTTCATGTGGATTGCACTGCCGGAAAATGTTTTATGAAATAAACAAAAAAATAATCCCCTCATCATAAAAATATTACTCTACTATTTCTATCAAAGGATTTAATAAAATGTTTTTCCCGAAAATTGCTTTTACATTCTATATCCATAGGAATCCAACGGAATATACAGTTCCGCGAATTCGTTATTGCAACCGCTGAGTTGTTTCATACTAAAGCTTACAACAAATAAACGGCTCAACAGAGATTAAAACGTTTCACGCTAAATTATATAACAACCACTTAGTTTTAGAACATTTTAGTTGTTTTCAACAAACTAAGTTGTAATGTTTTGTGCTCGCGTTACAAACTTTTCCCCCGAACGACATAATCGCACTCATTCGAGACTTTGATACACCAAAATACACCTATAATTCTGGACTGTCTGCAAAGTTACTGAATTCGACAACACTGATAGACAAACCAGGAATAAACTAAGTATATGCAATCTGTATGAAACTATTTAAAGCAAGAAGTAGACATATTTTGAACTACAAATACCTAATTAAAAAATCAGGTATGCTTTTTACCAACGATATATACTTCTTTCAAAACTCCTAAGCTGCTAGTGTTGAACGTAAAATTAAAATAATTATTACAATAATGTAGCTTGCAACATAAAATAATGTTAATATTAGGAAGTGCCAACAATTGCAACTATATATTATTTTGGCTATCCGTTTTAAATTGATTTTTAACATAACTTTATAGTTTCATTAATATAATACCTTTAAAAGAAAATAAATAAATGTCTCCCATCAGTCATTAATAAAAATGTCACTGTTTCATAGAAGAAAAAAAATATAAAATTCTGAATAATCTAATTTATCGAACTACATCACACATCTTCGAACACATTGCAGGTACTCAGTATGGCTGGAAAAATTGTTATAACCATATATTTATGACATTGCAACTGTTTAATATTGATTCTTCGAGAAATCTCAATTCTTCAAATGATATAGAAAATTCCTTACTGGCAACACTGTGGAGTTTAATGAAATGTATATATGAAAATAATAATTTATAAATTACATATCTACATAGACACTTAAAAAATATTGAAAAGATAAGTCGAAGTAACCAAAGACAATGCAAATTTCATTATTTTATTCCTTTTCAACGTAAAAAGTTATCAACTATACAAAAAAAAATACATCTTAATGAACTTTATAAGTAATCTGTCATTAAAATATTGGGAGATCTTCTTCTTCTACCTGGCAATTTCCCAGCTTTGGCCAGAGCCCGCCTTACGTGTTGTGAATAGTTTTGGCTAATTGTTTTTACGACCGACCGCTTGCCTGACATCAACCGTCTTTTGGGAATGCATTAATCAGTAATGTCTAAATACTCTTAGAAAGTGCATATGACTCGGAAAAATCACATTGCTACTTGCCATAAAAATATTGGAAGATAATTATTAAAATTATTTACCTATAGCTTAAGTCTTAAACAAAGAACATTCCTAGCTAGCTCGTTGTATCTCTGTAAACTATTGATAATAACTGCTTTCAAGAAAATATGCTTACAGAATTCTTGAGATTGTAATTCTGTTGGGAGTTTACGCTAGGAATCTAGGAATTTTTTGTGCTTCGCTATAAATTAACATTTAATTTTAAATAAAAATAGCAAATAGCGAAAAGCGAATAAAATATTTTTCATAAATTTATTGCATTCCGATATTAAAATATTAATGTTTAATTTGAGTCGAGGTATTTGAATTATCAGTTCTGAAATGTATTTTGTGTGTGTAATTTATATCAAGTATTTTTTTTATACTGTGGCTTCACTTGCACTGGAATCGTGGAATATTTAGGCAACGTGAATTTTCTATTTGTTGGAAGAATGTGTGGAGGAAACACGAAAGAGTTTGTCGAATTGTTAATCAATTGATAAGATGATGTATTTTTATAAAATCTATTATAATTTTATATGTAGACACTGTAATTTGTTCTCTTTGACTGATTTGAAGAATATTTATTTCCAGGGGAAGGATTTAATGTAGTTAATTTCTGTTTAGTTGCTTTACTACAATAATTTTTTTGTTGCAAATCACATTATTTTGATTAAGTTTTTTAGCTATAATAATTAGAAACATATAAAACTGAACTCTATGTTTTTAAATTCAAATTAACGGTTTTTCACCTAACGCATATGAAATTATATACGATACCTTCATCAAAAATGCATTTTGTTCCTATCTGTCTCTTTGTTCGTACTGTTTAAATCACTAAAGCCGTTATTCGAAAAATCGTAAGTAGGTAACTGCTTAAGCTATAACTTAGGCTACTTCTAATGGTGGTGGCCTAGTGGTTAAAGGGCCCGCCTCTAGTGCACGAGGGCGCGGGTTACTGTTACTGGCAAGTACCAATGTGATTTTTCCGAGTCATATGTACTTTCTAAGAGTATTTAGACACCATTGACAGACAATAATTTCACAATTATACGTTTGGAATCACCAACCCGTCTTGAGCAAGCGTGGTGATTAATGCTCAAACCTTCTCCATGTGACAAAGAGGCTCAGCAATGGACTCTGATAGGCTGATGACGATGACTTGTAATGGATTTCAAAAAGAGGGGATTTCTTAACAAGGAATAACTGTAATAAATTAAAAAATCATCAAATTAATTCATAAACGTAGCATTATATTTCCTGAAATTAAAAATTTTACTGCACCGACTGTCAAACTGTATCAAAAGAAAAACGGCAAGTCTTACAGCCTACTCACAAGCAACGCCATCTATTGCTTAAAACTGGATTTACCTTACTCATGCATTTTTCCAATTTAGTATTTTTAAATGTCTTTAATCTGAAACAACAAGATATTACTATGAATAATTTTACTGTAAACTGTATAATAATTTTAATTACGTCTAAATAGGACATATTTATTATATTTCGATGTTTGAGTAATGAGTTGTATTCCTAATACGTGTGACTTCTGTTTTTCTCCTAAAATGTACAAATGGTACACCAAAGTTTAGAAGTCAGTTACTAAAATGGGTAAAGTAGTATTCAATAAAATATCGTAACCTAGTACTTAATTCAAGGAAGCGTTAGATTTGTTTGCAAATAATAACATGTTTTCTTTTAAAAATATATATTAAATAACTATAATTTAGGAAAAAATAAATTATTTTAAGTAATTTATACATTCAAACATCAATTTTTAAATAATTTTTGTGTGAATAAAGTTATGGCATTTATTACTATTAGCGACATCTGTTGAAAACATATATCATACTCTTTAGTGTAGCTTTATTCCTCCTAAAAGGAAAGAAAACTGTTAAAACGAGGCAGACAGTGATTCAGGCTTGCAAAGATAGATAGCAGCTGCATCTTTGTTTGCAAATTGCTGCATGTTTTGAACTTTTTGATTCGAATTCCTAGTAAAACTTTCAACACTGAGTCTTAAAAAATATCAGTTCTCGACACATCTTTTTTCATTTTCACAATGAAAAGAAAGTGGCAATTAATAATATGAAGAATTAGGTCCAATTGAAAATTCTGTAAGACGATTATTGAATTAAAAAATAAGCTTAATGAAAAACCAACTCAACCTTTATCAAAATTGGAATTACATGATAAGAGATTGAAACTTGGTGCGTTAACGAGAGTGGTAGGTGTGTGTATTTGAAACTGCTTCTTATAAATTAAACGATCAAGTCTTATGGTTATTGCCAACAACTTATGAAATAAGAGAAAACTTTTAAAGCTGAAAGGTTAAGATTGACAAATTGCAAAAGAAATCGTATTTGATAACGAAACAGCGAGTCCTCACACATTATAAAACCTTAGAATTACGAAATTCTTTGAGCTTGGTTGGAAAACGGCTTGACCTCCTACCCGATTTTACAAAGACGAACTATTAATTATTTATTCTTAAGGTTAATCCAGTTTATAAAAATAGAAACCTCATTGGAAACGGTACTTTAAATATTTGCTTCTAAAATTATTTATGCTTCGATAACTGTAATTTGTATACCCACTTCTTTATATGATTAAGTCCACCATAAATTACATATTTAATTTTTTAATTAACTAAAATTTCTACACGTATAAATCAAATTTAGTATTGAGTACCGATTTTAGTTATGTGTTATTACTGGTTGTCTTTGATATATTTGTATATTGATTTAGAAGCCAATTTATACTGTTGAAGACTAACCAATTGCGTAAATGACTAATTTTATTTTTGACTAATTTCTATTCAGTACAGAAATTCTCAAAGAATGTAATTTATAGGTAGCATTTTTATTCTTGCATACCAAAATATTAAGTAATTAAATAAATTCTAATATATCTTCATTCCAGTTTTGTGCATTAAAAGATAAAATTATATGCATGTACAACAATTATTTAAAAAACAATCAAAATATAGCATATGACAATATTCAAGTATGTTTCAAGCTTTACAATGTAATGACTTAATATGTCATTTTGGAATTGGGAATAGAAACGTCAACGACAGAACGTCAAATAAGATATTTAATATTTGAGAGGCGTACCGCGTACTGTCTAGGGGAGTAGGACTTACGATTGTGTCTCGATCTTAAAGTAACGACCTTACGTATTGCTATGTATAATACGTGTTGCTGTTTTTATTGACTCTAGAACCATTGATCTAATTTTGTCATCATAGTTTACACCTTATTTTTGTGTTTTCAAAGACAATTTTAATTGTCTACATCACTATTTACACTAACAGGCTTATTAAAAAGCTTTAAAAGAATAAAAATGAGTTTACATAAAGCCAGGTAAGTTTATATGATATTAATATTTAAGAAAACAAATATAACACGTAAGTAAAGTAACTGCAAAATATAAATGCTTAAATTTTGCTTATTAACTCACTTTTGTAAGGAAAATATTGTAATTTCTGTACAATATAACTTATGCATGTATTAATTTTTGCGAATATACAGTAATGAGAATATGGAGCTGCCTTATCTATTTGTAAATAACATATCAGGGGAAATAATAATTTTATATTTATAACTAGATATGTAAATTATTTAAAAAACAAGTTTATGTATCCACAATCAAAACTCTCAAAGTTGTTTCTAATTAGTTTGTTTTCCTTTAGTATATGTAAATTGTCAAGGCTACATGTTATTTTGCTTTATAATGTTAAAATGCTATTATAGACTAGTCATAAATGCATCCAGTGTTTAAAACAACAATACTTTTGCAGAATTAAATTATTTGAGGGGATTCTAGAAAAAGATGTCATTGACATCGGACAGCTTCAAAAACTGGCTTTTAATGGTAATATTTTTTCTATATAATTTATACATATTTTATATAGATAAAAAACTAGAATATTTTTTATGAATATGCATATGAAATCAATGTGAATATTTTGTTATAAAAGGTGTGCCGGAGGAAAAGGGTCTTCGATCACTGGTTTGGAAGATACTCCTCCATTATATCCCCACTGAAAAAAATTCATGGGACACAACACTACACAAGAAAAGACAACTGTATCAACAGTTTATTGGTAATTAAAATATTTTTGTAATATTCTGTACAGAATCTAAAGCTATGGTCAAGTAACTATAGCTCGAACATGAGCTGAGTCGACTGGGGAAGTATCACCCTCCCACAGAAGATTGGTGTTGAGTAGTCATTAATGACTGTGTTTCCTCCAATGAGTGAGAGTACCGGTTGCCCTTTCCCTGTTCCCACCCATTCCTGCCATTTCCTTATTTCCACCCCACCCTTTTCCTCAAAATCGAAGGTTGGCAACAGAAATTGTGAAACCTAACCGCACATCAAGTAGGCCATTTACTTGTTTCCCATCTTTCACATAAAAAAAAAACAAACCGAACTAACTAAAGTATTAAGAAACTTTAGTAAGTTAAAATGCTATGGCTGAATAATAGTGATCTTAAATACACTTCAAAAGACTGAGTGTTGCTTAGCAATAGATTTTCCACAGCTAAAATGTTGTATGTGTTATGATTTTCAGATGAAATAATAGTATCACCAGGGGGACCCACTGATCATCCATTGAACATGAGTCCTGATAGTTCTTGGAGCACTTACTTCAAAGACAATGAGGTTCTCTTGCAAATTGACAAGGATGTGAGAAGATTATGCCCAGATATATCCTTTTTCCAATCGGCTACCGAATTTCCTTGTTCGGAAGTGAGTTTAGTTATTTAGTTAAAGTATAAAAAATTATCAAATGCTACATATTTCTTTATGATGAATGTATATGTTTTAATTTTATAGATAGTAAATAGCAATGGTGTAAAACGTCTTCACAAGAGAGTTGAGCAATCTGTTCTAAAGTATTCTACATTGGAGAGAAGAGGCTTGGGTGTAGCTAAGGTTTGATACACACACACACACACTCACACATATGTGTATATATATAGCCAGTTATATTCTTCTTCTTCTACCTGGCAATTTCCCAGCTATAGCCAGGGTCTGCCTTACATGTTGTGTATAGTTTTGGCTATTTGTTTTTACGACCGGCCGCTTGCCTGACATCAACCCTCTTTTGGGAATCAACATTAATCAGTGATGTCTAAATAGTCTTAGAAAGTACATATGACTCAGAAAAATCACATTGGTACTTGCCCGGGCCAGGATCGAACCCGCGCCGTCGGCAACGAGAGGCGGGCCCTTTAACCACTAGGCCACCACTGACTATATAGCCAGTTATATTCTTATATAAAAATGTCATATGATTAATTTAATTTTCCAGCTAAGCAATGAGATAAGACGTACAGATATATCAAGCGGTGACTATACTCCTCTTAATGAAGGCTGTGAAGCTCATTGGGAGGTCGTTGAACGGATGTTGTTTCTCTATGCCAAGTTGAACCCTGGACAAGGCTATGTTCAAGGCATGAATGAAATCATTGGACCAATTTACCACACATTCGCCTGCGATGCCAACATGGAATTTAGAAGTAAGTTAACCATATTCAAGCTGGATAAAGCGCTGATTTTCCATTTTATTGAATTTTTTTATGTATATATATTTTAATACTCTGCAATAGTTATATGTTAGTTTGTTTAAGAGCTAGTTGCTAGTCCACTTTCTACTTATTATGGATTCCATGTTTTGATATTTACAGGTTTAAGTTTAAGCGAATAAATGAAGTAATATACATTATACCCATATATTAAGATATAATTGAGTGATTCAAAATAAAATGATTTTATTACTTGGTAAACCTAAGTCTAAGCGAAGCAATTGATACTTAGAAAAATTTAATGATAAGTAGATTGTTAACAATGCGATTTATCTATAAGTACACATTATACTATTTGTAATGAATTCTGTCAGAATGTATGTTTGCGATAAACTTCAAAAGTACTGAAACTATATATATATGTGTTTCCAGAAGCGGACAAATTATTACCTAAGAAATATACTATGACTATGTGATTTTGTTTAATTATAAACATTATTGAACATAAAAATACTCTCCCATATTATGTATCGTGACGTACTATGTTCAAAATCAGATCACAACCAATGCTGAGCACAAATTAGTAATGTTTTAGTACAATTAATTAAACATTAATATTATATACAAATATTTCAGAGTATGCTGAGTCCGACTGCTTTTTCTGCTTCACAAACCTGATGTCAGAAATACGGGATTTCTTCATACGGACTTTGGATGAGACTGAGAGCGGTATCAACTATATGATGGGCAAGCTGAGTGACTGTTTGAAGAAACAGGATAGGGCTGTGTGGGACCGACTTAAGAAACAGGAGCTGAGACCACAGTACTATAGCTTTAGGTAAATATTACAATATATTTGATATACGGATAGAATTATACTAAAAGACTTGGGCTCACATCAATTCATTTTTGGAACGTACTTTGATGGCAGCCCTAGTAGGTTCTATTCAGATTTGGTTAGGTAGAGAGGAGCTAGGACAGTTAGATATCCCTTATACCTACACCTGAGTCACAAGTCCCAGGCACTGTTGAAGCTCCTCTCACTACAACGATGGACCAGACACCCGCATCTGAATCCATTGAATGCTGAGGGATTTCGTCTTAAATATCTGAATTGAATGTATAGATGTATAAATATCTTCCTATACCGATATAAAATGCAGATAAAGCTGGCTTAAAGAATATAATGACCATCAGTCCTTTCTTATATATAGTATCATAGTAAGCCGTTTAAAGTCTGTGGTTTGTTAACAAATTACCATTTAATCTTCTGATACTCAATATATCTTGTTTGTATTATAAATATAATGTTTCTACTAAGAATGGAATAGTGTAGAATAAAAATGTGACATGAATTTTCTTAGGATATTACTATGACAAACTAAGTATCTTTTTATTATTAAAAATATATATCTTAAGCATAGGGTTGAGTTCAGTTAAGCATAGAGTTTGAATATAATGTTTATAAAATATGGATGTATAAAATATATATGTATTCACATTGCGCTTGTCAAATAGTCAGATAATTAATCCGATTAATAAGTGTCTTGAAAATTACAAAAATAAATTATGCTGAAATGAGTGAACATTTATTAACATATTTAAGGGAAAATATTTTAAAATATTCAACACAATAAATGATAACATTATGTTCACAATCGCTTGTATGTAAAATGACTGAGAATTATTTTGAGAATATTTATTCAATGAACTAGTTTGTTGAACATACAAGAGTCCCATTGTTACTTTCAAGAGATGTTTTGTTAATATTATCATTAAACGATGCAAAAACAATTTTTAGATTTTATATAATTGATATATAGGGTCAGTATAAGTATGTTGACGATTAATTTTCTGAGTTAAACCAGTTAGAGATGATATATTAATTTTTTTTTTCAAGATGGCTGACGCTGCTGTTATCCCAAGAGTTTTCTTTACCAGACGTCGAAAGGATCTGGGATTCTTTGTTTGCGGATGCGAGGAGATTTGATTTCCTTATATTTATTTGCTGTGCCATGATTTTGTAAGTATATGTATACATGAAAAAATTTACAGTACAGATAATATACATATATTATTGAATATTTTTTTTATAAGCAATCACTAAAATGCTTAATTAGTTTCGATAATTTCAATAAAACCTTCTTATGTAAAAAAAATATTATAATTAATTCGATATTTTTTTTCTATGTCGATAAAGTTTCAAATATCAAAGCAAATTGACTATCCCAATATTTGAACTATATTCAGTATTCACAAAGATATTTCAAGAAATAATAAACGTTTTTCTTACATACAAATAGTAAAATCCTAATATATATTTTCAGACTGGTCCGAGAGAACATTCTCAATGGTGACTTCGCGTCCAACGTAAAATTGCTTCAAAACTTTCCACCTATGGACGTAACTTTAATACTTAATAAAGCCCTCGAGATATCTTATACGTAATTGTTGCCAACTATACAAAGACTGCTATGTTGTCTTGGTCTATACAATGCTATAAGCACATTTACATTAGTTATATACATAGAATTTGTATGATTTATGGCTTTCATGACGTCACATTAAGATTATATAACCTATATCGTAGGGGATAGTGCAAAACCGTGTAACAAGCATTGGATAGTTCCGCGTATCTGCATTGCAAGCAAATTATCAGAAGAAAGTTTGAGCTGATTTATAAATTTACGACTTTTAAGGTAATTTTTTCACAATTAGTAATTATTCAGTGTTTATTTATTACTTATTGTGAAAAAATTACCATTAAAATCGTTAATATAGAAAATATTTCAGCTCAAACTTTCTTCTGATAATAATCTGTTTCTAATTTAGATACGCGGAATTATACAATGGTAGTTACGCGGATTTGCACTATCCAAGACGATACATTATGTTGTAAAAGATTTTTTATATGTTCTAAGTAATTCTGTCCAATTCGGTTACCATTTTGTTGCCAATATAATAGAATTGATAGTAATGGAATGAAATACTGATTTTTTTTATTTTTTAAGTATATTTTTAATTATTTTTGTAAGCATTTTATTGATTTTACATTTTATGAACATTAGGATGTATTTTGTTGTTTTAATGAAGTGTATTTTCCACATTTATATATTTTTTATTATGTGTGACGGTATGTGTGTACAAATTACCGATTCGTAATATAAGTAATCTTCTAGGTATTTTTAAGATAAATTTGTACCGTTTCCAAATATCCCGACTGATTTTGACTTCAAAAATTTAGTGATCTATATAGGACCTAATTAGAATATGTAATTTTTTTCTATTAACATTTCGCGAATGTACCATTTAGGATACTTTATATAGTTACTAAGCCCATATTAAATTTAAATTTTATGTGGTCTACTGAATATCGAGAGAAATTAGAAAGTAAGGAGTTATTTTATTGTCAATACTATTATAATTCTTATAAAATTAATTAATTGAAATAAAAACACTATGTCCAAGAATTTTTTTCTATATTTATCTTTAATTATTACTATATATATTTTTAATCAATTGAATACTTTTTTAATTTTATACTAAAACTTTTCAATTTATTATGTTGAATTACTTTTATGGTATATTATATTTACTTTTACAAGTAGGTATATTTATTTGTATCTTTTGTAAAACTTTAAAAAAATATTTTTTTATAACAAGTGTTATATGTTAAATGATCTTTGTATAATATAAATAAAAAATCAAAGTGTTGTGTAGTATTATTATAAAACCTTTTTTAAGTCGTGGCACAATGTTTATTGACTCATGCCTCATGTGGTATATAAAAACTTTATTCTTATTTGGTATTGGATGAAATACATTCCGGTGAAATAAAAAACTGCTAAAAATTGTAGTATCATTGTTTAACTAAACTTTCAACTTCGTATGATTATGTAACGCGTTAAAATCAATGAGTCAAGGAAATTTCCAGTCGACTTTTAATCTTAAAGAGTATGATTTATGATCGAATTTCCATCGCTCGGGTACCGATAATAAAGAAACTTGTTCTCGTAAAAAACGGTGCCTTATATTAATAATTCAAATCTCGCAGTGATGTTGAAGAATTTATTTACAGTTCCTATACATTTTTTTAAAATTTAAACCGTATTATAACGAATATTATTTAAAAAAAATATAAAATTTAATTACATCATGACCGAGAAAATATTCGACAGCTAATCCGTATTCGAAATTCAAAATTTATCGGATAGAGTTATCAAGAATAAGATATTTCTTAACGCTCGATAAATTTATTATATAATGTATGCGAAATTGCAACACGTTTTACCTCACTCAGATAACTATATAAAGGCAGGCACTGTCGAGCGTTGTTCTGCTTTCATTTGACCATGAACTAGAAGCGAGACAGTTACGTCATATATCTTGTATAAGTATAACTCACATACTGTTTTCACGAAATCGACTTAATACATTTATGTATTTTGTTGATTTTTTCCACAGATATATAATAATATTCACAATGTCAATACTTTTTTTTTGTGTAGATTATAGACTTTATGTTATTAAAATATATCGAGACAAAATAAATATTTATTAAATAAAAAAATCGATTATGCATTTAAAGATTTAATATAAATAATTACAATGTAATCGATTTGTACATATTCATTGATTGATAATATAATAGAAAGTAAATATTTTATACAAATATAATGTCCATTTTAAAATTTAGTTTTCTATTACAATACTAATCGTTTTTAAAATATTGGAAACAATAATAATATACTTAAATTTAGTTATTAATGTCGTTAAATAAAAAAAAAATTGAACTATACATTCGAATGGAGAAAACTTTAGCGTTTACAAAGCAATATGGTTCCCTAATGACAGTATTTTATTATAAAATAAAGAACATTATCAAGGAACATATTTTAAACGCATATTTATGTGATATGCTTGTTGAAGCACACACGTTGATTTAGCCAAGGAAGCTTCGGGAGTCTGCTCATGTCTTAAGCTAGTTAGTGTTTAATATATAGTGCTGTTTAATTTAATACATATGGCCATTTTGAGAACAACGAAATACTCTACAGGATAACTTGGATGGAAATGGAAAAATAACTGATCAATTGAAGTTTTTCTCATGTGACTTGGTGAGGTTGATTAATAATTGTGGCTTCAATTTTGTATTAAATATAAAGAATCTATAATTATATATGGATGATTGTAATGAAAGTAGGAATTAACTGTTAAGTTAATAGCATAAATACAGCACCAATATTTTAATCTGATAGTATATGAAGTTGAACACAATGTCTTTACTCCAAAAGTATGTTTCATTTGAATATGCACTTAGTATGATGCAAAAAATAATAATAATACTAAAATAAAAAATAACATTAACAAACATTACACTAAACACTCTTAATTAAAATATTATTCAAAGAAAAAAAATTCTAATCAATCATAATAATCTCCTATCGGATATAAAAATTATACCAATCAGGTAAATGAAAAATATATATTAGCACTTGATATTTTTTTAATATAAGAATTTTGTTATTATGAGTTATATATATACATATAATTATACAAATAATTAGCATAAGATGTTAATAAATACATGTATGTATGTATAATGATACCTTGTTTGAGATTGTGAACAGCCGACAATGTACATATAACTATTATGTATAAAGCTGTGTTACAGATTTCAATGTTTTAGTATAACTATCCCATCTAACAACTAGTGCTGTCTTCAATATGTGAGTGCCGGAATTGGATTCATATGAAAATTTTACACCATTTTACACATAAAAGCACTATCGGCGTACAGAAATTAATTCACCCTAAAAGCCTACAAGCTGCCATTCGTTTCACAATCAGATGTTTTTACTATCACAACACGGATGCATTTATATTATATGCATTCCTTGTCAACGCCTCTTATAATCTAGATTACAAAATCTATATATATTGAAAGTCAAAATAATTTATTTTCATTATTATAACCATTAATAACAAATAACTGATTAATTAAAAAAAAAAGATTGTCTTAAACATTACCATTCTATTAACCTATCTACTTAAGGAGACTTCCACTTGTATGTGAAGCTTGATTTTTTTCACATTTTTCCCACTTCTTTTTAATTAAATTCTTTCCTTCATTCATATGGGTCTCTATCTATTCATAAGTATATATGACATGCCGTTTAAATCTACTATAGCACTATTGTTACAATTCACTAACAAGATTTGTAAAATAATTTGCACATTTCTATGTACTATGTTATTTTTTTGTCATGAAAAAAATAACAGTAGAAATCGTAGAATCAGTGTTGAAACATTGAATACGGAGGATTGAAAACAATTATAATTTTTGTTAGACTTACAAGCACCCTAATTGGCAACATGTTATTTATTTTATATGTGAACTATAGATACAATAGAGATGCCGAGTTGTATTGTAATATATTTACATATAATAAATATTATAAGTGGACGCAAGCAAGTAGCTACAGAATGGGGCTACTATGTTTTAATGTTATTACTATGGGTTACTCTCAAATACTATGGAGGTTTCCGGCTAAGTTTATTGTTAAACAGTCTTAATTCCAACACCATATGTTCCTATACTTAGACATTGTAGAACCAAATAAACGAGATCATTTCTGCTCATATCATGTTAGACCCTTCATAACAAATGACAGTATCCCAGGAAATGTTTGTCATAATCTATAAGCACATAATAAATATCTACTGTAATTCTTCATAGTAAGAGATTATAATACTTCTTTTTTTTTTCATTTCAATAAATAAATATATAAAAATATACATTTAAATTATACAAAACAGGTTTAACTTACAAACAGTATTAAAATAAATTACTAGTGCTTTTTTTAAAAATTTCTTCTAAATAATGATATTATACTCCCTTTGGGTTAAAAATGATAAGTAAAATTTTTGTATGGTGTATAGTAAGAAATTGGGATTTGCTTTTCAGTAAATAACATTTTTCTTTAAATATATCATATGTATATATCTCCGTCGCAGCTCTTTAAAAATTGTTACTGAAGTATTATTTTTCTGAGATTCTCTTAACATAATAAGCATGGCTCATAAATTTAATCGAATACTGTACGGGCTCCTGTTACTTGCGAAACAAAATTACGTTTTTCTTTATATATTCTAAGAACATTACATTTCACCTCACCGGACTAGTCGAACGACAAACTTTACATGCTAAATAAAGTTACATAAATATAAAAAAAAATACTTATAAAACAAAAAAGTCATAACAGTAAAAAAAAAACAAAGAAAGTTACATCTTAAGGCAACCTCGAATCGAATACTAATTAAATAGAACGAAATGGTATATAAAGATCCGATGTACGCCAAATAGCATGATAGGTTGCTGTGAAATATTTTAATGAACACATCACTATGAAAGGTATAATGATGGGTGATTGCTTGTGTTGAATGTTTGTTTTATTGTATGACGCAGCATTGGCACTTCTGTTTCTTCTTGATAGTCACGTGTTCTGGCTGCTGTGGTTCTTGGGGTTGGCTGCGTTGAACTTCCACCTCACCGGCTGTACCATTTTTGGTGCCGTTAGCTGATTTAGGAGTGCTCTGAACAGGGCTGGATATCTTCGTCTGTGGCGACGACGGCGGACTGGCCTAGGAAAGCAGATTATTATCAATAAATATCTTAAAATAAACTAATATGAAAATTGGTTGGAGGAAGTGTATATTGTAAGAGTATTTAGACATCACTGATTAATGTTGATTCCCAAAAGAGGGTTGATGTTAGGCAGGCGGCCGGTCGTAAAAACGAATAGCCAAAACTATTCACAATATGTAATGCAGACCCTGGCTATAGCTGGGAAATTGCCAGGTAGAAGAAGAAGTATATATTGTAAAAGGAATTTCAATATTATAGTAGGTAATTGACAATAATTTCAATTGTACCCCACCCAGCTAGTTAAGATCTGATAGAACATTAACGTTCCCCACCCAAATTGAATTCCCAATTGATGTATAATGTATCCTAATAATGTATGTAATTTACATTGACGTTGTTCGCCTGGACTTTTTCCTCCTTGTCATCACAGATGGGCGTCTGGTTTCCGAGTGGTGGCGGCGTGGGCGTGATCGGCTTCCCGCCTTTGATCAGAGACACTATCTCATCAGCTTCACGACTGAGATCACCGTCAGGACGGAACGGGTTATCCCAGCCGCTTTCAGTACTGGAATATATATTATAAGCATTATATACTGAGCTAACAAAATCGCCCGCACATCCGGGATGTTCGGTTTAATGAGACAATGTCAATTTTACTTTAATACTCCTCACGTAAGTGCGGAAGTAAATCACTGTGACATATATAAATATATATTTATATATATACTAATGTATTAGTATTATGAAATTTTATTTATTTAAATCAAACATAAATCATACAGTGTGATGCCATCAGATAGTGATAAGATTCAAATCAATCCATTCAATGATGGACATGGGTATTGTGTTGTGTACAAGGCCGATGTTTGTATGCAATAATTATCTAACATTAGAAATGATATCACTAGCCACTGGGTTGGTTATCAATGGCATGTGTTGTCATCGCACACACAACATTCAAAGGCTGCTAGGTTTTGCAATACTTTGTCCGGACACATAGATTTAAATATGTCAATTGAAAGTTTATGTACCTACAAAGTCACACCCAGTTTTGGCATTTTTTTTTCATAATAATGTTAATTAAGACTGATATTCAAAATTTTTGTACAAGACTTTATGAACAAGATTTTTGCTTAAAAATAACACATCAAAAACTATGTGATAACATAATAATGTCATGAAAATATTTGGATATTGTAAATATAAAAATAGAAACTAATTATCTAATATCATTAAAAGAATATCATAAAGTACTTTCAATCAAAACATTATCTATTGAAGTCATCATGTACACTACTGCATGTAGTTTTGTAAAATAACTCTCTAATATTTGTTTGAAATTATATAGCTTCTATTTCTATGTGTTTACTTACCTGATTTGTCTATTGTACATAATATGATCAGCCATATCTATGTTAGCGGGAACAGAGAGCCGATCGGAGTACAGTAGATGAATATCTTGTGGGGGAGGTGAGAGACACTGTGGTTGTACTCCCTGGTAGAAGGTCACGCGGACTTTGGATCGCTCCGAACTGGAAACACCATACAGTTTATGTTTGAACTCGTATAAACGACTTACACAGCATTACAATTAAGCTATACAAGCATATCTAATAATGATTATGTAGGATAGTAGTGAAAAACAATTGCAAATACACATTTCGCATAAATAGTATATAATATTTACTCTGTAGTCATAGCGCAAGCAGACAGATGCGAATGTTGATGTGTATGGTAATACAAGTGTATTCTTCATTATATGTGAGTATTATCCACCCACAGTGCCATATTATTTGATGTAATCACACACAGTGTGTTAAGACGTTTCTGTTATACGTTATATTAACAGTGAACGCTGACATAATTTACACTCGTCCTCAAAACGAGCAAAGGCTGCACCCACATGCTTTAAAAATGTATAAGGTCATTCTTATAATGAACTCATGACATCAGACAATCAACAAGTCAGATACAGTGACATGTAAATATTGAACACATTACATTATTAACATAATAATGTCTTGTAGTTTATCTTTATAAAAATAAACACAAAATATCGCAAAGAAATATAGTAAGCATAGCTTATATTTGACAATTAGCTAGAATTCGTTTAAAATGGATGATGATTCCAGATCATGAGTGTAAATTGGCTTTAAATGAAACTGATCTAGTGCTGTGTCAGCTGTAATATAATATGTACAAAGGAATAACCTAAGTTAATTAAACTGTGGGAAAATTTAAATGAAATTATATATAACAGTGATGGAAATGGTTGCAATAACATTGTAAGAGATGACGCTAGCTCCACGGCCTTGTGCTGGGCCACAGGGCGGGTCCTCGATTTGGGATTACGATCGGTGATAGTGGTAAATTATAAATAGAAAATCCGAGTGTATGCCAATATAGTTTTATTTTCACGTACATATATGTGACCTTGAAGTGGACAACACTGAATATAATTAAAAATGATTTTATGTTCTTAATTCGGTCCTAATGACGTCATTCCTCCAAATTCACAACACAATATTTGCGGATTCGGGGTGCTATGTTACTGTGTTACTATCCAGATAAAAGATAAAACCAATATAACGCACAAATAATGTATATACCACAATATTATTAGACGGCATTCAACAAATCGTAATGCGCAGCATATTAGGAAAGATTAATTTGTAAATACCATACCTTTCAATTCACAAATATAACCGGTGAACACTAACATGTAATTCAACGTTTTTAAGGTCACATAAAACTAATGAGATTACTAATGTAGTACGATTTAAAACTTTAGCCCAATTTATGGTACAAAATTTGTCCGGCGCTTTACAAAGAACAGTTTCACTGCGTTCACAACATCGATCTCGGAAGTCGCGGTCGCGCGCGGCCGTAGCGAATGGAGCGAAGCGGGAGGAGCAATTCAGTGCGATTCGTGCCAGTGCCGTGCGTAGTGACGTTCTTATCATTCACTAGCACGATTCACGATTCTCATTCGATCTCGATTATTTTTATCGAAATGATGTAGCGTACTAGAGATATCTTTATTCCTATTTGTTATTGAGGAGATTTATATTTAGATGATATTACTTATCGAAGTTTATGAAGTTTATATAATATCTATTAGATTCAAATTATATATTTTGTGTTCGTTTTAAAGTATCTTTAAATACATTTTGTTTCGAAAATCCATTTATTGAATACTTAATATAAAAAGAAAGTAGAAAATAATTACCTGGTTCTATTGGAATATATATGAATATTTTCTAAAATCAATTATATCGATCATAATAATTTTCTTATCGATACTCTTTAGTCAAAACATTGTTTCCTATCGTAACATCCATCCCTTTTTATCGAAAAATTCGAATCAACTGTGGTAACTGTTCCGAGATATCGAATAATAAATTCTATTGTTCATGCAGCGACTTTTTTCAAAAGGCTGGTATTGCAATGAATAATTCAATCATACAACAATTTAATTCCGAATGATGGATATATCGATGATCACCATTGAATTCAAATGTGATTTGCAATCTTATGTTTTAAATTATGTAACTTATAAAATTAAGGAAATCGACAAATGAATATTAACCTAAATTAATACAAATAACTATTCGAAATGTCATAATGAAATACGAGCCGAAGTAGTAAACTTTAGTTGTTACCTCAAACTTTTACCCTCGAGTATTGCATAATAACTATCAGATGGTGCATTCAAGGCTTTCGTAAAGACCTAAATTAACAAGGTCTCCCGTGACACACTATAAGTATTGTATGCAAGTTCTTTAAAATTTAAATACTTCATTCTTTCTAGATCCACAGTTATAAGAAAGTATAAAATAAAATCTTATTATATCTTGGCTATTCTTAATCTTTTTTGTTGTACAGTTGCCGTTTCTCATTTTTTATTCATACTTTAAGTAAATGATTGCGTTTCCAGTAGTTTTAGAATTATATTTTTATCGTTTTATTAACCATAATGGCTATGGCGTTGCGGCGGTAGTGTTGACCAAACTAATGTTTTCCCAGAAACTAACTTACCGGTAAAGGTTGCTAGTCGAGATAGGGGCCAAGTTTTGTGACCGTTACATTAAAAAAAATAAATGAGATATATTTTTTAAAGTTTTTGTAAAAATACCGTATCAAAACACCGCTACGTTTATATAGCAAGTTTTTTGAGAATAACCTTTCGCAATAACCTTTATGGAAATACTAGTGTCATAAATTATACAATACAAGACTGAATTAATAAAGAAACGGAATTACCGATATAAATAAGGTCAAGTGAATGGCTATATATTGTTATAAAATACGTAATAGCATTTTAAGATCTATAAACATTAAAAATGTATCGAGGTGACCAAAAATACATTTAGGATTGTTGACAAAACGTCAAACACAATATTTGGGGAACCCCTGTCTATATAAATTAATTTAATAATACTTATAATAGTTACCTTCTGAAAGCACAACTAGTTGACGTATTTAGGTTTTATCGAAATATATATAAAATGTATGGAATAATGCTTTCTATACACTTTAAAAAAGAAACAAAAGAAAAATAGTTGAATTTTATTATAAGAAGAATAAAATAGATTAAAAAATATGTTTTTGAGACGATTTGATCACAGACTAGATTTAGACATTCCTATCAGTGTTTTAGTTTTTGCATAGGTTGAAAAATTAAGTATGTAAGGTACGGCTCCACCAAATATGCTTCTTAGATTTCACTGATACGAGTTCGTTGACCTTTGTTGATTGCAACTGTTTAATGCATATACGGTATCTGTTATCTTTATACTATCTCAGCTGTTATTACCTATTACCGCTTTATTGACAAACTTTTTTAATATTTATTTAGATATATAAACTTTTTTGAATTTAAAGCTGTTTAAATTATGTCATGACCAATGTTATGATAAAAAAAAAATATGAAGTTCGTAAAATAAAAAAAATTAATAAAATATGTTTAAGGCCTGTGTACAATTATGGATTAAGCTAGAAACACATGAACTTATTACTAAATTGAGGGTGATGGAAAGGGAGTTTTACACTGTTGATTTAAAGCAAATTTTACAAACAATATTATTTCAAAAGCTATTGCAATTTAAAAAGAGTAATTAAATCGAATTTTGTTATTTTTTATAACCTATTATTTGCTTTGAAATAATAATTCTTATATAAATAACAATACTTAATAGACATTTTATTATAAATAGATCAATACGAAGTAGAACTAATTAAAATTCAGAGCGTATTTGATAAATTTTGTACGATAAATAATAACATCATTTTAAGTAATAAAGTATTTAAATATTCCCATCTTGAACAAATAAAATTAACTTTATGTAATACACTATAATGTCAATAGTTCAATGAATAATCACAATAATATTTTTCATCATATATAATTATTAACACTAAGAACTATATAAGCATCTATGATAACGCTTTTAAATATTTAATTTTTGACTTCTTCACCATTTTAAAATCAAATGAGTCATAAAACACACCCAAACATACGTATATATTTCCAACGTGTACAGTGGCTAACACAAGTCGACATCACAACGTAAGAATTGTTATCAATATCTAATTTATAGACCTTACAACAATATAGTTTTAGTATACATGATTGAAAACACGTTATGTAGTGTTACATATAGACTTGTGGTGAGCATTGTATTGTGATCCGAATTAAAGATTTAATTCATATTACGTCACTGATTATATGTATATATATTTGTAATCGTCTGTTTGACATTCTCTTGATATGTTATGTAACTATTATAAGACGCTATTTAAAACAAAACAAGCATCACAAGCAACGACTGGGGTAATAGTATGTATATCTGTATACTGTTTTTGCCCCCCGACTCTGTCGTGAACACGAGAATTAGGAGTAGAGAGAGACGCATGTTTATTCAAATAATGCAAATAGTAAACTAAGTTATAACCTCTTCATTTTAAATAACCTTGATACTGATTCAGCGCCATCTGTCGGGTTAAAATGTGCAACTCGTTCTCAACCAAAAATCATTCAAATAGGTCCAGCCGTTTAGAAGTTCAGTGATATACAAACGAACAGTAGATTTTGATAAAAATATATACAAAAAATATCTTATAAGTAAGTATAAATTCTATAAACACAAATTTAATTCAAGAGTTTTTCTAATGAATGATTGCAATTACAAAGCAGCTTCATTTTCCATACATACATAGTTACATACATCGTAAATAAATAGATTTTATTGAAAATCAAACAATTATGATTCTTAAAATATAGTCCTAGATTGTTTATTCTGTAATTTGTATTATAATATTAGGTAATTTATATAGTTATACTTGAAGTAGGACATACTAAAGACAGAAAATATTTTTCTAAGTCAAAACGTCTGAAAGAACGTCATTGATTTAAAGTTATAAAGAAACTTTTCATTGAATATATTATAATACTGTGCTTATCATATTCAACCTTGTATCTTTCTACTATTTTTTATCGTTTTTTAGCATATCATTATTCCTACTATAAGTTTAAGAGTATAAGAGTGTCCTCTCTCTCACTCCAGAAGCTACGTAATGTGTGACTTAGTAAATTAAAGACTGGATAAAAAGTATTTAATTTGACGATTCGAACTTGTGGTAATTACAAAAATAAGGAGTTCTTGAAGTATTAAGAAATTGAGGAATTGTCTTAAAACCTAAATCAACCAATTCTCGTTTTAAAAATATTAAAAAAATCACAAAAACTAAAAAAATACGTGCAAAAAAATATGCTTTTTTTATTTATAACTTAGTCTCGGAAACCATACCAGTGTGATTTAATAGCTATGGCGATGTTCTCAGAAAAAAGTATTATATTTATACTTGAGATATTTACACTAGAAAAGTATATATATATAATTTGACATGAGCTATAGGCGTCAATGTAATTCTAATTACAAAACGATATTAATCATTTATATGTTATGTAAAACGATTTTTTTATTTTATTATAAATAATAAATTTTATATTTCCCATTTCTCGAGTAAAAATATTTAGGAGGTCAACACTGAATCTTCATGGACTACGTTTAAGTGAGCCAATAGTAAGACACCGAGTAAATGACAGTTAATTGAGTACTACTGCGGCTGAATAATTACAGTCCTTTCGCTTAATCTGTTTTAAGACTATTGTTGTTTTTACGACGAGTTTTTTTTAATATATCAGATCTTGAATCAAAGCCAATTATTATTTTTTGTTTATGTTTTTTTTCTTTTTGCAACACACCCATTTATTAGCAAAAACTAGAAAGTAAAGCAATAATTTTCTGCACGGAAGTAAAATAGTCATAGTTTTGATAGCGTTGTTATTCTTTCACAACATAAGCTATGCACACAACTGAGAGAAATAGACTGAAATAGGTGAAAGTACTTGCCAAGTTCAATACATTTAGTACTTTTGTTTCGCGTATATCAAACTTTTAATGTAAATAATTCGCAGATTCGCCTTGGTTGTAGAAATAAATAAAACATACTCAAAAGAACATAACGTACTCGTCTTCGACGGGCGTGTATGGGAACGATGTCTCCTGGAACTTGGGAGGCGGGCTGGTCTCTGGCTCTTCCTGCAATGGACTCTCATAGATGAGCGTCTCCACCATAGATCCTTTGGAACTTCCGAAGGATACCCTGGAAAAGAACTAGGGTTATACTAAAACAAACAACAGACCCTTAAAATATTGCTTTGAAAAACGAGCATAAGAATTGGAGTAATGAGCTTCCGCTTGCAGATAGACCGACTTTTTACAAGTCATAATGGCGCAGTTCTTGATTTCAGGCTATAAACTTAATTAGATAAAAGGCACGTACACCGAGCGGACGGGCGGAAAATGTAATAAAATCAAGGTCTACGTGTGTTTGATATCAAAGGTGAACACTGATTCACAGCTAATGTCACCTAATAGATCGAACGACCGGCTAATTGCCCACTAACAATACGAGACATTTCACAACACCTATAAATTTTAATTCAAACAAGGTTTTATTGTCATACATATAAAAACTTTTTTGTTCGTTTGACATCTAACTGACGTAGCAATGAATAGTTCAGTTTTTACGACTGAGAAAAGAAAGCGAGTTTTACACAAAATAAAATATTAATAAAGGTAATTACAATTTCAGTTTATAAAATAAATACGGAATAAATTTTAATTTGACCTTTAATTTGTTCTTTTAATAAAAGTCGGCCTATATTTTCTAATTGGTTCGTGCGCAGACTTCCATAACATTCGACCTTATTATGAATGAAGATAATATTAACTGAATTTCTTTACCATCTCGATGTGTATGTTTAAATTATTAACGATATTATCTGGTACCATTTGATTGACAGGTAGGTATTTGATATAAAATTAGTCCGTCCCAAAAGCTCGATTCTCTTATTAAACGTACACTTTCTAATCGACCTAGTTCATTTAAACCTAGACTCTTACTTATTGTATTTCCGCATGGATAGGAAGCTACTTAACATTCTTTGTGTCGGTCGGCCCACTTAACTATTTGTCACTGTATCCCTTTGCGGTATTTGCTATTAGTTATATATCATCTACTATGTATCATATTAATATAATAATATTATAAACATAATTCCGTTACATATAAAAATATGCATTTTTTATGAAACTTTTTGTCATAGAATTTAAACGCAGGCAATGATTAAAATAAGTAATTGGCTAGTATAGTATCATTGAATCAAAATTAATTCATACAATACAATTACTTACATCATATTTTTTTCATGATACAAATCCAAATATAATTCATATCCCTACTAATATTATAAATGCGAAAGTACCTCTGTCTGTCTGTTACGCTTTCACACCTAAACCACTGAACTGATTTTAATGAAATTCAGTACAGAGATAGAGTTGACCTTGAGAAAGAACATAGGATAGTTTTTATCCCAGACTTTTGAAAAGTTCTCTTGAAAACACTATACAACCTAAATCAACGCGAGCGAAGCTGTGTGCGGAAAGCTAGTGTATCATATATTAGTATTACGTTATATAATACTACTACGAATAGTACCAATACATCTATTGAATAAAAATATTGCAATGATGTAACTATATACGAATTCGCCTATAATAAACATTACTACGGCCCATATGTATGTACAGTATCAGCTACCGGTAAAACATCAAGTATTTTATCTCGTGTATTTATAGTAATCATGATAAAACAATTGCTTTAGTAATAAACGTTATCTTAATTGGATTACAGTTACCGGAGTGCATCAATTAATTATTAATTGAATAAGTAATTTAATAACGGAGGATGGCTAAGGATTTGGGTGTACTTAAGTATGATCCAAACACTGAAGCATTTCAGTCTAGGGCCCAGTGGAAGAAGGCTGATAATTGTAGGAAGCAGTGGGTTGAGCGTTGGAGCTGGTTGCTTGATGAAAGAAAGTAAGGACACACACACACACACATACACACACACACATTCACACAGAATGCTACCTACAAAATCGTAAAGTACATTTTTTTGTCACTGGCAAAACATTTCAGGAAATTTATACCCTAATTGACTTTATTATTATTAATTTAATTCTTAATAATTTAAATAATGAATTTAATTTTAATTGATGGTAAAAAAATACGTAAAAGAACCTCAATTTGGTCAACATAAAGTTAGCCTAACATAAGGATTACATGATATATTATATTAGAAGTATCAATAAATTTTCTATAATGTATATTTTTTCAGTGTATTACTATGTGTTGTCATTCGTGTTTATTGCTCTCTCAACTTGAAACATCTGGGCGGACTTGTATGTAATGATATATACGGGTTACAGAAATAAAAATTTTCCACTCAGCGTACAATGTATGGGCATTGGGCATGCCTTGTTCGGGATACTTCCATTAAGTAAAGAAAACTTGGTCAGGAAATTATTGGATTATTAGTCTATCACTTAAGAATATTAAGATAAATAGATCTTGTGCAAAAATTTCTGTTGGTCACTATATGAAGTTACATTTAATTTTTAAGTAGATTCTGATAGTTTTAATATGTTCAGAGCCATGTATATTACGTATTTTTCTATTCAGCTAATGAATAAAGATCATTATAATATTTTATATCGATTTATTTTATATTTATTTCTATACAAGTAAAAACCGTTGAGATATGTACAATCTTATCGTGGTTTCTTATAAAAATTGGAAATAGACGTGTAACGGTAGATTGCTAATAAAATTTTATTATAATAATATATTTTATATGTAAAAATTAAGAGATATACATAATATTATAGGACAGATATTTCACTGCATTGTATGTTTATAAAAAATATATCGTAAATAAATTCTCAAGCAAGCCGAAGACCGAATCAATGTACCAAATTCGTTTCGGTTGTTAGAAACATGTTAAAATCGTTTTACGTAAAACCAATGTCAAATATCTTTTAAGACGGCTGCCCACGCACACATGAGTAATAAAATTTCCATAAATTTATATAGGTAGATTTGAAAACAATAACACATATATGTTTGGTGTATTATATTAATTATTCTGCAGATTGGCCCAGGCTGAGGCGGATGTAATACGTCAAGAAACAGCGTCTGTCCTGCCACATGTCATTGGTAAAACGGAATCTACGAAATCATTGAAACCAGTACCAAGCACATCATCGGGCATTATCGGATGGCTGGCTGCCAAGTTTGTGATTTTTTATTATATATACAGAAACTGAATCAGATTCCTAAAGATATTACGCAATTTATTGAGTTAGAGACGCGTGAGAATTTAATGGCAATAATTAGTAAACATTGACAATATAATATTATAATTATTATTTCATTTCAAAAGCACTTTCGTCTATTGCAACGTGCCAATTTTGTATCTAATGATGCGGGAAGATGGATTGTATATGTTTATTATGGTTAAATACATCGTGTTTTCTTTGCAATGGCATTTTTTTGATATGTTTTTAATTTTATTTTATACTATCCAGGTTTGTTGAACTCTTAATTTATTTGTTCAGGCCGGACTGCCAGTTGGAGATATATACATCCTGGATTGTGAAGGTTCCAATACGACTACCAGATACATGGGATGACAAGAAATATCTCGGTTAGGTATCCGAATTGTAGTTGTAGTATTGCTATCTAATCACTCGAATACATAAATCAAAAAAGCAATATTTCCGGCATCCATTATCGCATACAATTTTCTCGATATAACCTTGAAATAATAAAAAAAATATATGAATATTCCGTTCGTCTTTCGTAAAAAAAATATTATTTTGAATAAACATATTAAATAAATTTGTCATTTTTCTTAAAAACCATATCACTTTAGCGACGAGAACTCGATGTGCCATAGATTTGAGATAATGAATTCTATTTTTAGCGAACACTTATGTTTACAGTACTTAAGACCACGAATCGTCCGAACGTTCTTTAACTGATTGGACCTTATGACAAAAATTTACGTACAAAAAGTTTAGCATAAGATAACATTTCTACTCTATCTACATATTTTTGGTCTCTTAATTATTATTATTAGTAACTAGAAGACCTGGCGAACTTTGTATCGCCCTATAATCAAGAAATAACTATTACGTTTTTTTATTTATATTTTTGGAGTTTACCTGTAAGCCATAAATCTCCGTGTTTTGAAGTGCGACAGAATCATTGACATATTAGCTAGTTGTCAAATCTAATGTCAAAAAAAAACTTTTGTATGGGAAATAGAAAAGGGCTGTTTTTATGGTTTTCCCAGTAATGAATCAATTTTTTTTTGCTTTTATAGCTTCCCTGAACCTCCACAAACATTTCAAGACTAATATAAGATAAATCCGTTCAGCTGTTCTCGAGTTTTAGCGAGACTAAGGAACAGCAATCCATTTTTATATATATAGAAGAAGAAGATTAGTGATTGTTATATACAGTTACCTTTTTAGCGATGTATGTTTGTTTCCATTGAGTAATTTGTGTTTCGGTTTATCGTGTGCTCCAGTCGGCGTTGAAGATGATATTGTGAGGTCGCTCGCGAAGGAGCTAGTTGAGGAATCCTTGGATATATTAGTTCTTGGCCTTCTAGCCGTTGATTCAGGGCTGCCAGGGCTTGGGACCAGCTCCAACGCTAAACGGCCCTTCGGAGCTGGAGGCGGTTTCTCATCCACCGGCACCATGTACGACAGCATGGCTGCCTTATATATTATTCACATCAATTAAAGCACTAACATTTACTTTAGACAGCAATAACTATCATGTTTTCATTCGGGTAATACTGTTCTTGATTCACACACACGTCGTCTGTCCATGCAGTGATAATAGAGGCTGTAAGATAAAAAAAAATATACACGTGAACACATATGACATGTAGAAGATAATATTTGACAGTAGTTCCTACAAGTGTCACTAAATTTAAAGGTTCAAAGTATAGAAATTTCGTTTTAGTAATGATTGAAAACAATTTTCGCAAGATGTCGCCGACAATACGTAACGAATTCTCAATATCCATTGATGTCATGCCGTGACCTAATTAATGTCGCATTGACTTCGCATCCATTAATGTTCCAGTCTAGTTGAAGAACAATTTCGGTAATTTTTCAATTTTTATTATAACCGTGGACAGTTCATTACTGCCGCCGGTATAAATTGGATTGTGACGTCACCGCTAGCCAGAGCAAGTGAAGTTATTTAAATAAACGCTGACTCGAATATGACATAAAAATGTTACATTAGATAACGATAGAACATTACTATAACATACTAGCATTGACTCTGTCAAGGTGAAATTAATTATACAGCCAATAAACGGCCTCACAGATCATAAATATATGCTTATTACAAAAGTTGTTTTTTTTTCATCTGTGCAAATTTAAATAAAATTCGCAAAAAAGGTTTTATATGTAATATAACTCGCGTTTGGAACTCAAAACATTGTGTGCCATTTATGAATATAATCTTGGTAAATGTTCAATCTGGTGTTTCTCAAACAGAATATTAAACGTATGAGTCACGCGTAACGTGAACATTTTACTTATACAAATGTGTATTCGTAATTTTTTTTAAACTACACATATTATAGGATGTTCCTTTATAATTATTAAGAAAAGTGACGTGTGTTGTTGATTTGGCTCCAACACAAATCGCGAATGCGTTTTCGGTGTGGGCGGATGCCTAAATATAACTTAATTTAATGGCAAGTTAAAAGAATTTAAGATAACCTATTAAAGTATACAGAAAAATTTAAATTGCAATAACTGTTATATAATATTAACGTAGACAATAGTGCAGGACCGTTAAAGAGCATCGAGTCAGTGGCGCAATCGTTAGTCTTGGGGGGAATAGGAATGACAATATAATGGCATTCCTTCACCAGGGAAAGGTCAATCTCCTGCACTGACCCAATAATTAGTTGCATATCATTTAGAAACTGCACTTGTGATCTTTTTTTTATTAAAATAAAAAAAATAACTAAACCAGAACGTCAAATATAGAAATATTTTTCGAATTCGAAATTCAAAATTACACAGTCAATATATAGTTTACAAACTTAAGCATGTGAACCGTCGCTCAAGACAATTACAAAATAAATGCATTCATCGATCGACATTCTGACTTCCATTATTTGAAAAAAAGTTAAGTTAAAAAGATACAGAAATAAAACATTTGTACGACAAAAATTGTAGAGAGCATTGGAACGTAAATAGAAATAATCAAATCAAGCCAAACAAAACGGTCACGCAGGTGTAGTTGCGGTTTTTCAGTTGTATAATTACACTTTGTGAATGAAGATCGTAATCGGATACGTGACACTGGGCTGTTACCATTACAGAACGCTAGACGCTCTCTCATGAATGTGGGAAAGATCGCAAGTGTTCCGATTCGATAAGTTCCAACATCTATGGAGAACTGCATACGATTACACAGACAGACAGACAAACTGACACGGTTTACTCGGAATTAATTATTAATATAATCATATATATCTTCTTAATTAATTATTATAGGTATTGAAATATTCGGTCTTGATTCTGGTTATTTTTAAGTAAATAATTATTGTTTCTACATATAATTAAAATGAAGTCGTTCAATTTCATCGAATTAATTATTATTATAATTTTTTCAATTCACTCAAATATTTTAATTAAAATAAGAATAAATTTGTTATTATTATTATCACAGGAAACTATTTACAAATAACATCGTTAAAGGATAATTAGGAATCATTTTAACGTATTTTCAAAACAGGAAAAATGAAACGTTCTTAAATATTATGCTAAACGGTATAAACTTTTTGAATATAAACACAAAATAAGAAATATTGCAAATACATTTTCTTTTTTCAATTCAATATTTATATTTTATAAACTAAAGACAGAATTTAACAAACGCATAGGAACATCAAAACACCCGCGTCTTTTATATTCCAAATTTAAAAAGTTCATAAGTTATCAACATTACTCGACCTTGAAAATGCAAAACTTGTCTTTATAATTCACTTGATAGTTTATGTATTTAATATTACATGACGAATGACGATTTCATAATAAAAATGCAATATAGATTATAATATTAAGAAAACGATTGAGTAGTAATATTTTAATTTGTATTTTATTGACGATTGCTTATCTATAATGGGCAATTATTTTTTTATTTATCTGTTATCGTTTCTACTAAGCGACGGGACGTTAATGTCGTTTCGCAATGCTGTCACCAACAGAAGTACGTTTTAGTGAAATATTTTGCGTTATTTGTTCCCAAAAGTTAATAATATAAAGTAAAAGTCAATATATATAGCGTCGTTCTCGTATAAACTTATATTTTCTTTCATCATTCATCTTTATTCTTCATGTAGAACCTACATGTCATATGTATTTGTTTATAAAAAGTACGTGCGACACAAAAGACCCGGCGGCGGCTGTACGGAAGCGGATATTGAGTGCAAATATTTTGCAAAAGATTCACCTGCCATGTTTACCTTATACCGCCAGTAAACTTAAATTTCCGTCCGTAATATAAAATTCCCGTCGCACTACAAGTTATGAACGTTCCAAGTTATTCCAGATTTACTTAAATGTGAATTTCGAAGTCGTAGAAGTGAAGTGTTTCTCTCCGTGACTTGTCGGATATCGATTTGTGTTTGTGAAGACGGTATACCGTTGTTTACCATCTTGTTACGGTACAATAATAGTCATTGCGTTAGTTACGAGAGATTTATAAAATACTTCTGACAAACAAGCCGAGCACGCGATTTTTTCTCGTCCACTTTGATGGATAGAGAGGTACGTGTGTTTAAATTTGTCTGGTTGTTTTCAGTTTGTATGTATGTATGTTTTGTAACCTCGCCCAGGTGACCCGGCTCATCATCGTATTGTAGGTGGATGGTTCCGGCGCGCCCAGGTGACGTGGGCAGGGCTGCCATTGTCGGACAACCAATCGTCATTGTATTACTTATGTCCAGTAACATCCGTTCGGAGACACATCTAATGCATTTATTCTATAAACAAGCGATATATTACCACAATTTCAATACAATTATAACACTGACGAGACCAATATTTTTATTAAACTTGCCATGTATCAATAGCTTCCCTCGACTCTATATTTTGTATAGCAACACTTGAAGATATAATCTGTTGTATTAGACCTGGTTACGAGCATTGTATAGTTTAAATCGTGATATTCTTTTGCCGCCTATCAACAATATTAATAGTTCCCTCCAAGTTCCGACTGACAAGAATACTCGTTCTAGAAACGTCAAAGAACAACTTAAAAGTCGTGCCAGCTCTATTATGTACAGTAACAAAGCATCGGTCTCGTCAAAATCATAAAACTCTTTAAAATCAACTTTCCAATCCCAGAGTAACGAAGCATTTCGATAAATATATATATTTTTTATTGCCTCTGTGGCAAAATTAGTCTATGACTGGGGAAAAATAGTTCCAATCCAAGTTATCCTATTGCTAGTTAAATGAAGTTCGTGCATCAAATTCTATTGAGTGTAACTGATTTGAAACTTTCATTATGTTTTATCTATTATCTCATTATTATACGAGGTGATATCAGTGTCGGTTTAACAACAATGACTGGTACAAGATGAGACGCCAAACATTAATTTTCTAACATTTATATGGCCAAATAAAAATATTATTGAAGTTTATCTGTTGTATAGAACAATTAATTCAATATGGAATGCAATTAGCGTAATAATTACTTACGATAAAATCTAGCTGTCATTAAATGAGTCGTTTGATTGATTGCGTTTTGAAATTTTTGAATAATTTCATATTAGAATTATACATGTTTTTTGTTCATAATATTAACATACAACGCAATGACAGACTTTTTTAATGGTATGCCATTGTAATGATAATTGGCATTGTTTTTTTTTGTGAAAATTTATGAATGACCTTGAAATTATCATAGATTGAAATGCGAAATTCTCCGTAGAGAGAGTGTAGGACAGAATATTCTATCATCAAGAGAAATTAATGCTAATGCAATGAAGACAGAAATCGTTAGGAATAATTCATGGAAATGCATGGGGATGATTAAATAATTTTATCTGATTATTTTTTTTTATTTGAAACAGAATAAGAGGTTATTCATTTTCATTCTAAGGGTTCTGAAATAGTCGAATTAAAATTTATCAACGATTAATAAAATTATAGTACAATAATAAAATGGACATATTTAAAGTAATAAAATTAATAAAAATATTGATACTCCATCCAAGACATTGGATAATATTAAAATGTCAGTGCATCCTTTATAAATAATATATGAAAAAAAAAACATTAAGGAAATGCAAAACGTTGGTGATAAATTAAAATTTAATTTATATTCTTGCTTATTTCTAGACGATTTCTCCCACTTGCAAAATTGCAATGCAAAATAAAAAATATTGCCAGGATCAAAATTATAAAAAATAATAATTTCTTATATATATAAAAACTTGCAATTTGTGACAAAAATTTACGAATAAAAATCGCAAGATTACAGAGCTAATCAACTTGTATGTATAATGTACTTGTAGTCGATCAATTATAAAGCGAATAAGCAAAAAAAAAAGATACAAAACGCAACATTTGCCATATAAAATAAAATTACAATATAATTAAAAAGGAGGTTTGTAGGTCTAGTGGATGCTGATTTAGTGAAAAATCATAGCGAAAACTTCTGCTTAATAAACTTTTTTTTATATAATTATTACCTAATTTAATTCTTGCAACACTAGCACGTTACAATTTATTTGATAAACTCTAGTCGATATATATTTTCTATTTATAGGAGTGTTCTATTAGCGTGACCTTGAACCTTAGCTAGAAAGATTTGCGTTGATGCCTTTCTTAAAGCGTAGCCAATCTCAAAAATTTGTTCAAAATAGATGGCCTTGTCTATGTAAATAGTATTTTTTTTCTATAACTCATGGATATTTCTTTGAGATATTATTTTGATATAAGGAAGTCGTGTATATGAAAAAAACTCGACCTTCCCCAACACGGATGAAAATGTTAGCAAAAATTTGAATTTATATAGCGTATTGCAAAACAAAATGATTATTAAACCGTCGGGACACCTACATGATGTTTTCATTAAAACGTTTATGGATTTGAACTGACGCTGTAACCTTTAATATGCAATATATTTACATATTATGTAAAATGTTATACATCTTATTTAAACAAGTGCGAACGAGATGCGAATATAATTAATATGTATTGAATAAATATTTATTACCGAATATTCATCAAACTATTTATTTTATCTCATAGAAATAGTCCACGGAGGAATATTTGTCCTCTGAGGAACAACGTGATTAGGGACTTGCGTAACTCAATGCAGGTTTTGCGATGCAACTCACGAGCCATCAATAACTACAATGTATAAGGAAATTCAAGTAAATAGTGGCGATTGATTAGAACTTTAAAATATATACAATATTAACACTTTAATAATCAAAAACTAACTATAAAAAGTTAATCAGCGACGCTATGAGAGAGCTATTACGAGAAAATCATTATTTTAATTATAATTAACACATTAATCACGTTACGTACATCTGAGATTTGAAAACATCAAAGCGTCTGCAAATCTCCAAACGTAAACATTGATAATTTATAATTAAACTGGCATAATCTCATTATTGTCGACGATATAATAGGGCCTGGAGTATTTAACATTTAGTTAAGGTATTGCCATAAATTAAGTGCATACATACGTGCACTGGATCCTTTGAAAGAAGCCGGTGTGGAGGGCGCATGCAGGATCGCCTATTCAAATCTTTAGCAGTACGTATCAAAAACAAGTGCGAACGAATAGATGCGGCCCGGTGTTTATAAACATTGAAACAGCGGCACGGGACGGGATGCGATCAATATACCGCCGGGCGTACTCTAAGCGGCCGGAGACACGTAGCCGGGCCCGACAACCACAACACAGACGTACTACACCAGCGGCTACCAACAGCCGTGTGTACTGTGTGCGCCGCCCTACAGCGTTACGTCACGCACATTTGACAGCTAGCGCATGAAACCAGCGTCGTGGCTATAGTCCGCGCCGCGGCGCCACCGTCGCGGGACGCGGCGTGGACTGTGGCGTGCGAAGTGCCGATAGCGGATCGATAGAATACAATGCGTCGCGCATCGCAAGACGCAACCCGCGGCCGCCGGCACGCCGCTGCACTCCCGCACCGAGCCGGGTTTTGTCTTGTTGGCGCTCCAATGACTTGCTACTTTGCCGCCATTTGAATGCATCTCGCTTTATGTATCAATCTTATTTAACACCACCTATATGACATGACAAAACAAAATTGATGCAAGCTTTGTTTGTAGGATGCAACCATTTAAAATTTTTAAAAGATCGATATTTTTCAGATTATATCTTCATTTTAGTTTACATACATTTTGTAGGTGATAAAAAAACACAAAATAAAAATCCATATTATGCTATGTCCCAAAATCCGTAATTAGTTTATTGAACACTTATTTACATCATGAATACTCTTTCTATAAAGTACCTAAGTACTCATTTAACAAAATTTTAACTGGGTGACCTTTTTATCGTCCAGTCATTGACGTCGTTTTGGAAGGCTTATGCCGTCATCAATGCTAGGTCTTTAACACAACTTTACTAAAATGATGTAGGTATTTTAAAACACAGAATTAGAAATTAAAAAAGCCCAAATATTTTACAACAATCTTTACTTCTAGTCTGTTGTGTACACTTATCAAAGAGTACGAAGGATGATCAATTTTTTGCTACACGTACCTACCTATTTGTAGGCTGTATGAAATACGACATTCATATTTCACTAACAAAAATACACACTTCTTTAACACCTATTTTGTGTTTGCAATTATTTACGAAGAAAATCCTAAATCCATTTAGTTCAATTAATCTAAGTATAGTCGATTTTATAAAAACATTTTATATGCTTCGTTCAGAAGTTTTAAATATTGTTAATAATTTTGTAAAGTTTTATTTTTTTCCGTAAAGCTTTTTTTTTTAAAGGAGACTATAGCATCAAGGAGCAGAGATCTACTATTTTCATAGCCGGCATTTCTACATTTTGACATAGCCTATGACACTAATCAAACAAAACTCTGAAAACAAAATAAGATTCTATAAAGGATATTGAACTTTGGATAGGAAGTCCCGCTTTTTTAAGTATTAAAAACAGGCCATAGCTGCCATTAGCCGCAAAAGAAACCTTAAATATGTAAAAATGTATTTTACCGGCGTGGCTAAACCTCAACACGACGAATAAAACAACAATACCATAAAATAAAAGCCATTATCCAAAAATATACTTTATTGGTTTATAACATACTTTATATTAGATACAAGTCATCCATTTACTTGAAGCTTTCAACACATTGAAACTAATGAGACAAGCAAAACCCCGAAACCATTACTAGCTATATGTATAAGTGCCAAGCTACCAGTATTAAATATTAAAAATCCTATTTACACCAGTCACAGAGGCAGATCGATGTCCATAGTGGAATATAGTACACTAGCATAAACACTTATATGAAAGTCACCAGTTACAGTCCGCTGAAAATGATTAAGCAACTAATCCCATACGATCTTCAAAATGGCATTGTATAAAAGCCACTTCAAACAACGCATCAATAAATACATTTATATAAAAAAAAAAATAAAGGCGCATCGTGTAAAACGTCACCAGCGATGTACGGCAACTATCAAGCGATAAAATAATAAAAAAACATTTACAAATCACAATACAACATTGAAACTGTCATTGATCAAACACTTAGTATACAACTGTAGTCTTAATCACTATGTGGATGCTAAACTATGTATATATATTGTATATGGATGATATATGAACTAGCTTGGCCCAACAACCAAATATTATAGGGATATATCATTTTTATAGTCAGATGACCTGTTTGCGTTGGACAGCCGAGTTGGTTTAGAAAGTGATTTTTGTTCAATATGTCGCACTACCGGTACATAGTGCTACCATTACGTCATATAGGTATCGAAACACTACATTTTTAAGCCGTCCGCGTTCAAATAACAGAGCTGACCAGCGTGCTTAGTACTAGTTCGTATCGCCAAACTAAATACGGAGCGTAAACAGTTTCGCATTCATAATCTACGCGAGTTATAGTATTAACGTAGCTTATTGAATGAAAAACGGCACATAGTAAGTAATTAGTGTGATGCAAACTTGTACGAAGTGCCAAGTCGTTCGTTTGCCGATTATAGAACTGTTTTAACAAGTTCCTCGTTATAGCAGTATTACTGAATTCCTGTATCGGAAAATTTCTGCCGAGTTATTAAATAATTTTCAACTATATTTATCTCTGTCAGAATTATGTTTGTTTATATAGCACAAGTAATTAATCGAGTTGGCGAAGACTAAACAAAAATAAGAATCCCCCAGGCACTATTATTTAGGTCCCTTATTTATTACATTGTTTTCAAAGAGACCGAGTGCTGTGACGGCGCCATTTTAGTTCCGACCTACACAAGCGCAGTTCACCGGCTAACGCGATTACACAAATAGATGAGTTTATCACTTCCTTACCTTCACTCGCCAGTACATAGTAACAACGGCCGGTCCCTCTTGGACACCGGCTCAAACAACAACTTTATACAACTTGTCCATTAGTTTCAAAATACCAAATCAAAAACTTAAAATAGGTACAACAAACAAAATGCAGCAGATACAAAACACGGAGTGCTGTACAACATACGACGCTGGTTAAAAATTGCAGATATACTATATGAAGTGTCGTACAAGGGATGGTGGTTAGCTGTTGGGGTCTCAGTACACCTTGAGCTGGTTCTTGTCGTCGAAGCCGGCTGAATGGCCAGCGTTGCGAACTATAAACGAATTACCGTCAAAGTGCATTCGCCTTTCTCCCCGCCTGCAGACAAGAGCCGCCTTTATTATGTAACCTGACCTATAAGACGTGTATTATTACGTCACTACTAATAAGCACCTGACAAACAAATGCTGCGTCTGTCCTAGCGAGGCGGTGCAGTGGAGGAAAGGGCTGGTTATGGACGCAGAGCCGTTGCTGGGGCTCGTGCGAAGCTGGTACTTGTGGCTGCAGCGGTGGATTCTATACATATATCAACTAATATAAGTAGACCCATCGACATGTACTACAAATATAATGTACTCATTATTTAAATTCAAATACATTCATCGAGAGATATGGTATGATATAATGATGAAACGAAAAATGACGAAAGCCTTCAAAAAAACTGGACTGAACTGAACTACGTGTTTATTAATTATGACTAATTAATTAACTACTCACTACCCCTAGTTAATATTTTCATATAATAAAAATATGTATAAACATCGTTCAATTTAAAAATAATTAAATTTTTCACCCCCGCCCTCCGTGTAATCTACATATAATTCTGTTATCAACTTTTGGGGTGGTTTTTTTAGTCCATTCCGCTATAATCGGATAAAACAGCCAATTCAACCATGCTGACATTTTTTAATATAATAAAAATTTTACGTATATAAAACGAATATTTTTTACTAGAATAATAATTTGAGAATTTTGGAGGCTTAAGGCAAAATTTTACAAACGATGCCTCACGCAAACAGAATACTACATAACAAACATCAAACGTGGTTTTATTAGAAACGCTCCCGAACCGCGTTATATAACTTTCCATTAAAAATTCATACATAGATACAGAGAGTGGTGCACAGTCGTCAAACGGGAAGCGTGTGCAATTTCCCCTCAATACATTCAATGTTATCACACCGAGACGGACCGCTCAGATGGCTGAGTTTTCAGAGCCATTTTCATTAAACTAACATCGGATATTGCGATATGCGATTCACTAGAGCCGTGCTAATCCCTATACTGTTTTCGCTAATTATTTTATTTAGGCATTGTGACTGTAGGATAATTTAGAAGCAATCTTTTGAGCTGTTCTAAACAGGACATTGCTATAGTAAAATAACAGGCGCTACTATCCTACTGACATTATAATTGCGAAAGTTCGTGAGTGTGTGTGTATGTTTGTTACTTCTTCACGCTCAAACGGCTGAAACGATTTTAATAAAATTTTGTATACAGGAAGCTGACGTCCAGGAATAAGACATAGGCTGCTTTACATCCCGGAAATCCGAGGGTAACACCGCGGGGCGCAGCTAGTAATACATAAGACGATCCCGATGTCAAAACTACAGGGATAGAACCATGATGTGCAGTTCTGATTCAGTGGCCATAGTGACAGAACAATAACCTAACTAACCTAACTTACTAACTAACCCAACCTAACTGTTCATGCGGACGGTGTCGCGGGTAATGGCTAGTATATAATATTCTTCTACCCACCTGACAAGGCCGTCTGCCGTCTGGCTGACCCTCACGTTGTTAATGATCCAATTATCAATGCCGTCATCAGTCAGCCAGTACTGGACGCCCTGCAGCAGCGACAGGGCCTCGTTCACGTACGACGGCCCGTGGCGAGACTCGCTGGGACATACGTACATACACTAAACATCGCGAGTTATACTGAACTAGCAATAATAGAACTAGTACTAAGGAAGTGCCCGTTCTTAATACTACGTAAATTGTTACGAGATTCTTCTTGATAGCTATCGGTGATTTAAATCTTTTAGACTTATTTTCAAGATTAATTTAAATCATACTAAAAATTATAACTCCTTTGGATGTCACTAAATCAATTTCAAATAACATTTCTACTCTAACAATATCTTTGCTATTTCTCAAACGTTCAACGTTTTGTATTGTACAAACCGAATACAATGGATCTCAAAGAGCAAACACACTACTTCAAAAGTATTCGAGAACTTGTAAGGGCGCTCTGATAAATTGGAAAATCGTGGTTTTGACACTATGGAATTAAAAACTACACAATCCAAAATAATGCATACAAAAACCACATTGTATACTTTAAAATTGCCAACAATGAGTGCTATATTAAATCGCATAAATGATAATTGGGTTATATAAACAAATTTTTTCGTACTACCTACATATGTATGTATGTCTTTCAAAGTATCTACATAATGTATATATATGATAGTATATATAAATACTTGTAGAACACGTTTAGCGTGAAGTCCTGGCTCATGTCTAGGAAGGTGTCCGTTGTGGTCCGTGTACCAGCCGCGTCCACGAGGTACACCAAGGCACATTGCTCAGCGGTGAACGATACACCCTTGTACCACATCTTCGCGTACCTTATAGTATATAAACAAACGCTAACACCCGAATTGATATACTAATTCTAATAATACTCAGTAAGCAGGCTTTAGTACTATTATTTGGCCTAAAAACTAAAGTTTCTATAGAATTTTTTAGCCCTTCTATATTGTTATATGTAGATAACTAATCAAAATATATAATTAAAATGCATAGCAAATCAATTTTAGAAATGTATTTCATATTACCACGAACGTTTCACACCCGATATATGGCTACGATCATAGTATTCTCAAATCACACAGTCGAGCGCACATTGTCCTACAGCCGAACCGACCCCACCCACATCCCCATTTAATTAATAGATTCCGATGTACAGACATCGGATTCTGCATACCGCAACGGATTTATATTTTCACCTCAATGCAATCAAAAAATCCATTACCGCGGAGCAAAAAAGCATATGATATTTTTTCGGAGCAAATTTAATCCAGTTCTTTGATTCGTATTCATTCGTTGCCTCTTGCTCTCATCTTATTTCGTCATTATTACAAATTTAAATGTATGAAATACGTTCTCGGAATATAGCTGAATATTACCTACTATGGTATATGGTATACTGTAAAAGTACTTTTAATTTAAAAATTTACTGAATTGAATGTAAGATACACTGATAAAAGTAGTAAAAACTAAGTGGAATTATATCAGTATTCTTTTTTAGTCTGACCTTAGGCAACAACAAAATCGAAAAACAGTGAAATGATACCGCAGAATTATTAATGTTTTCCAATCGATATCTACATATAACTTGCTTATAGAGAAAAACATCCTTACGTAAATAAAGCTAGATACATACACGTAAATTCGTTCAATACTACATATATACTAAGTTCTGCGAGGTATTCATACATACTTATTGTTCCCCTGCTGATGCCTGGCCTGGATTTCAACCCTAGAGCCGTACTGGTAAACCCTGCCGTTGGGGTGTATCAGAGCGGCAGATGCGCCCGAACGAGATAGAGCCAAGATTATATTGTTCTTGGCGTTAGTGAGACGAACAGCACCATCGATCGTCATGTCTACCCTATAGCGTGGACTTGGTATCAGAAGAATATGCTATGCGGTGGTAAAGTGTTGTTCTAATCATAGAAGTTTGGAACTCTGTATTCAAGTCTCTACAGAAATAACATTCTTGGGACTATCCTAGAAACTAGAGGGAATTTCCAGATATGGTATCAAGTTAGGGACTATAGGATTTAAAAATGATTTTGACATAGGTGATGTTTGTATTAAAACTATTAAGACTTAGGAATACGTTTAGAGCATTGCATTTTGCCATAGCTATGGCTCTGTCGCCTAAAGTTTGTTTGAAAATTAAAGTTGGTCAGACTGGAATCTCTTTCATCTATTGAAATAAATACTACAGCAATTTTTGTTATGTTTTGTATTAAGAATAATGTTTGTGGGAAAATTATAACTTCTCTTTCATACTTTTGAATGTTATGACCAATAATACAAAAGTTTAAATAATCAACAAATTGAAGCTAGGAATATTAATGAGGTCACTACGTACTTTAGAATATTCCAGAAAATAATGAATAATTTTTTGCAGTATTAATAACATTTTCATTATGGGTTTCCATTAATATTTTCATACCAAATTTACATGAATCTAATATTTTCATACTCACTTGACCCTGTCCCTAAGCCTCATACAAACAGTACCATGTGGGGTCACGGAGACATTGTACGTCGCGCCTCCGACGCCGTCAGTTACCTTTGAATGTAATACGGCAATTTATAACAATGGAAACAGTTCCTCAAAGACAAATCCAAGAAAACAAGGCGTTATATTCATAGAAAAGTCACTGAGATAATATCAAATGGGCGCCCTTAGCGTGAAAGTTCATGCCTAAGTAGCGCTGCACTAACTTAAAGACGAGACAGAACAATGTATATACAACTAGCTATTATGTATTACATGTAGTTGCACGCTGCAGTGTCACGTCTTATTTAGTCTCAAACCTTTCTACGTATTACACAATACAATCTAAGGCTCCGTTCAGATGTTGGAATGGAACAAATTTTGTGAGCAACAAACTGAGCATTAATTAATCGACCTTCTGGTATTGACCTAATATCTCTTTGTTACCAACCTCGAGTTCGCGCCAGGTATCAGCGTGGTAGATGTCATCTCCAGGGTAGAAGGGTGCCTTACGTTGGAGAGGAGCCCGCCACGGCGGCTGCCAGCCCGAAGCGCCCACCAGCTCAGCCTGCCCTAATCCACCTTCCAAAAACTTGCTGTAGTCTTGGAAAGTAGAAAGACTCGACTCTTCCTACAATTTACACAAAAGACCTTAATTTATATAGATATGTACAAAAATCCATGCAATAAATAGCCTACGTTTGCTTAGAATAAAGTTTGGTTAGTACGATCATGAGGAAATTGGAACGAATCTTGTCTTTTTATTTGTGTAATATTATAGGACTAACATTTTAAATGTGAAAGCGTCTTTATATTTACGTTACTTGCTCACTCATATATGCTTGGCTTGATTCTACGTTAAAATTTTCGCCAGAAAAAATATAGCAAGTTTTAAAAATATTCTTATTACATAACTTTAATGCTATTAAAAAGACATTCTTTTATTAATGTGCATTAATCGAAATTATTATAGAATAATTTCAGACAAATTTTCAATTCATCATGATTTTTATGAGTATCGGCCAAAGTAGACGCAAATTATTTGGGTTGGCACAAAATAATAAATTATTTCATGATGAAAATAGCTCGTAAGCAAAGAAAAATCACTAAATAAAACCATAATAAAAATATAATTATTTTTGTCATGTTTAATCTGTTAAAGTTATACCACATTGTGGCCACATTATAGGTAATCACCGTTGGATCAAAAGCTAATAAATTATTTAAAGGTATATGTTTTAAGGATTGCTCATACCTGGTTATAGGAATGCGCAGTATAGACGCTCCTGGGACGTACCGCCATAACATCTTTTCTAAAATCTGCATTGGCCATTGTAACACACCTTCAACATCAATTTATTCACTGTTCTATAGTACACTAATGACTTCTTGTACTGGCAATTGCTACATAATACAAATTATACTTCATGCGGCTGAAAGCGAAGAAAGAAGTTAGTTGTCATTTATTCTATTCTATTTTCAAATATTATTAATAATCAGAATCTTTTTGGGCGATGACATTATATCTAGCCAGTCCTAGTTATGACAGTGTATGTAATATCTATAAAAAATATATTCAAATTATTCCATACATGAGAAATGTTTTTTTATAACAGGGATTTAATGCTTTTTATATTTTTAAATATATAAATATGAATATAATAAAAGAAAAATGATGCAAATAATGTGCTACTTTTATTATTATTGCGACCCCCTTTAAACCTAGCAGCAACCCCAACGAGGGTCGCGACCCTACATTGATAAAAAAATGTTTCATTGATCGTTTAAATATGTGTAATATTTGTATTTGTTGTACTTGTTTTAAAATAAAAACATAATACTGTTCAATGCGATAAAAAATTAAATTATTCCAATGTCTATTCTAACATTTTTAGTGATTTATTTAAATTAAACCTCTTTGTGACACTTAAGATCAAGATTTTAAAATGTAATAAGATAATTAAAGTAGGTTAGAAAAAAAGGAAAACGTTCTCAATAGTATTATAAAATATATATTTTATCAAAACTTTGATATTAGGAATTAAAAAAATCAACTCTCCGCTTTCGGTTTTTCTTTGTCTTTTATTTTGTACTCCAGCAAGATAAAAATAAGTAACAGTAGGGACATAAAATCCATCCCAGATAAGAAAAAGTTTATTATGGTTTCAATTGAGGTCTTTCCATAACTACTAAAACCTTGTTCATTACTTATTTATATTTATTAAATAATAACCAAATTAAAACAAACAGTCCACAAAAAAAAAATCAAAAGAAATCATAATAAAATATATTTCAGAAATCAAAGTGAAAATTGTTTAAATATTCAAATACCGAAAATCATATTATTTTTGACATAGCTGAAATTATAATTATATAATTAATCTATAATTAGTAATTAAATGTATAAACAGAAAATATTAGTATGTGTATACTAAATATGCACCATTTCTGAACGTAAATTGATGTGGAACTTGTTGTCAGTGAATTGTTATTTCATCAATATACTTCTTCAGCTCTGCTTACCCAAACAGTTATTACAGGAACCAATAATATTTCACCTATGTTTTATCAATATTTATAGACAATTTTAAATATTAAATAATTGTTATCATAATAAGAAGTTATATTTTTTTCGTAATCAAAATATAGGTTTTCATAAATAACAATTATTACTTTAAATATTTGTATAAATTAAGTAATAGGTTTAAAAACATTTTAAAACCTTATTTATCTATATTATTTAAAATAAAAACATTAATCCTTTTTTTATTGTTCGCTATCACAAGAAATGAAGTGATCGAAAAATGAAGATTTAATATCAATTTTTGTTTTATATCGATGTCTAATATTCTGTAATTAAATTATTGCAAATATTAAATGATTTTCCATATTAAGTTATTCGTTAATTTTTTGCCAATACTTACCATATAAAAAAAAGAAATATGCATTAACAGCCTTTCTCCGAGAGTAAATGTAGTTCTAATAGGATTTTCAGTAGTGGCAACATTGGCCGCCCGCCACGTTTCGCCAGCCTTGTTAACTTTATCGTACGGTCGTCAGTAATTTTTATGTTCTTATTCCTTTACCACGTTACCTAAGTAATTTGTTTTCAAAATGAGTGCTCCAGCACCTGCCCCTGCTTATAAAATTGGAATTGTTAAGCAGGTAATACATCAAATTTCTTTTTTATCCCCTTGAATCTTTCCGCTGGCCGCTACACCTCGTGCCCGTATCGCTGTGCCTTGTTGGCACCGCGTCCACAATTTTCAACAACATTGATCGATTTTTCCGATGGGTCTGTTGAGAATCTTTTGAATGTCAATATAAAGAAAATGTTGTTAGAATCCTTCGAATGTACGAAAAAAGCGTGTATTTCGTTTTTTAATATGAATTCAGTGGTTATGATACCGAGATTCGGACTTGAAATTTTTCCGATTCACATTAATTATGCAGTATGGTTGAACTTCGGTCTGTCATCAGGTATTATCGGGAGATACCATCGTTATAAGGAGACAGCCACAAGGAGGTCCGCCGCCAGAGAAAGTGATCGCCCTTTCAGGCATCACTGCACCTAAACTAGCGCGTCAAAGAACTGCCAACAAGTATGTACAATTACATATATTCTTTCAATATGTCTTTGATACTAGGATGCTGATTTTACTTAATCAAGAGCTTTCCATTCAGTTTTCATTTATAAATTCTGTACAAATTATATTTAGACTTAACACTAGTCCACCACAGATTGGGACTTGTACATTTTTATTTGTTGGTTAATTATAACTCATGAATGGAACTTGATTGTATTTTAAGAGTTATCTACATGGAATAGCATTTGTTGAAATCTTAACATATTTGCAAGGTGTTTTAAATTAAAAAAATGCTTCTTTTTGTTACTATTGTATTTTTTTTGTATATATCTAGTTTGAGTAATCAATATGTTAAAAAATTATCCTCTATAGTAAAAAATTTCAGTATGATTTAAAGTTTCAACATTCTCTTAAATTTGATTTGTTTTTGTTCAAGTTCTAACTAAAAATTCTCTCAACCCAATCTCTGTTCTTATTAATTAGTAAAATAACTTTCTTTTGCACTTTAAAATCTACTTTCACTTAATTGTTAGTACATATAACAGCTAAATATCTACTATCTGCAGCCAGAGCAAAATTCTATCATTCTAGCAAAAGCGAGTGTGCCTAGCGAAAATATACTGTTTCCAAAACCATTCCTTTTACAAAAGTAAATTAGCCTCGTTCTTAAAACATTTCATCAAATTTGGTTGTAGGTTTTATTTTTTAACTATCTTTTATTTTGGCTTAATATGACCATATTTTGATGTTTTCTCTTTAAGTTATGCACCAATGAGGTTTTGTCTAAAACTATATGAAATTTCATTAAAATGGGTTTATTAGTGAAACCTATGAAAGGTTGGGAAGTAATAACAAGATTCTTATTGTACTTATATTTAAAAAAAAATTAATGACTAAATAAATATCTTATAAAAAGCCTTAACTTAAACAATTATTTTTAATTATTTTCATTCTATAAAGCAAGAATAATTTTTTTTCCCATGTGTATGGAAGTTTTGCGAGTTCTGACAAACACTGCTTTGTTTTTCTTTACACAATATTTGTTGACATTATGCTTTATTGTCACACGCTGCGAATCCATGTTTGAATAAGCTAGACATAACAATAACAGTTTATTAACTTGTCTGTTGTAGTGATTCTGAAACAAAAGACGAACCGTTTGCATGGGAAGCGAGGGAGTTTTTGAGAAAAAAGTTGGTCGGAAAGGAAGTCATCTTCACCGCTGAGAAACCACCAAACTCTGCTACTCGGGAATATGGATCTGTTTGGGCGGGGAAGGATCCCACTAAAGATGAAAATATGACCGAAGCCCTGCTGGCTGAGGGTTTTGTTAAAGTTAGGGAAGGTGGTCGTAACATTCCTCAGTTGAAGAGGCTTGTTGAAATCGAAGAAACGGCCAAATCCCAAGGCAAAGGTATTTGGGGAACTGACTTGCAGGTAAATTATTTCTTTTAATAATAAGTTTAACACAGTTCAAATAAAGTTTTTAAAAGAAATAGTTGTGAGTTCAAGTGTAATGAGAGCAATTTGTTTCAGAATCATGTTCGTGACATAAAATGGAGTGTGGAAAATCCGAAACAATATGTGAACAAATTTAATGGTACACCTATTAAAGCTATCATAGAATATGTAAGAGACGGATCCACTGTAAGACTTTGTCTGCTGCCCGACTACATACCCGTTACACTCATGCTATCGGGAATTAGAGTAAGAACATGTTTTATTCAAACTAAATATAATAAGGCCTTACACTCTAAACTTATAAAATTTGTCTTGCAGTGTCCAGCTGTAAAGCAAGATGGTGATTCAGAGCCTTATGCCGAAGAAGCCAGATTCTTCCTGGAATCCAAATTGCTTCAGAAAGATGTTGAGGTGGTCCTGGAATCAGTAAACAACAACAACTTCGTCGGAACAATTCTACATCCACAAGGAAATATTGCTGAGGCTTTGCTCAGACAAGGTTTTGGTAGATGTGTAGATTGGTCTCTCGCTGTCATGAAATCTGGTGAGTATTTCTTTCATTATACAATTCATTTAATATATGGTTACAAGCTATTAATTATTTGTTGTCTTAGGTGCCATGACACTCAGACAAGCTGAGAAGGCAGCTAAAGAAGCTAAACTTCGCATCTGGACTAACTACGTCAGTACGGCACCCGTCATTCCCGCTAAGGATAAAGAATTCACAGCCACCGTAATGGAAGTTGTCAATGGTGATGCACTCGTAGTCAAAATGCCTTCTAATGTGCAAAAGAAAATATTCTTGGCTAGCATTAGACCTCCACGTGAAAAGTAAGTATTTAGTATTAAAAATGAACATTTGTTGTAACAATATTAATTTATTTTATACTATTTATCAAACCTTAATTTTCTTTTCAAAGGAACAGCCCAGATGAGGAAGGCAAGCAGTCACCCAGGCCTAAGGGATTCAAACCTCTGTATGACATACCTTGGATGTATGAAGCACGTGAATTCCTCAGAAAGAAACTCATTGGAAAGAAAGTTAATGTCACAATAGATTACATCCAGCCAGCCAAAGACAACTTCCCTGAAAAAACTTGTTGCACTGTTATGGCCGGAGGAGTGTTAGTAGCACTTTTTGATATTGTAATAAAGCAAAAAATTAAAAATGAATATGAATTGTTGCAAAGTATAATATTAAACATTATTTTTTTTACAGTAATATTGCAGAAGCCTTGGTCAGCAAAGGCTACGCCATAGTTGTCAGATACAGAAATGATAATGATCAAAGGAGCTCTCATTACGATAAGTTGCTAGAAGCTGAACAGAAAGCCATGAAGGCTAATCTCGGAGTTTACGCCAAGAAAGATATACCGACCCATCGCATACAAGACACAAGCGGTGACTCCGCCAAGGCGAAAAAGTTCTTCCCCTTCTTAAAGAGGGCCCAAAAAACAGAAGCGGTCGTTGAGTTCGTTGCGAGCGGCTCTCGTATGAGGCTTTACGTGCCAAAGGAGTCTGTGCTCGTGACATTCTTACTGGCTGGCATCAATTGCCCAAGAGGTGCTCGCCCCGCTATCGGCGGCGGCGGCATGCAAGAAGCTGAACCGTTCGGTGAAGAAGCACTTCAATTCACTAAGGAGAAGTGTCTCCAACGCGATGTTATTGTGTCTATCGAGGAGATGGACAAAGCTGGTAACTTCATCGGCTGGCTCTGGGTTGACAACGAAAACATCTCCATATCGCTCGTCGAACACGGACTCGCTACCATGCACCACACCGCTGAGACCTCGGAATACGCGCGAGTCATCAAGAACGCTGAGGAGAGCGCGAGCAAGAAACGCATCGGCATCTGGAAGGATTACGTTGAAGTTGAGAAGGAAATTGAGAAAGAACGCAACGCACCGATGCAGGACCGTGTAGTGAAGTATGAGAAGGTGGTTGTAACGGAGGTCACGCCGGAGGGTACGTTCTTCTCACAGAACATTGAATTAGGAAACAAACTCGAGACCTTGATGGAGAAGATTCACCAGGAGTTCACTAACAATGCACCGCTGCCCGGATCTTACGTGCCTAGGAGGGGACAAATCTGCGCGGCTCGCTTCACTCTGGACGACCAGTGGTACAGAGCCAGGGTCGAGAAGCTCCTCGATGATAAGATGGCTCAAATATTCTACATCGACTATGGAAACAGAGAGGTATAGTAATTTTTCTCAGAGTTTAACTTATATCACTCTACCTAAGTTAAAAAACAGCTATTGACTTAAAATATACTTTATTCAGGTGGTAAGCCAAACCAGACTGGCTCTACTGCCGGCGGGCACGGAGTCTGAGCCGCCGTACGCCACCGAGTACTCGCTGGTGTGCATCAAGTTCCCCGCGGACGCTGACGACAGACTAGAAGCTGTGCGAGCCTTCTCTCTGGACACACTCAACAAGAAGCTGCTGCTGAACCTCGAGACGCGCGGCTCACCGCCGGCCGTGACGCTCGTCGAGCCCACCACTAACACTGATATTGGAAAGGTACTAACATACATATATATTGATTATTTGTTTTGATTTATTATCTATATACTAATTGTATTGGTATGTACAGAACCTGATCAAGGAGGGTCTAGTATTGATGGAGAGCATCCGCGACCCCCGCCTCAGCGGGCTGGTGGCCGAGTACCGCCTCGCCCAGGAGCACGCCAAGAGCTCGCGGCTCAACCTGTGGCGGCACGGTGACATCACCGAGGACGACGCCGTAGAGTTCGGAGCGCGTCGCTAGCGCGAGCTTCCCTGGTACGATGCTACCGCCTCGCCCTCACACACACTCAACTGCGCGACCTGCAAAGCTCTACACGTCGAGACCATCATATACGCAGTCATCTATGAGTTCTTGTGAAGGCCCTAGCCGTACCAATGGAAACACTTATGCTAAAAACATTACTACATACATATATTACATACATTTTAATGCGTTTAAACCTCTTCAACTTTGGAAGTGACTATCCTAAATCTTTTTACTCAGTATGAACATTGATGAACTTTTTTTTAAAATATGGATAATATAATGGATAATATATGTCTTAAATGATGTGACCGCGAGCGATTCGCCTCGACATAATTAACTGTACAGAAGCATGATTGTGTATGTTATTTGTAACTTATTCATAGCGCCGTGTATTCTATCGGTAATAAGTACGCCATTCGATTGAACGAATCATCTTAATTCGTACATTTTCTCTATAACAATAAATAATTCACTCTTAGATATTTACTACATATTTTTATATTCAAACTAAATTATTAAACAAAAAAAGTAATTATGAATAGTAAATTATGAATAGTTTTATTGAATAGAATCAAGCATAATATGATGAAAAAAAAACTTTTTTTAAAATAATTTAAATAATCATAATAATGTATACAAGATTAATAACGATACGTTAGTATATAAATTTTCAATTGTTATTTCACTACCTGTGTATTTACATCGCAAACTTTACAGTTGTTCTTATATGACTAAATGTTTTATTATAATTATTATAATGTTATAAAATTATTTAGCCTTAATATCAATATGTTGCACTTACATACTTATCTAAATAACGTCTCTTTTAAATTTACTATATTGTATATTTTGTACTTCATGTTTAAGGATTCATTCAAAAGTTGATAGCGGTAATCAAACATTGTAATGTTAGCTAAGTGTGAATTTATTGTAATGCATAACGAGAGTCTGAGTGTTATTATACATTTTTACTACATTATTCTACTCTGAGACATGTTCATTATCTTTTTATTCAGTTTTTAATATTTCGTACTCACGAAAGTTCTTTTTTTTAACCTACCTCCTTCTATGTCCCTGTTATGACTTTATTTTACCCCGTATTTAGATTACCACAGCAGCCGTGCGTGGATTGTTAATGAAACTCCTGTATTTTAAATAAATACACTTTTTAGGAATATTATTTTTATTTTCATTTTATTTTATTCCAATCCCGTTTTTTACTTTCCACCCTATATGATATTATAATGAACTCTATTGTAGTGGTATACATAATTAAGTGTTTTTAAATCGAGTAACTACTGAACTATGTTCTAATAAATGTACAAATTGTAAAAGTAATATTATCAAGTGTTCATTTATTTATTAAGGATGGTCCTTCGTGTGTTATTCCACGTGTTCTCTTCGTAGCGCCCTGTTGAGTTTTTCTATGTCTTGCAACTGTCTCAGCTGTCGCAAAACGAGACGAACGTGTGAGTCCCTTAAAGCACGCACCGACCCGGCCCATACAAACGATCGCTCGCACTCGGGACACGTGTCTTCTATATAAAAAAATAATTACTATAGAATAATTGATATATGATTACAAATATACAGGGTGACTGGTGAATTACTATCAATATTTAAGGAGAATACTCGGTACATGATTCTCATTCGAATTATGTAAAAAAAATTAATTTTTGACCAAATTTACGTATAAATAAAGTGTGGACACGTTCCAAGTGTTCCAAGTGTGCACGCGTGCGGCGGCGTGCTGATACAACAACACGCCGCCGCACGCGTGTGTGTGTGTATACCTAATCTGTAGGGTGTTCACACTATGCGTAATTAATTACATAACTTTTGGTTAACTTTACTTAGAAGTTTATTAATATTTATGTTATATTAATTTTTATTTTGTCATATATGATCGTCAAATATCACGTCCTCAAATATCGATAGTAATTCACCAGTCACCCTGTATATGACAAATTTTTTTACCACTCGATTTGCAACTCGAACACTCGTCCTCGTCTCCCGACAACATTTTCCTGTAATTGAAAATAAATAAGTCTTACAATTATGTACCGTCAAATCCACATTAAATGCTGACCCAATGTGGTCTTGACTGTACCTATCTAGTTAAATAAGGCATAATAAATGGATTAAACATTGATATCTTGAATCAGTGTCTGAATTACGTATTAAGATAATTGGTAAAATTATGTAGATAAAAAGATAATGCTTCAATATTATTAGGTACTAACAAAAAACAGATTGTATTGTATTGTAGTCATACAAATTCTTATCGTTTCACCTCTACTAGTGAATGGTTAACGTGGTTCCTTCGCCTGCCGCATCTCCACAAACAAGCGTCCAAACTAAATTTGTTAAGTTTTTAATTTTGTTAGTCATTACTTACCTACTACATGTATGCTTCGACAAAGCTTGAACAGCAATACTACGGTTTCTGCTATCGATATCTGTAATATCCTTAGCAGCTTTTGGTCTCATTACTTTAACAGCTCTAGGATTAGGTGCTTTTGCTTTTATAGGAAGTTTTTTAAATAACGATTCCAGAATCTGCTGAACAATTTTGCGACTCGTCTTCTTTTTTGTCTGCAAAAGACCGAACAAGCATTGCAAGGTATTCAATAGTATTATTTTCTATGGTTACATTGCTATGGTGGTAGTTATATGTTTGTTTTATAATATTTATGTATATAAACTTTCAGCATTAGCTCCCTGATTGTTACTATTTCGTAGAAGTATTTCGTAAATTATCCGCTTCATCATTTATTTGGGGACCAAAATATTTACAAATAGACATATTATAACTAATTACTATAAAATTAAAACGAATGTATCAAAAAACAAATATATTAACTTTTGCTTGCGGCCTGAATTGTATAATTGTCTGTCTGTTTTCAGTTATAGTGCTGGGGTCTCTGGTCAGTGGTACGATAAAGAGTGGCGCAGGAGGAGGGCGGGGAGAGAAGAAGGACATCGCAGAAGGCCCGACTCCCGGACCGATGTTATTTGCACTGGATAATATAATGGAAAATTAGAGAAAATAATTAGTCCACGACGTTTTATGGGCCGAAACCTCTCAGAATCTAAAGTTTCACCGGGTCCATCGCGTTGCAGGGAGAGGAGCTTCAACTGTTCCTGGGACTTGCAACCCAGGTTTAGGTTTAAGTCCAAACTCCTCTCTCAACCAAACCATAAAATACAAAAATAATGTGTTTGAATCTAATAATCATTAAAGAAGAAAACCATATTAAATGAAACTAACTATAGTATGTTATGTGGGGAGAGCACTGTTGGCGCTGGCAATGCTTGGTCAGGCAAACTTATCCGTGTGCCTGATGCAGATGGACTGCGAGCTAGTCTCTCAGGGCTGTTATTTCCAGAAACTCCCGATCTGAGCATAGTCGAATATATATTAGATTTTTGACAAAAGATTTTTCTCAGGAAGAACAATAATTTTGCTCTTGAAGTCTTAAAATACTATATTTACCGCACTGGTGACGACCGTGAACGACGTGGCCGTGGAGAACAACCTGATGATATTGTTTTAACGAATTAAAATATATATAACCGTACTAATACATTTTGATACGTTTTCGTTTGGCGACATTCAATAATACTAACATAATTACTTTGTCCAAAAAGATTTTTTTTTATATTATATAAGCGTTAAAGAGTTGTATATTATATATATGGCCTCCATCAGAGTATGTATAGTGTAACTTACGGGAACGGTGTTTTCTAGGTGCTTCAGAAGGGACCTCTTTACTATTATGAATTCCGGTCTTAGTTACCTCCATACCTTCCATATTCAAGTGATTTATGGTGAACGGTAATTTGGAGCGCTGTTTAAATAATTTTTCACTGTAACAATAAAAGTTAGGAGTTGTAAGATCATAATTATAAACTTCACAAAATGGCATCAAGTCATCTCTGATAAATGGATTATTTGTCGCCTGTAAAGAACGATGCATAGGTAAAAATTTTACAGATTTTCATTCAAAGATTCTCAATATATTTTAACTTTCAAATATTTGTTGTGACACCATTTTTTGTGGATGACTAAGACAATGCATGAACAGCATAAAGATTACCTGAAATAAGTATCCACACCCATAGCGACAGATCAGATAAGAAATTAATGTGAAAATGATTTAATTATTCTTGATATAAATAATATAAGGACTGTAAAATTTGTAGTTTCTAAAGTTAGACTAATAAACTAAAAATGGAATTATGAAAAGTCAGTGAACTGCTACTGAAAAAACATTTAAAAAGAATAAATAATGTAAAGAGTTTTGAAAAGAAGGAATTTTGTAACGATATACATTTTATGAAAGTATTAAATTGTTTTATATATAGGCGACAAAAAATATTGAATATAATTTTTGTTAAAAATTAGCTTCAACGGTTGTGTAACTACTGATGTCGTACCAATTTAAAATGTAATGGGGCTACTCTTTTTTTTTTATGTGAAAGGTTGCAAACGAGCTGACGGCCTCCTTGATCGTTGATGGGCAGGAGTCCCCGTCGCCCATGGACATCTGCAACATAGATGTTGCGGATGCTTTGCCAACCTTAGTTGTTAAGGAAAAGGGAGGAGTAGGAATAAGGAAATTGTAGGAAAGGGTGAGAACAGGAAAAGGGCAACCGGCTCTCTCACTCACCAGACGAAATGCACCCATTAAAGGCTACTTTACGCAGATCTTCTGTGAGTCAATCATACTCAATCATCTTATTTCAGACTGGTATGTTTTGTATCACTAAATGTTACCAAACTTATATACTTTGCATGTATGTGATATATAAACGTACTGTTTGCGTATTATATTAATGTACAGAAAAGATATAAAGATAGAAATAAGCAATATGTTTTGAGTTTAAAAATTCTAACTATTATAATAAGTCTTTACAAATAGTACTACGAAATGTCTATTATATCTATATCTAAGAGTTTGTAAATCTTCAAGTACGTAAACATTTTCCAGGATATATATCGTTCAGCTTATGGCGTTGATTTATATATTTATTTTTAAAAAGTAGATACTCGTAAATAAAACAACTATTTATGTTATTTCAACAAAATTTAATAACAATTTGTACATTTTGATAAATCAGTGTTCGGAAGAAGCAGCAATTTCTAGCAGGCTTGTGTAGCAACCAGAGACTAGAAATGCAAGGCCGACGAACACGATGAATATATCACGGATGAGTCGGTAGCGGCACATGCCGTAACTATCGGCGTACCAGACGCACGCGTCCATAATGCCGGGAAACACCATGGAAAGTAAGGACAAACAAAAAGCACCGAACAAAGCTATGAATGGTCCCAGTTTCGGCACAGCTACTGCAGCCAACCCTGAGAATTTCAAAGAATATATTTCAGAGAATTTCAAAGAATTTATTCGTATACGCGTCAAGTTAAATTGTTATTTTCTATAAGCACTATATTGATAAAGCCGGGAGATTTTATACGCACAATAACAAATTATGTCCCAAACAGATCAAGTTTAGTCAAAAAAAATTTTTTCATAAGGAGTGGTGGCAAAATATATGATAGTAAACAAATAAATTATTTTGAGGAGCTTACAAGGAAGAATAACGAGTGCCACACGTAGTAAGTAATCTACAATCAAAAGTTTCGTTCCTGATACTTTTTTGTGTATCTTACGATAAATAATGGTATAGGCAACAAAATTCTGTAGTGGGAATGTCAAAAATATAGCCATTGCAAATATCACTTTTGCGGCTTGCGCTTTCCTGAAAAGATAAATCAAATATAGCGCCATGTAATACAAAAGATACTAAACAACAATAAATATAAATTTTGTATCAGTCACTTTTGATTTTGGGGTAGATTCAACGTTATAGACGCTTTTATGTTGTCTCCATACTTGAGGTAACCAAAAATCCCCATCAACAGATATAGTGACATAATGATAGCCATGCCAATGTTGAAAAGACCAAAAAATCCTACGAAACGTTTTGGTTGCTCCATGTTGTATTCTAAAGCCAGGACCTGAAAATGATAAAATCATATCCTATACATCGTTTAAAAAATAACACAGTTATCTCTAAATAAACTTACCACACCGACAGCTTCGAGGGCAAATAGTGTCGTGCCTATAAAGAATGGAATCTCTTCCAATCCTTTCAGTTGTAACTTTTCATCTTCTATAGTAACATCATCTTCAATTAAATAAAAGAAGACAAGAATAAACCCAAATATAGTAACTATGTTTGATATAGATGAAAATGGTGTCAACAGTTTGAGGTTTTTCACAAGTCCCATGAGCGTGAGCGGCAATAACAGAAAAAAAAGGTGCGTTCTCAAAGACATCACTTGTCCGTGGTAATCACATACCTAAAAACATTTAAAAAGAGTAAGTATAAAATAAACGAAAATTGGAATGTAACTAAGTATAAAGATAAAATAACACACCTGCTTGATATTTTCAGCGACAAAGACACAGTATATACAGCAGATACCGAGTTGCCAAAGGATCAAGACAGAATCAACAAAGTAATAAAGTGATCTCGCAGACCACCTGAGGCAAGGGGGTCCTTCTTGGATAGCAAAAAGCATCGACTTGGGATATGCCATATAACCACGCCTGAATCTCTTACACAATCTATATTGAGTTGCTATCTGTTTTTTAGATCGAGTACACAAACTTAGATTTTCATTATTAAAACGTCATATTACTAAAACAATTAAGACATAAACATTTAAATAACACTGGTATTAACCGAACTGTGGAATACTCACTAAAAGTTGTATACAATAAGTAGCAAAAGATCCAATCATTAAAATGCCAACAACACTGAAAATTATTCCGACTCGGGCGACAGCGTCCGCCATGGCAAGGATGCCAGCTCCTATACTACCCTTCAGGAGATGAGTCATCGTATCTGAATAACTAGAAAGCCGAATAATTTTAACCCACAGCATATTAAATAAGGAAATAGTGTTTTGTTTTATACTAACGACGTCGGTCTCTCTACTCTACGGTGTTGATGTGGGTCGAAAGATTCTTCGTCTTCACCTATAAAGAAATCAATAGAATGAACATAAATTTGTACTCTAAGCCTCTCAGTATTCACATGAGGACCCACCTCCAGTTATTTGCTCAACAATCCCAGCCATAAACTCATAAACAAACATCTTGCTTTATTATATTTGTTCCAATATTTAAGAAGAATTGAGAATGTTTTCTTCTACTATTTGTGTTATTGGCGTTTTCCCAAAGATTTCGCCAATTGCGAGGATGTTTATGAAACTGAGTTATATAAAAAGGGATTCATGAAAATATGTGATATGAAAAGATTGTAAGATTTTGATAGAAAAGTATATCAAAAATTGAAAAGTTTTTTAAACAGATTAAAATGACGTCCGTTGACATTCGGTAACAGGGTTTAAGGTTTTAATGGTCTATTTATTTTTTCTGTATCTTTTTAGTCTTTTAGGTACACATCAAGAACACTAAATAATAATTCGTGCAGTTTTAATGTATTGGCATAAGTATCTCAATAGATTTTATCGAATATACAGGGTGACTGGTGAATTACTATCAATATTTAAGGAGCATACTCGGTACATGATTCTCATTCGAATTATATAAAAAAAATAGGTACTTCATTTTTGACCAAATTTCCGTATAAATAAATAAAGTTTGGACACGTACTCAGCCTTGCCGGCGCCAGTGTGTCGCTACTCCCCAACCCCCGCCCCGTGGCTAGCGGGCCATTAGTCGGCTATTAGTCGCGCGAGCGCCGCCGTAAGGTCCGTACGTTCGTCTTCCCGCGCGCGCGCCTAGCGATCGATCTTACGCGTATACCTAATAATAATCTGTCGTGTGTGCGTGTGACCCGTTATTACTTATTAGTAATTAAATATGGCTTTTCAATACACAAATGCAGAATACTTGGACATGGTTCATGCGTATGCGCGTGCAAATGATAGCTTGCCGGGCGCAATCAATTTGTACCGGGAGATGTTCCCCAATCGTCGAGTACCTACGGCCAGCGTCATCTTAAACGCTAATCAAAGATTACGAGACTTCGGACAGTTCCGTGTTCCAACACATGCCCAAGGAAACGTCTTGTGTATGCTACAATGTATGTCAACAGAGAGGAGTTGAAATTAAAAATCAATAGTGCTTTCGAAACTATTAAAAGTGACCCATTCGTATTAAATCGTGTGAAAGACAATATGTGTAAACGTGCCGAACTGTGTATCACACGAGAAGGAGCTCGCTTTGAACATTTGTTAAGGTTAGTGTAGTTATGTAGGTAAATAGGTAGTTTAATGATTGACAATTGTTGTAAATAAGAATGATTCCATTTTTAAATACGCCGGAAATACCAAGATAGGTAAACAGTTCATATTATTTTTCGTGTCAAGGTCACACCATTTACCTAGTCAATAAATTGGTTGCTTAAACGAAAGAAATATCTTGGTATTTTTGCCTGTCCTAAGCCAGGATTAAAGTATGAAGGGAATTGGATCATTTTTGTTTATCTAAGGTCTAACACGCGGCGGCGCGCGGCGTTTGGATGTAGGTAAACTACCGCGCGATAACTACATATACCTACGTACATAACTGTTTTGTGTCGATAACGCAGCTAGGGTATCCACGCGATCCGTAATTAATTACATAACTTTTGGTTAACTTTACTTAGAAGTTTATTAATATTTATGTTATATTAATTTTTATTTTGTCATATATGATCGTCAACTACCACGTCCTTAAATATTGATAGTAATTCACCAGTCACCCTGTATATACTGGAATGTATAAAATTGTCAATTTGATAAAATCGTCAGAGGGTAGAACAATAAAAAGACAAGTTTCACAAAATTATATAATGAAATTTATTTATTCTATATATCAGAGTTACATCAGTTCTAATACATTTTTATATTATGTGTCACTAGTAGCGTAACAGACGCCGGTCGTTCTATAAACCAAGACTTCCGAAGTAAACCGACTCCATACATAAACAGACACAAGCTATACTCATAACATAAGCGTCAACTATCAAATGTTCCGTGTCGTTATTTCTATTAATATAGTGCTCAACGTTATATGTACTAAGTTATCATGAAATTGTATTATTTCAATTACTCAGCGATTTAACGTTTACCGTATAAAACATTTTAAATGACATACGACAGTTATATGAAGCGCTCATAACACACTAATATCGTATAACATAAGAGAAACCGCAATAACCTGCTTGCTGTTATATAAATAATGATATCAAGTGACATGTATTAAAAAATAATATATTTAAAAGTAATATGAAATCTAGCATATACCGCGATTTTCATATACTGTAATATTGTGTTAGAAACATAATTATAATAATGTATGTCCTATTCAGATACTAGTATGTATATCATGCGACGAGTATCAAATCATAACTTAAACTAATGTAAAAAGAGTAAAAGATCACAGTAATAAAATACAATTTATGATTATTGACTTAAAAAAAATATGAAAGCAAACTAACGATCGATTACTATTTTATATATATACCGTATAACTTATGATGTAAAAATAAAATGTGCTAACGAGTCGCCCGTCTGCTCCTCCCGTCAATAACACTATCCAAGTATTATATCACTTACACAATACTTATATATAGAAAGAATACGTGTTATATCCATCTTAAAATACTAAATTTCGCAATTTGGTCACAAATTAAAAATAAAAAAATTCTACATTCGCTAAAACTTATTGATATATACATTTTAGTTATTAAAATATGCATACATTAAATTAGGATAAGCATGAAACATTATATAAGCAAAAATCACAGACACTTTCATTACAATCGGTCACTCGAGGACTTCGAACATCAAAGATTTTAACCAAAACGTTTTTTATTATAAAATAAATCCCACAATATATAGATTTAACATAAACACCGCACTAGACAAGAGCAATTGTTCGTAAGGATCGCCATATGGTTCATATGTAATTAATTTAGAATAAAATTAAATCGATTTTTTGTTAAAAACAAGCCAAATCAAGTACATAATTCAATTAATTTATTAAAAAGTTTAACGTCTATGACTGCATGCACGCGTGTCGGTTTGTAAAAATTAAAATTGAATCCGAAATCCAAAGGCTCTTGTAAAAAAATATCGATAGGTGGGCACAATGACTATAATATGAACGCTATCATTACTAAAGCTTATCGTAAACCTATCATGTATCATGAGCGTACGTGGCTGGGAGGTATAGCTAGTTCTCAAATCCCCGCCGGGTTGATGAAATTGGCAATAAGAAAATTAATTTTTGGTTTCAGACTCCTAGTTCCCGGAGACCAAGTCTGGCGAGAGTGTCGAGTCTCGTGTGTCAGTGTCATAGACTCGTCAGGTGTCGGGCGAGCGGAGTGAGTGTAGAGCGTTGCCGAGACCAGCCGGCCGCCGTCGCTCTAAGAAAGTCTTCAGCTGCGTCGAAGACAGCTGAGTGTCGCCAGCCTGTGGACATTGTTTATACATTTTAGATGACTTTCATTAATCTTTATATATATAATTCTTCCGTGAGTGTGTATGTCATTGAACTTCTCTCAAACGACTGGACCGATTTAGACGAATTTTTGTGTGTGTTCAAGGGGATCTGGGAATAGTTTAGATTCACAATTTTGTCCGTACGACAATGTTTTTTTAATTAATTTTTAATTTATTAGTAGTTGTTGATACAAACGTTTTTTTTTGACATTATATTTGACAACTAACTAATATGTCAATCATTCTGTCCCACTTCAAAACACGGACATTTATAGCTTTAATAGGTAAACTCCGAAAATATAAATAAAAAAACGTAACAGATATTTCTTGATTATAGGGCGATAAGAAGTTCGCCGGGTCTTCTAGTAGATCTATAATTTCCATGCTATTCTATTATTGTATAGGTCTTGATAAAACAGTTGCGTTATATTACCTGTTCGAACCAAGGGTCTCTCAGCGCCTCAGCCGGTGAGTGTCGTCTTGCTGGCACAGGTTCCAACAACCGTCGTATCAGTTCCTGTGCTCGCTCCACGCCGCCCCAGTGCTCGGGGGGGAAGCAGTAGTCACACTTTATTATATTTGCTGTCGTCTCCTCTATTGATTCGTCCAGGAATGGCGATAACTGTAAATATATATTTTGCTGTAGTTGTCTTCATTGTGAGGAAGTTAAAAGGATTCTAGTATATTACTAACGCCGGTCAAAAACACGTATAGAAATACACCAGCAGCCCAAGCGTCCCACGCTGGTGCTGGCGGTCGTCCCAGAACGCACTCCGGTGGAGCAAATTCAAGCTGGGCGGGTGCAGGCGGCAGTACTGTAGTACTATCAGCGTTGGAACCAGAACCGCTCGCACCTCCTTCGAGTTCCACAGCCGATCCTAAGTCGACAAGCTTCAGCTGGGGCTGAGCACCTCCTAATTCCACTAAAATGTTCTCCGGCTGGAAATATACATATATTTTTGTCAATCCTATATATAAGTGACTTGTTTATATGTATTATACTAGTGAACACCAACCCTGACGTCTAGATGTGCTACATTGTTGGAGTGCAGCCACTCGAGTGCGGAGAGCAGTTGCCTGGTGTGTGTGGCGACGGTTCTTTCGTTATAGTCCGTGGAGGAGGCCGCCCAGTCCAGTAATGGTCCGCCTCCAACCAGTTCTAACACCAGCGTGTGTGCGCCCGCTCGAGGCACCTCCGCGAACAAAGCCAGTGCACGAACTACAGCGCCGTGAGCACCGCTTGATAATATACGATACTCACGTACTGCATCCGCGCCACGACCGCTCACCACCTTATTGAGTTGAAAATACTTGTTTATTAAAAATTCAAGAAGACTTTTCCTATATGTATAGGAATTGATAATCGAATACTATGAGGACATTTTAGAGTATGTAGAGAATGTATTACCTGTTTCAAGGCTACCCGCTGACCGGTGCCAGTATCACGAGCGGATAAGACCCGCGCCGAACGACCGCGTCCTATCTCCTCTTCCAAAGTATATCTCCGTGCGAATTGTTCCCGTTGCCAACTCCCGCCACCGCCGCAGGTCGCCGGACCGGACGCGGAGCCCGCGGCGCCACTGCGAGCACTCACTACACGAAAACTGTATTGACCGGCTGGCAATTCTTCTAGTGCTAGCGTATTAGCTGTAGCGGGCGTTTCTGTAGCTCGACGCCATTCGCCCTCTCCTACACGGCAGTATTCAAGATGCACAGCCTCCGATTCATCCCACTGGACCACGAGTCCACCGCCGGGGTGTGCTCTCACTACAGGTACTCCAGGCAGACCGCCCGTGGCCACCGTCAGTCGAGCCGAACACTGTACACCGCCGAGTTCGTTACTTATGAGACAACAGTAGACGCCGGCGTCCGAGGCGCGGCAAGCGTGTATAGTGAGGGTGGCGAGGCCGTCAGATGTGAAACTGATGGCGAAGCGACCTCCGTGACGTAGAGCCAGAGTCTCCGGCGCCGTTTTACGCCACGAAGCTGTGGCTCTTGTGGCTAGACCGCGGCACGAGAGTGTGGCGGAGGCTCCTGCGGCCACAGTGACGTCAGCCGCGGGCTCCGACAGCTCGGGGGCGCGCAGCTCTGTGACCACACCGTCGTTGGGCTCGGCCGCGCTGCCGCTACTGCCGCTGCTGCCGCCGCGACGCAACTTCAACCCCCAAGCGCGCTTCGACAGACCCTGCCATACACACAGCCGGTCACTAACACATCTCAGTCCCTCTGTCATTTTACAATTTAAGCGTTTCATGCAAGCTCACCCGGATATTGTAGTCGTCGATCCACTTTTATTCATTAATAATTTACTTATTACTATTTACAACTATAACTAATTTAACAATTCAATTCAATGGAATATCACATAGCACAAAATAACAGTCTTGAGTCAATTTGCCCCATTGTCACAGTCTATGTTAAAAACTATTTCTGTGCATATCATACCTAAAACAAAAGAAATTCATACAAGCGTTAAAACAGATGTACATGCAAAAGATAAATACAAACAAAAATATATACTGAAGCAGTAATACTAGAAGATAAATTATGAGAATAGCATAAAGAAGATTAAACATACAAGAAATTTATATAAATATTACTTAGATACATATGATAACTAAAATATTTAGACAGCTCTGGCAAGGGTCAAATAATATGGCAGGGTCACTTTCAGTCCACTCTTAAGGCTTAACTAAGATCTATTACCACTAGTAATTATTAATTCTGATCTTACGGTATTCAGATTTAATATTTATAGGAATTTTCAGCTAGTTCTTTATAGCAATAAAATTTAAGAAATTTCTGTAGCCACGTTTTATTTTTTTGACTTTTTTGGAACAATTTAATTTTAGACTTTGTTTTCATTACAATATAAAATTCGTATGCATATATAGCAAAGAAAAGAATAAGCAAAATGTAGCAATCTACAACAAAAAATGAATTCCTACAGAAATTTGGTATAGAAGAAGAGTCATTTAGCACAGAACTGTCACAATTTTTTTTATAAACCAAGAGTGAATATGAGCGACACCAGATCAGTTTTCCTGTAGTAAAGTTTCTACTTGCTCTGTGATATTTGCTGATTGATGAGTTAACCATTTTTTTTTCTCTAAACAGTACTACTACATACATCATATGATCCAAATTTGCATATCAAATATGTTTAAATTAGCTCAATTCATACACATACATGAATTCTTTAATTAGAATTAGATTTTAGCTGTTTTTTTTTCACGATCTCATCATATCAATAGTTTGTTGATTCATCACAGTTTTATAATCGTAACATATCACTTTTATTGAAGTTCTTACTTACCTCCTTTCAACTAATTAATTTTTTACGTTTACAGTAAAGTGTATAAAATTGTATAAACGAGAAAAGAAAACATGAGACCTTGATAGTGTTCTTTTTCCCATATACAACAAATTATTATCCATATGAGCACTATACAGGGTGTATGAAAAACTGTGTCAACACTCTTAACTACGTTATCAGTATCGATAATGTAACACAATAAAACAACTTACATTTACAAACTCTTCAATAAAAATAATAAAATTAAATATTAAATGATTATTATACGTAGAGTAACAAAATGTTTGTAAACCCTGGTATAACACGGTGACACTCAATGACGTCATCACAGCTGCTGCGCTACTAGTGACGACCTTGAAGTTACTTTCACATTATTGAAAATATCGATATTTATAAAATCATAACAATAAATAAATATTTCATATTCATATTATTTCGATACTTATTTTGATATATCAAACATTAATATTATGTTTGATTGTAAAACACCATTTTTAACAGAAATAGATTAACGATTTATCTTAATAATACAACATATGTAGTTAATTTACCTGAACAAGTTTCAAATTATAATGCTTAATATTAATAAAAGTTATTTTAAATGAAATTATTTTAATGTGAAAATCATAACTATTTATAGCAATATTGAAAATGTCGATAGAATATTTATCGATATAACTAATTTTTACACTTTCAAATCTCTATTCGAACAACTAACAGAATAGTAATAATAACGCCGGCGGCCCGGCGCCTGCGGTCAATGGTCACGCATGCGTCGTTGCGACTATACGGTGTCTTGACCTTGTATGAGTCAGATGTTTGGAACATTTCTTCGAATAATGTCGATTTAAAACTTATTTGCCTATGCACTGTAACTGACGTCTGCTTGATATTTTTTAAGTTATACTATTTTTTATAATAAGCATATAAGTATATGTATACATGCCTTCAAGGGTTGACACAGTTTTTTCATACACCCTGTATATGTGCTCATTATTTATATGGTTAGTTTGTGTATATATATGTATATTGCGTTATGTACGTACATTATGGTGTGGCGACGTGGGTGTGAGCGGTGGTGCCACCTTCTTGTGGTCGTCCCTCGCGCTTGACGGTAGGTTGATAGTGTTTGCCTTCGCGTGCGGTCGTTGCGTGCGCCCGCGCAGCTCCGGCGCCAAACGCCCTCCCACAGACGGCGGGACACTCTCCGTCTTACGTAGCCCGCACCAACCATCGCCCGAGCTATATGGACGGGAAAAAATAAATAAAATAAAATAAAAAAACAAAACGGGTATATAAAACATAGACCAGCTTTTGTGTCTGTGTGTGATGTAGATTATATGATAGGTATATGTATCGTATTGGATGTGTTTGTATCGAAGAAGCTGGCCTTAAATAAAGATATAAGAAATTATATTAAAATACAACTTAAAGAAAATAGAAATGAAAGAAAATAAATATAAGCATGCGGGACTATAAGCATTAAATCACAAGCTATTTTATTCACATTTATTGATTATTCGTGTAACACGTAGTCACAGATTACAATCATGTCCGGATATTATTTACATGTAAATTATTATAATTATATATACATACAAGACATTTGAATACAATATAAAGCAGAGAATCTCTATATAGCTGAATACAATACTTATGGAACATGTTATGAAAATGAAATCATATTAATGTAACATAATATATATTATATATTTTAATTTTTATTCGCTGATGGTTACTGCAAAGCGTACATGTTCTCAGACATCTTAATATTTTTCATATAAACACACACAAATATGTTCTCGTCTAAAGCGATGCGGCAACAAAAATTAATATCTTTTACAATATTATGATGAAGGGAAACAATTTTAATTTTTTTTTTTCATTTCAATATTTTTCATTTACGATCACTAAATTTTGGACAAACTTTTATATATTAACTTGTTAGATAGTTGGAAGACATTAGGACCTACAACTTAAACGTCCTAATTAATTATGAATTATTGTTATAACTTTGGTTCCACGATCTTTTTAAGACAGATTACACTGAAACTACCTTAATAGAAATCATTTAAGGTCGACTATGACGAAGAAACATTAAGTTTATATAGAAATGATTACATTATAACATCGAAAGCGTCTTTAACATAGTCCTTAGATTTGAGAGAGCACTGATTCACTTATATTACTTGTGAGAGCGTGATCACGACATTGGTATTTTAGCATTTGTATCGCCATTACACTAATACATAAATCTACGATTAACCGACTAGAAGATTCGCCAAATATTTATGACATTAAAATTACATACCAAAGCAAATTAATGATGATAAAATGATATAAAAATGAAATCAATTTGGCCCCATTCGTTAAAAATTAATATCAAATATATTAAATTATTAACTAAATGGACGACAGTTTCGATCACTGTTGGGGACAAACGATGAGCTGGTAATGTATGTACTATAATATCAAATCAAAGACATTCGAACACCATACAAATTATAATCCACCAGACATTACCATACAACTGATATATAAAACATATAATAATAAATATACAAAATTTCAATGCATTTCATTTTTCACACAACTTCATTACCAATCATTATCAATCACGACTTCAATTAATTCACTCGTATAATATACGTATAGAACCTAACCCTTTAATGGGGTAGTTCGATATTCGCTCGGAAGGAACCTCTTTCCAATCACTTTCATATAGAAGAGCCCGCTCGTGTATTCTTAAAATGATATGTCTATATAAGACAGACGTCTTCGGAATGCTTTGGTCACTTTAACATCACATGCGATGGACGCTATAGATGGCGCTGCTACTGCCTAACACTAATATTACATAAGATATTGCATTTAACATAACTGCTCAGATGGCTAGCTGTACCAATATTACCAAATATTACATCAATCCAAAATTTCGTTTTTCTTCTGAAACCATTAATAAAATCGTAAAAAAAAATCTCAATATACTGAACACGTGTCATATAAATTGACAAAAATACGCGTGCATTAAAAGCGTTTCAGAACTATTATATGTGATGTTCAATTTATTTATTTTAATTACATATAATATCACTAACTACGAATTCAATTCCAAAGTGTTTTTTTATATCCTAATGACCTATATCATGATGAGCCTCGCTAATAGGCGCTAATATGTAACGATGTAATGTAAGGATAACATATGGAGTTATTATTACAATTCATATTGGGGGTTACATTTTAGTGCTTAACATAAACTAATCTAAGCATAATATACTGTTTCTTGAGATGTGCGATTCTGGCAGTGCTCCTTATTGCTTGCTACAAAAAATATATAACAGGATTAAGTACATAGCGTCCGCTACATTCAATACATAACTTTATACGATATACGGTATATATAATAAATATTTCTTAAGGATATTGTTATATGTTAGAATACATTTATTTTCTAAATTTCATTTATTATAGTACATATTTTGTCCATTACAGCTTTAGAACATTCTTAAAATGCGCTAAGGAATTTACCTTGAAACATTTTTTGTTGTAATGTTAACAGATGATTAACAACAGTTCGTAGCTATTTTCTAGTAGGTATATAAATATAAAAATCAGTATAATTACATGTTAATATATCTATCAAGTATAAACTATGAATTAATTAATTTATATCACACGTTTAATGTCATATTAAATTGATATATAGCATCTGTCTGACCTCAAAGAATACTATAGATTACTGTAATAATTATAATAATATGAATTAATATAAAACAATTTTCTATTTTATTTTTTTATATGAATGAAGTCTGTTTTCGCAGATATACAATACTACAACACATATATTAAAATTAAAACTTTATTACAATACTAATATTTAAATACAACATAAAAATTTCAAAGACTGATATGAATTAAAAAATGAAATTTTTTATATATCACAACTTTTTAACATTTATACTTGGGACACGCATACTGTTAACAGGTTTCATACATATATAATTCATACGTGCACAATTAACATAGTAAGAGCAGATGTAACGCAATGGACAAAATAGCACTATTAGTAACAAGCGATGACGTCATCATCATACTCACTTATTGGCGTCCCTCTGAAGGAAGGCGCCAGGGTTCTCGAGTCGCTCCCCGAAGATCAGCTGAGATTGTAGTATAGTGGATAGTGTTGACACCCAGTGCTGCCTGCGAGACTCGGGCGCCCTACACACGAACGACTGCGGCTGGTGCTTGTATTCGAGGCCGTTGGAGTGTATTATGAATGTATTGCTACCGTCCACCTCTTCCAGAGCCATCTTGTTCACCTGAAATGTATTTCGTGTTTAGATAGCCTTATTTATTTATTTTAGCTGTAATTATATCTTTACTGTTACGATCTCAGACAATACGAAATGTAAGTCAAAATATTTAACGTTTTGTTTTTAAAAAAATTTTTAGTATTATATATAAATACAAATTAAATACAGGAAGAGATATCATGATATTTTGTAAAGCAGAAATTATCATACATGATAGCGCATCAGTTTTGATAAAGGTACAGTGACTTCGAAAACAACAGTATATTATTATTTATTGTTTAAAAGAAGTTATTATGAGAATTATTTTATATTATTAACTGGTACTAACCTTAACGTGAGCTTTATAGTTGTATGTGGGTCCAGAGAACTGTGTCTTCTTGCCGACAGCCTCGGTGAATATGACGCATTGTTCAAACAGGAACACATGCAGTTCCTTGCCTTTATCGTTGGAACAGTTCCTATCTGCTACAACGAGCGGCTCCTGGAACAACAGCTTACCTTGCGCCGCTATGTTCCCCTGAAAACACAAAACATTTTATATAGACTTATACTTAATGAGCATGAGCTTGTATGAGCATAAAACAAAATTTATTAATTAAAGTATGAGATACATCGATACGACATAATGGGCTTCACAAATAAACATCGCTTAAAATTAAATGTATCCAAAATCAATGAAACACAATACGTGTGCATTAGCTATTAGGTTTTAATTAACGTATCAGTTACATACGTTTTCACAGTTCATGTATGTATGTAATAATTTTTTATATATTATTTTTATATCAATACGCTCAGTAACACTAATTGAACTAGTTTTAAAATAAAAATGCTTTTTATTTCTGTAAAAACATATCATATTTTTTTCATCGCAGTGCAATAAAAGAATAAATAAATATTCCAAACACATTTTAATGACGTTACGTAATTAATGTTACATTCATTTCGACGTGAAGTTCGCATTTATAAAACTATTGAAGCGAGAACGCGGCTTACATTTTAACATTGCGAAATAAATGCATTGAAACAAAAAATGAGAAAAAAAAATAATATTAATTTAGTTAACACAATATATGTATGAAGAATATTCGCTTGGTGTATATTGTATATAATCGCAATAGCAATGTTTGTAATATATTATGTTCTCACCGTGAATCCTTTAAGTCTTCCTACGTCCATCATATCGTTGGCTGTTTTAGGTATTATTGAGGTGCAGTGTACGGCGTCCCTTAGTGACGTCAGCACGGCCGCTGGAGCTCCGGCTAGCTCGGAGTATGACAACACCTTCTTCACAAGCAGATGATACTTTTGGATACGCTGTATCGGCTTGATTAGAAGATCACCGAGCTGCGAACAAATAACACATGAGTAATATATATAATATCTTTATTATAATAATAATATCTTTATATATATAATTCTTCTGTGAGTGTGTATGTCACTGAACTTCTCTCAAACGACTGGACCGATTTTGATGAAATTTTTTGTGTGTGTTCCAGGGGATCTGGGAATGGTTTAGATTCACAATTTTGTCCGCTGGACAATGTTTTTTTAATTAATTTTTAATTTATTACTAGTTGTTGATACAAACGTTTTTTTGACATTAGATTTGACAACTAACTAATATTGTCAATCGTTCTGTCGCACTTCAAAACACGGTAATTTATTGCTTTAATAGGTAAACTCCAAAAATATAAATAAAAAAACGAAACAGATATTTCTTAATTATAGGGCGATACGAAGTTCGCCGGGTCTTCTAGTATTCTTATATAGAAGAAAATTTAATATAGAACACACCTGTAACTTATGTCCGAGTTTATGTCTCAGATCTTGGAAGTAGCTCTCGTGTTTGGACACTATAAACTCCGAGACGGGTTTGTTCCGGCAGTAGGTCTCGTATAAGACTATCTTCTTCTCCAGGAATCGTCTGAACAGTGGTCCGAGCAGCTCAGGCGCCACCAGACATCCCTCCAATTCGCGCAGGAACTTACTGCACAGAACACCAACTTAAGACTAATACCACAATACAAACGCCAGCATCTATACTCGCTTGCACATAACTTAATACACTCGAATCGCTCAGCAAACATATTCGCTCCGCAGTACTTAAAGTATTCAAAAGCTTTCACATTTTAAAGTGGATCTGGATCGTGTTACATAGGAACCAACTTTGAATGAACTGAGATTACATTTATTACTCGAATGTTTACGGTACAGACAAATTAGTGACGCGACTCGTCTTTAATGAGCAACAATTATAGGAATTTGCAAAGCAATTTCCTCTATATATCTGACTATAAAATATACTTTTATTTTTTGATCCAAATTTAGTTCTTTTTTTAAGTAAAACATTGTATAAATTACTTACTCGCGATGCCATTCGTAAATGGCTTCAATGTTTCCAAAGATCATGAGCAGTCGTCGGTCTCTCAGACCGTCGGGGACGGGCGGCTCGGCGTGCGGGTCCTGTAACACTCGCATATATTAATATCTTACATCATATAAATTAATTATTTCGATCGTGTCCCCTACCATCATGTGCTTCATATATCCCTCGCATACGAGTTTCAGATCAGTGACATATATTTCCTCTGTCTCGTAAAGTTCCTTGAGGACGTATTCCCTCTTTTTGAGCGAGGCTGCGGCTCCCTCAGAGTCAGCTGCCTCCTCCTCTTCGTCCGGAGCGCGTGAAGCTCCCCCGCCATGCTGCTCCTATACAAAATTACCACTACTAATGTAACTTATCTCGATAACATTTTTCAAAGTCGAAATCAAACTCAATTTAACTACAACAAATCTAGCAGACGCAGAACTCATTTTAAACCAGACACTAAGCTCATTCTAAGTTAATATCGCACACTAGATACGGAGCATTAACAGTTTATCATTCTTAAAACTTCGAAGAATATAATTTAAAGGTAGGTTATTGAATGAAAAACGGGCAATACTCCGTATGTGGTATGTCGATGCAAACTTAAAATAAACATTCTGATATTCAAGTTAATATGCAATGAAAACAGTTACAGAAACGTAAACATGGAAAATGTTCGACGAATGTTTGAAGTGACACAGGGGAAGTCGTAGGCTCGAGGCTGTATGTAGATTCAGTGTTTACACACATCAAACAAAAAACTTACACCGTACATATTGATTTTGAACTGTATCAAACAAACAGGGAATATTAGCATGTGTCGGCTAATTAAAATGGTAAAATGATATCGTTCGCGTGTCGGCAGTTGAAAACTAATTTGAGTCGGCCGACTGAAGTATATAAAAAAATGGGAAAATAACTTGAAAACAGTATGTAAATATGTTGATTGAAGAAACTTTTATAAAATTAGGACCAAACAAAACGACCAATTTTAGAAGCTTAGGTTGAATATTTTTTTTTTTTTTTCTTGATTAAAAAACTACTTTTATAAAAAAGCATAAAGTACGTACAATGCAAAAGCGATAACTCCATGCACATACTAACAAACACTCTCGTATAATCTACATAATATAATACAAAAATTTCTTTGGTAGCATCGTAATAATTCTATTTCTAAATATAATAAGACTGCTACACACACACACACGACGACTGTTAACAACGATTTGATTAGAAAGTACTTATAACGCAGATTGGACATATCTAAATTGAAACCATCGACGTGGTCTCGGGGGCTTACAATTACCAAATTGCTAAAAATCTACCAAAAAAAACAAAAAATGGGACTACAAATCGTTGGCCGGTACGTGGAAAAATAGAGCACGCTCCAACCGGTTATATAAAAGCTTTCCCCAGTGGGTACGTTATACGAATATAAATTTGTACAATCCAAAGACTTGGGATCGGATTCAAAACGATTAGAAAAATATATATATACAAAAAAAAAAATCAAAAGCGAAAACAATTTACGTCGGACAAGCTGTCAAAGTTACATCATGCACACTACATGCTCAGATTATTATCGAACCATTTTTTCCTTCACAATTTGCTCAATTTCTGCTATATCTGCCGGGCCTGAGTTAGACTCCAGCGGGTCCATTGCCAACGAGTTCTGAAAACGTGACCGAGATATCACCCTAATGTTTAATAAGGCACCTACACCCTTGGAAATTATATAGAGTTAGTAGTATAGTGTTATATGTATGTATATATAGTTCGTGTTGTGTTTTTATTCAGTACTGACCCTGGCGACGGGAGCGGCAGTCGTGGCGGCTGGTATGGGAGCCTGTTGTAACACAGCCTGGGGATCCTAGACGAACAAAAAAACCCAAATGTATTAACAATATCCTTAAAAAAAATATATGTGTCATTTGCGTTAGCTATCTTTATTTTATCAATCAGCTGGTATTTCCAGTGATGTTTTTATGAAAAATGTCGTTTGTTATATTTGATAATATAAACTACATATAGCTATAATATAACTGCTACAGTAATTCCATCCTCGTATTCCTAATACCCGACGCCATTCCTCACATATCGAATGTATATTGCTAGAACTAACTCGATATTAGTATTTGATCCAATCGAACAGTCACTAGTTCGGCGCCAGGAAATCATAGTAATTTATATATGAGAGTCACCGTTCAATCACACGAGATACAAATACTGTATCTATATGAATAATAAGAAAGATAATTTACAATAACTAATAAATCTTATTAGTAATAAATAGTATGAAAACTATTGTGTAGACTAAACAATGTTTCTAAGTTAATTTGTAAACAACGTCTGTTGTTTGTCTGGTGAAGTATAATTAAAACTACAGCATCTATTATTGTTAATTAGTCTCTAACTAACGTCGATAATGTTTCAAGACATACACAAGTAGTGCAATCTATGGAGTTAGTGTGACTAATATACACGAAAATATCCTGATACAATAATACAGTTTATTTAAGTAATATCCTATAGGGTGTTGACTTTAGACATATACAGGCTGTATATTTTTCATTCGTTAAATGTGTCAGTCGTCTGATAGTACGTAATTATAAAATAATAAATCTAATAATAGTATGTGCTGAGGTCCTTTGAGTGTGAAGTGACGTCTGCAGGCGTCGGACGAATGAATGAGTCGTAATTGTATTGAGTTATGTTTACTATATAGAAGACAGTTACAGAATACACAAGTTATGCTCTAGACTAGTTTGATAGTTCATGAGCAATAAGCTCGCTATTCATACACAATAATGTCCAACATGGCAAATAGACATTCTATTTGATAAATAATATCTTTAACATAGTAGAGAAATATGGGGAAATCTTGTCAAACCCAATTAATGATAACTAATGACTGCCAAGCTTTACCCAAAACTGGGAAAGCGAATAATTAATATGTATTAATTGAATTCAATATTAGCATATTAAAAATAATATATATAGATGATAAGAGAACGAAGTTGTTAGGAATGTGAACATTGTTATCAGGAAACAAGGCATCGACCTTCGTATATAGTGTCGTGAATTCATTACACCCTTAAACGAAACTGAATTTCCATACAAAATATATTTAGCTGTCAATTAAATACGTTTATTTAGAATAGCGTCCCTACAATCGTAATGAAGTATTCGTGATAAAAGTTCTGTAGTCTACAGATAAATTGTTATCTTATCATTTATCTTTCCTTACGTACTCTGCTATAATTTTGTCTGATTGTTATATTATATACGTACATAATAAAGTCATAGCATATATTGTAATATATATTTTAAATGATTATCTGCATTTCAAGACCTGACGTACGAAAATTTAAAACCAGTTCCTTATAAGTAACTACTTTTATTTCGATTTCACTTATACTTAGCCCAAATTTAACCGGTTTGATAAAAAAAATAAATTCAACGCAATACATCAAACTGTATTCTGTTGTATTTCAGTATCGAAAATGGAATTTATTTCTAAATCACGAAACATGACAATGTTACCATATATATGACTAGAAGAATTCATTGTTACAATTTTTTGTAGGTAATTGATTCGTGATTATTGCGTCATATACAATTTTATTGTATCATGAGATCTTCAGGGTGTGTGATCGTTCTGAAAGTGTTAGTGTGAGTGTGACCGTTCTGAAAGTGTTAGTATGTGTGTGACCGTTCTGAAAGTGTTAGTATGTGTGTGACCGTTCTGAAAGTGTTAGTATGCATGTGATCTTTCTGAAAGTGTTAGTATGTGTGGGATCGTTCTGAAAGTGTTAGCATGTGCGTGATCTTTCTGTAAGTGTTAGTGTGTGTGTGATGTTCTGAAAGTGTTAGTATGTGTGTGTTTGTGTGTGTGGGAACTCTCTGGAAGTGTGTGTGTGTGTGTATGTGTCGGGTACCTGTATGGGCTTCATCGGCGGTGGTAGTTCCACGTCGGGCGCGTCGTCCTCCTGGTCATCCAAGGCCGTCACCAGACCCTCTCCGTCCTCAGTCCTCGCGGCCTCAGCGTACGGGAACTGAACAATCACACGGATTATTTATTATACAAATGCTAACAACGTGTCACTTAATATTGTGTTACTCGCTGCTGGTAGACTCGTATACTGAACGTTAGCACCACTTCAGTTAATTACTGCTCGGTTTGTGTTATCATACGAATAATTGTCTTAACCATTATTTACTATCAGTCATCGACGTATGACGTCACTTATTAAAAAAATGTATATAGGAACCTTAATCTTCTTCTCTGAGGGAACTTTTTTCAGTGAAGGCTTGTCGGTGGCTGCTGGTGATTTAGCGTTGCCACTGGTCTTCTCTCCCTTGCCCTGCGACTTACTCGGCCGGGGAATCCAACGCCTGTTGTGACAAAACGGAACTCCGATATCAATTTTATAAATATAAACACAACTAAATTATGACTCGTTCGATGATGACTAATAATTTTTTTTATTACATTTTAAACATATTAAAAGGCCGTCGAAAACCGCGAATATTACTCCCCTACTACGGTTACATAGCTTGTAATGCCATCCATCAACCACATAGCCTTTATTAAGTATTTTTATTCATACACCGTTAATAGAATAACATTACCAAATTACGTGATTACTTCTTATTTACGATTCGTCCCTAATTACTCATTATAATAATATTAGGTTTTTCCTTACAATAAATAGCGTTGCTTTGTATATCGATATGGAATGACCATTATTATCTATTGACATATAATTGAATTATTTATCGTTTAGCTATTAAATATTGAGTATGCTCTATGCGTCACGTCGAGTATTTTTCACGATGGTAACAGGCAAAGGATCGTTGACTTCTAAATCTAAGCAGATTCCCGAGGTCTTCATAACTCTAGATCATAAACTTGAGACGGAACACAAACAAAATTTTAACAATAACTGCGTCCAGTTTGATCATATGAAACGGTGCTGTTAACCTTAGAGATAGCTATAATATTTTTAATACTATATTTTTAAAAACTTCTCATAAGCATTAATACTGAAATATCATAAAATTATTGAAAACAGCCATTGTGATAATGACGATTAAATTCTTTGTTTTGAGAATTGCTTAACAACTTAAAATATTCTTTTCCCATGTATACATCTCGATGCTGAGAATACGAATGTCAATAAGACAGAAAAAACGTGTGACAACAATTTAGATCATAATGAGAATTTATTTAAAACAAACAAATTTAAGTTCCTCGTATTAAATATTTAGTAATATTAAACAAAAAAATATTTAGTCAACCTAAAAACCATGAAGAGTAAGTTAACAACCAAAAGTATTGTTTGCAGTAACAATAACGCGTTACCCTTGTCATGACTTGTCCAATGGCAAGGCTTACGAGATACGAAGATCTGTTAATACTTTTAATATTGAACACAACAAAATTAACATGTTTTTATTTCTTAAACGACCGGTAGTAAGAAAGAAGAAAGATGAGAGCCTCAGACAATAACTTTCTATTTTTATATACATAAATAAAATTATTATTTACTAATGTCCTATTAAACACAAAAACATTAAGATCTCAAACTAAAATAAGATATATTTCAACATATATTTACAATTCAAAACGGCTTATGAGCCGTAAATAGACACTCAATACTTGCAGAGATTTATATATTATAGTGATAATATTATAACATTCGGTTTATTATTATAAGGGAACGTTATGAAGTCACAGGTTGAATTATTTATATTAAAGTACATTGGACCCATTACATAAATAATAGCACTATATATAGATATACGAATCCTATATATATTTGTGGCACTACCATTGGAGGCGAACCGTCAAACACTACACTTTATATGAATGTTTAAAGATAATGTCAAAAAGCCATATATAATATTCACTTCTTTTACTGTACAACAACAAATCACTTACTTTGAAAATATAATTTGACTCCACATCCTTATGTATATTATCGCACATCACAGACATTCACGATAGCACAACTACTGAGTTAAGTTCACAAACAACTGGCATACAAATAGAGACGTTCCATTGGTGCAAACATTGTTATCACAAAATTTTGTTGAGTAAAGAGCAAGCAAACGGGTCCGGTGCGAGGAGGGACGAGTAATATCGGCAAGATTACGGCGATAATGTTGTAATCTATCGGCCGGTAGGTGACAGGAAACTTGTCGCAAAACATCACCAAAAACGAGGTGGCGTACAGAGATGGTGACGGAGCGACCACCTCCACGCCGCTACCATCGGCCGACTGTCCGACCGACGGCTGCGCGGGCGCAAGCGACACGCTGTGCGCGCATCACGCGGGCCCACAGCCAAATTCGTAATGCATTCGAACGATCGCATCGAAAATACATACATATATATGAAGAGCAAGAAAAGCGCCGAATGATATATATATACAAATTGATATCAGCTTATGAAGTCCCGTTGAGTCGTTGAGTATTATTTTCGTTACGATTTACCTTCAAATCCCCTCTCGATATATCCAATTCACCTCCACGGAGTGCTAATGACAGGATGTTACAATAAAATAATAGACTCCACCCGAGTGCTCCCTTCCCCAGTGTTCATACTTTGATTGGTGTTAGTTCTCAGGTATTGAAGACAACCGCTGTCAATCTATTCTGAGACAATCCACTTGGAAACTAATTTCTCAGTTTGTCAAAATTCATACATATTTAAACGAGTATTACGAAAGCAAAATTTGTTAAGTCATCTGGAAAGTCAAGGTCGCTAGTACGAATACCTTCAATTTAAACGTAACCACTGAGAGGTTGTCTTATCGAAAATTGATACAGAGAACGTCGAGGACAAAGAGTGACTAATAGACGAAAATATTAAATCATATTATATGAGATAAAGATAACGATATTGTAGGCCTAAAATTAATAGATTAATCCTTATAAAACGAACGGTGCTAAACCCTTTTAATAGTGTTGACTTTTTGAATAAAGTACAAAAAAAATGGTCAAGGAATTGTGAAATAGTATTATGAATAATATTTGATACATATGTTAAGTGTTAATCCAAATCCTATCAGTAGCTATGAAGATATCTTCATTTGTATATACATATAAATCCTAAACAACCCTGTTGCATAATTAATGTGCATAATTTCGGAATGGGGTCGATCTCCTCCTGGACTTGCATAACTATCGGGAAGTGTTGCTCTTGACAGTTAAATTATGTAAATTAATTCAATTAGATTTATACGTTCTATAACAGTGCTTTGTTCAATTGAAAAGCTTTTAGATATAATTCGCTTTAGTTACATAATACAAAGGAATTTTAATATTAAACTTACGTGTTATTATACGAGATTTAATAGAAAAATAGCATAAAACTCACGGTATTATGCCTTTCCTGTGTTTACCGGGACTGGCAGCACAAGCACTCACGCCGGGCTCCGAGGAAGACGCTTCTGTGAAACAATTAACGAACTTAAAAAAAAACACAAACAAACAACATTATAATGACATCTTAGTGTTATACTTGAATCTGGAGCACTTTAAGGATTACACCAGTAATTAGTACAAGGGTTGTTCTATTATAAAATAAATGTAAACAAAGTAGGTCGTTTAACTAATGAAATCTTATTTTTTAATTACTTAATTAACTAATTATTATTTCGCTTTTTATAAGAAAAATAATCTGTTTTATAATCCGTTTTTCTATATCAGATAAAATAAAAGCGATTAATTCAGGTACACCATACAAAATAATAAACACAAAGAATGTCAACGTTTTATTAAAGTAATTGTATACGTATAAAAAGAATTTTTCTCTCTAATAGAGTTCGTCCTGAAAATTCTTTTCCTTGGTATTCGCAATTTTAACGTACGTTTATTAATTAAAGTGCAATTCTTTTAAAAATTTCAACATTTTTTGAGCTAGATGAAAAATTGCGTCCTTTCAGAGTGAATGAACATCACTATGAGTTTACCAACGTTTTCCCTTTATTTTTTAAATCGAATACAGCTCTCTGACAAGTTTATTTTTTTAAATTAAATTTTCCACGTATTTCATACGAAACCTGTTTCAAAATATAAATGTTAAAAAACATTTTCCATTTTCTATTTCATATTTTGTGAAATTTATCAATTAAAAATAAATAAACAATATTTTTTTCACTCGGCTCTCTTCATAATTAATATTGTGAGCATACAATCCTTAATATTGTGGACTTTTAAATATACTTAAAGCCTGTTGATTTAAAAAAATTACCAAATTCTTTATATTCCTAAAAAATAACAACTAATTAGATGACGTCATTGCAATTAACTTATTAGTTAACAATTTTATTATCACCAAACAAAAAAAACTACTGTACTCAATTTATAATTACTTAATTTATTACTTTGAAATATTTGATAATGATTGTCTATATATATATATATATATATATATATATATATATATATATTAGATTAATGTTAATACTACAGAGATTTGTATCACTTCTGGGTCGTTTATTGTGTTACATTGAAGGCGTCACTCGTTCCCATCAACTTGTTCTGGGCGATTATTTTTTATTAGTCCGACAATCAAGACTGTTTACACTACGAGGTCGGGGCGTTACGATTGTAAATTACAATTTTAACTTGCACCTTTAAACCCCTCTTGGAAATCTCAGACTTGAAAGAATTCATTATGCCGAAAAAATTTTACATTTGTATGCAATTTCTTTTGATTATCTGAATATAAGTGAAAATTGTTCTGTATATATTATTCACACTTGCAAAAACTAGTCTAGTTTAGTTATGTTTTCATTGCTAGACTACACTGGTCTGCAAAAAAAAATTTTTTTGGTCTCCTTTACAGAACTCAGGATTATTATTATTGATTCAATAGTACTAAATAGAAATATGGTATCAAAATTTTTCTATCACGTATATTTTTTTTACAATATAATTTTTAAATAAAATATGTAGCTTTTTTGGCACTATATTTTAATCATATATTTATTTATTATCATAATTTTGGATACAGATAATGGAAAAACATTAAAACGTATATTACTTATTATTAATATTATTTTACTTTGTAGTTTTCTTTCTTTTTATATTTTGAAGTTTGAAGTGGAATTTCGCGCCGAATAAACCAGCAAAAATCAGCAAGCATTCCTTCTGACCATTTTGCGTTGTAGCGTCTCTCTATGTGCATAATATCTTGATGAAACCTCTCACCATGTTCATCTGATACTGCTCCAAGGTTAGGTGGGAAGAAATCCCAGTGAGAGTCCAAAAAATGAATTTTTAAAGACATGTTACACCCTAGGTCTTTATACGAAGAAATAAGTTCTGTGACAGTATCCTGGTAGTTTTCACTTTTTTTTTATTTCCTAGAAAATTATAGCACACTTCGACGAAAGCAGTCCATGCCCTTTTTTCGGGTTCTTTCTGTTTTATTGTAAAATTTGTGTCCTTCATAAGCTCGCGTATTTGGGGACCCACAAAGATTCCTTCTTTTAATTTTGCTTCGCTGATTCGGGGGAATTTTGTCTTTAAATACAGAAAGCCTTCACCATTCTTATTTATGGCTTTGACAAAATTTTTCATAAGACCCAGCTTTTTATGGAGTGGAGGAAGAAAAATTTTTTCACTTGGAACTAAAGGTTCTTCATTAATGTTCTTGAAACCAGGCATCATATTCGTTCTTCGTGGCCAGCTTTTTACTACATAGTGTTTATCTCTCACCCGACTATCCCACTCACACAAAAAATAACAATATTTTGCATATCCTCCTTGTAGGCCAGTTAACATTGCTACAACTTTAAGATCAGCGCGAATATTCCACATATACTGTGAATATTTAATTTTTTTTCAATGTATTCGTATAAAAATGACTCAGTCGGTATCGTTCGCTCTCTTTCTATCAGTAGGAGTCATTTTTTTGTGCTTACCCACTAACACAACTAAACACAGTTGCGCTAACGCATGAACAACAGTAAAATATATGGAATTTTAAGCTATTCAAAAAAAAAATTTGTAAGGAATATATACCTGATAGCAAAAAAATAAAAACAGATATAGATTCAGGATATTGAATACTTCATACTTATCATATTTTTGTTTAAAGGAGTTTTTCGTTGCAGACCAGTGCTATTGAAAGGCGCCTCGGATTATAATCTCAAATAAATTCGCATATCCATACGAATAACAAATAACGTAATTGTATTATGTATACGAAATCTCCGCTAGTAGAGATACAGATTCTTTAATAAAATAAATAAATTTTTTATAATAACTACATCACCTACCTAGAATAAATTAATTTTTCTATATGAATATCTGTATTGATTTCAGTAAAGCAAATGATGAGATTAAATTGATATGTATGAATAGAGTTGAGGGTCCGAGTGTACTCTGTATTTGAAGTACCAAATGCAATAGGGAATTGATTGGTATAAAATTCACATGAGGGAAATCCTCGAATACTGACCGAGTTAGTCAACATATCAAAAGCAGCAGTAAAATATATTAATGTATGACTCACAGTGTACGGGAGAAAAACGTTTATATAAGAAAACTGATTTGTATTTTGGAATAAAAACAACGAATTACCGATAATGAAAACAACGCCCGTCTCAAAACGCTTTTAATTTTAATTCACTCTAAAAAAAAACAACAACAACATCAAATTAAAAACCAGTGTTTTATCCCCAACGGAGAATCGGTGTCACCATGACGACAGATTCATTTCGTTTTAAAATCATTACACATATTTAAAATCTTGTGACTTAGAAGGTGTGGATTCTTAAGTAACATTACTATGGGAATCAGAATAAGATAAAATAAATATGTGTATCAGTGACATAGAAATAAATAAACAAAGGTCACGTAAGCGAAGCAATCACGAGTAAGTGATATTAAATGTAAACAGTATCGAAGCCGGCGGCGGGTTGTATGGGTGTGGAGCCGCAGCCTCAGATCTCCGCTGTACCGATCACACAGATGAGCAAAGTTATATTTAAATCTATGCCTCGCTCATTTGAAGCAATGTTAAGGTTGAATTCCTTAATGATTACGTCATTAAACCTAACCGGGATGATTCCTGAACATTTATTCTAATAGGACATTACGTTTATATAGTTTTTGTTGGAATTAGCGTATACTTTTGTTTTAGGCAGACTATTTCTGTTAGTTCTATTTAGAATATTCCAAACTTAGCTAGATTTGATTTCATTTTATAGTCAAAACGGCAAACATTCATAGTAGAATGCAATTATTTGAATACATTTCCAAAACAATTTAATTTTACCACCGCATCGTATTACTACGTATGATACTATACAATAGATAGTCTAACCATCGTTGATAATTCTCATAATTTTGTAAATTCAAATTCATTCTACACTTAATAAAACTACAGAGAAAAATAGATTCGAAAATTATTTCATACGATTGTAAATAAAAGCGAGGCAACGTAAAATATAACATGACACAGTTATAATAGTATTAAAATATAATCAACAAAAATAAATCTAATAGTCGCTGTGGCGCCGCTAGACACATCCAACGGACGGAGCGTCTCAAGTTGTGCAAGTGTTACTCGCGCGGACCGTATTATCAATACATTTATATCAGCTGGAATAACAAAAATATTTCATTTGACATCCACGAATATACGGATTGAGATTTATATATAGAATATGGAAAGATTTACGACGGATATTTAGAGTTCCATCTCTGATATATATATTTTTTGGGGGTAATTTGTTTTATTTTTTGTTTCATTTTTGATGAACTCTGAACGCTTGTGTTCGTAAAATACTGAATTTATACTGAGATGATGAAGTGATTGTTTGATTATTTTTTGTGGACATATTTTTTCGGATAATAACTGTTTTTTACTTTATACTTAACAATATATTTTAAATAATATAATAGAACGCTTATTATGCTTGTTTTTTGTTAAAGGAACTTCTTTCTTTACATCTTTATATCCAATCATTTGCTTACAGTATTATAAGGTGCCTAATAAAAACACATCGAGATTACATATCAAACGTAAATAAATCTAAGGCGTGAATAGAGGAATTAGATGATCGTATTTATTTATACGAATAGTTACGAGACTGTACAAATCACAAAATCATGTCGGTAGTGGGGAAAATTAGTGAATGAAATGCTTTAATACGACGTCGAATGAGAATGTTCCACAAAATTATTTTGGCATATCAATTTAGTGTATACAGACGTGTATATTACATACGGAATGAACTACAAACACAATGACGTCATGTTCCAATAAAAATAACGGGACTAGTGACAATAGTTGTACATATAATTGTATTGTACAAATAATTGTTCGAGAGTAATTCAATATGGAAGCGACTAATAAAAATGAACGAAAATGTGACTTAAACATTCTCGAGTCACGCGACATTGATAACTAATCAAAACGTATGACGTCAAGTGT